TGCCGATTTTACGCATCATCTCTCGTAACTAAGAGTAACCTAGAAATAGATGTGTAAATCATGCCAACGGCGTGAATGCTGATTCATTTCAATATTCCTTACAATAGCATTTTAATGGCCGATTTTACCTAAATTGGACTCAATTTTTGTCACGATCGAACATTAATGTTAACTAGATGTCGATTTGCATTTTACCATATATCTTCCAAAGTTAAATATTTAATTTTTTGAACGATGTAATCATCTGTTTGCACCTGTGAATGCCACCAACTCTTTTCGAAACGGCGACGACATTCCATCGATGCTTGCGTCAATAGTTCAACCAGATTTTGAACGTGGGTTACTCCAGAATTTGGAGGGCGGGAGAGAAAAAACAACAACGAGGCGCAATAAGATAGAAATCGTAATTCAACTGGCCGAACTGAAACTGTTCCATCTCTTTTTGCGAGATGGGAAGCTCTTTCAGGAGGCATCCCTCTACACATGGCGCAATCCACTCTGCAGTAAGAGAGAAAGAACTAATTTTGTTCCCGGGCGAGATCAAAGGGGAACGGTCATCGACTTACTGGTGCATGTTCTATTTTGAGAGGGTTTGATCGAACGTCTTAAGGATTCTCTTTTGTTTTGTTTAAATTCGTTCACAATAAAACAAATGAACTATTTCACGCATATTCATTTACTATAAACAAAAATAACTGGGCACATTTCTGTTTTAACCGTTGTCAGTAACATTGGTAACCGCAAAAGTACAATTAAAAATTAACACGTGCAATTAAATATTCAAAATGGCCACTGATCGATTTGCGACAATTTTATACTATTCCATAATGAGGTGTTTCTTCGACACAGCTGGGCTCGAAATCAATTATTTATCGACTCCCGCCTAAAATCCTATAATTAAAACGGTCAAGAATAAAATCAATGTCATGCTTTTGATATTTAACGCGTTTAACATTCCGGGACATTAATGGCTAGGGGAAGACAAGCCGGAAATTTATCGGGATCTGAGCAAATTAAATATGTAATTGACTTATTTTTATGTATCAGTAATGTTCGATAAAGTAGAACAATTAGATTAACAAATGTTTGAAAATTTTGCTCTCTAATGATTCCCCTTATCCTCGTATCTTTTCAACCAGGGGATCCGGGTTTCGACCATTCGACTTGACTGATGTACGTTCCGAGTCTTGCTCTATCCTTCAAAGTCAGTCGGAATTAAAGCGCTTTACATGGCCATCAAACTGTCGGTCCATTTTACTATCGACTGCTCCGACGCTAATCTAGGTCCTTCTAGGGCTACCCTTCCCATTCCATTATCCTGTTACCCTGGTGTTCAATTTTCAATTGGCAATCCTCATTAAACCATTGATAATCTTGTCTTAAGAATACATATGCCAACTATAAAATTTATTTTGCACCTGTATAAACAGCAGTAATGAACTTTGAATTTAAAATCATAAAGCAAGTCGAACAAACCCTCCCTATTGCATAAATAAGCAACTGGTGCCAACTATTGCAACCATCAAACTGGTGGTTAAATAGGTCGGAAGTAATTATCATAAGCATTTTTTCGTCGAATCGCTTTGTTCCTTCAAAACAAAAATAGAGCTAAAGAAACCGAGAATGAGACTATAATTGATGGAAACTAAAGGCCTACGGTTCAATGGATGTTTAGTCGAGGTATCTTCGACTTTATATATACCTCAGATTTATAAGTTTCTGCCTGTATTGTTTACAATTTCGATCTTTAAATTTTTTTAATTTTTTAAACCGGAAATTTGGAACTGCACTAGAGTGAAGGAATTCTGTGAGTTGAAAAATTTCCTGTATTTTAGGACTCGTTTGCGTGTTTAGTCGGTTTATTTTCCCGTCGCCGATCGTTTGCTTCAATTTATAACATAAGCATTTAAAAAATAGAACAATTGGTATACATTTTAAGTACGTTTTATTATAATAGATAACGAATAAATGTAACGAAAAAAGTTGAAATGGTTTTCATCAGATATTTTTCATACAAAATTGCCCTGGCTGTAAATAAAAAGTTCAGAATTTATTAGCCCAAGGAAGTAATAAATAACCGCAAAAAAATCATTAATCTGTTTAATTCGCTGTCTTGCAAGAGTTGAAGATATACAGGCTTTTTATGCTGACTGGGTGGTCAATAATGTTTTTGGATGTTAAACAACTTTTCGTTGGGTTTCTTAACGGAATTTAAGGCTATTGGCCAAGCCTGTTGATATCACGGAGTGAAATAATGCGAGAGATAGTCCCCCTGTTATGTGCTATATTTTGTTAGGATTAAGCTAAATTGTTGCCACCGTACCGAAACCGTATATCACGAGTGAAATAAGCTCCATGCTGTTTTCTTCAGTTTCTAAATTCTTTTGATCTTGGCCAATTTTTGTTAATTTGCACAATACAAGCCGGCATTAGTACTCTAGTTGTTTAAAGTTTTTTGTTATTACTATGCATTAATTATAAATCGGTAAAATGATATATGAATTTTACGTATGGCGGATAGTAGGCTGTAGAGTAAGTTACCTTAAACCTTTTAACTTTCTGTTATGTTGATAGATACATTTATTTACAAAATTATAAACAAATCCAAAAGTATTAATAATAAAAGTATCAAAAATGACAATAGCCGGGCTTGTCTGTCAGGAGTTAACATCCATTTGAGATATGACAAGAATCCAAGAGAAGATATAACGGAAAAATTGTAGTGATTAAACATTTAAATAACCTAACTAATACCAAAAGGGAAAATAAAATTTAATTTCTCTTGAGTAAAAAAAAAACCTGTAAGAAAATAAAATCCAAGGGGATTATCACAAAATATGCTAATACAAAATAATAAAAGAAAAATACATTCGTGATTAGATTAGTCATTACTTGATTAAATACATTACTTACTTTTTTTGCTTACTGACTTTAGCTTCCTTTTCTTTTATTAAATTTAAACAATGGGTCCCGTTTAGAACTACGGATACATCCGATAAATGTTCGGAAGTTAAACAAAATTTCCTCGTTATTCACAACGACCCAAAAAGTGGAATATATTTTCTTTTCCAATAAAAAATTCAGTCTTAGTTGTCTATACATGTTATGATACTGTCCTTCTAGCACCTATTACTCTGTTCCTTTTGATAAATTTTTGACTTTTTATCTTTTAGATGAAAACCATTTTTGCCCCACAGAACCTAAAACTGTCATCACCTACTTTCCTCGTCCAACAATCCCAATCATGAAACAAAAGAATTTTCTTTCTAATTACTTCTACTAAATTAGGTAAACGGGATGACTGAAGTTCTAGTACCCTTAATACACATCTAAAATGTAGAAAAAAAGTAAAAACATGGATCGAAATTGAAAATTGGATTCGTGTTGTAGTGTTGTTCGCCACAATGGATAAATTCTTACCCGATGAATTACATCTCAAGGTTTTTAACGGCCCAGATTGGTAAATCAAACTCCGTTTTATTAATTTCTTTTATTCCTACATTATTGCAATCTCAATATAATTAATATTAACCATTTAAAAATATAAAATTATTCAATCGTTGTTCCGTTATTCCTTCCGCAAATTTATTTAACTGTATAAAATAAGACCTAGACAAAATTCCTCCTATTGTTTTATTTTGAGGGTTATTTTTTTAAAGCCTCATTCACTTATTTTAAAAATATCTCAAAGCTTGTGTCCATCCTATTTAACGCGTATGTTGCAAAGCTATCTTAATCGTTGATGTAATTAATTTCAAAATTATTTTACGGTTTACAAGAACTTTTCCAAATTGACAAATAAAACCGAGACGATTGATCAATCTGAGCTTTTACGACCTCCCGTTTCTGATAGATTGCACTCTATCATTTATCTATTGAATATATGGAGTTGTTTTTTTTTTCTCGATCGGAGTGCCATTTGTAGCGTAGCAAGGGTTAAACACTGGGTTTTGCCGTTCAGCTGTTTAGCACTTTTGTACCTCTTTTATTTTTCTCAGGCTACCCGGTCATTATTTAGATTAAAGCGATATTAGTTATCAACACGTGTGAAACTATACAGATATACATACGCGGTTAGACATAATTAACTCATTCTCAGGTAACTATTAGTTTAAAGTTTTATTTATTTTATTTACTGAACCGTCCGAAGCCGTTCTTTGTTTTTCACATTTTCCAAATTATCCTATCAAATTCCGTGTTAGGTTATAATGGCCGTCGTAGATAATTTTGAAAAAAAAAAATTCACATATATCTCGCCTTAAATTTTTCATTGAACTTAATTTTTTTAGTAGTTTCGTAAATTTTTTAAACTTATTGATGCATTAAGCTTGAATCCCTTCAGGAGTCAATAGAATACTGGAAAATTTTATAAATGAAATATAATTGTTTTTAATCTCTTAAGAAATTTATAACATTTAAAAATAAGCCGACGTGTAATTACTCGGCGAATCTTAAACATTTTTATTATGTGCTTGAGAGTTAGAATTGTATTTTTTATTTTATAAATTTCTAGTCGGAATTTTGTCATTAATTTTTTGATTTTTATTCGTGAGGAACAGCTGTTATTAAGAACAATAATAAAGTTGCAAATTAAATTTTCACCTCATGTTTATCATTTTTACTTCAAATAGCTCGTCTGTTGTGCAGGTTTGTTTATACAAACCAAATGGTAAGAGTTTCGTTTGCATAAAATGCAATTACGGAAAACAAAAATTGTATCGCACGACGAAAATGATTTTTCCATTTTATCACTTTTACATTATCCATTTTCGGCAGAAGTTAAATTACAACGCAAGTTGTATTTTTCTGTAACTCATCTATGTACCTTCATAATTTTTCTGATCAGTTTATTTTCTACTTTTTTAATTTATATTGAAGAGCATAGTGAAAGATATGGTAGGTTGGGTTGATACAAAATAGCATAATAATTACTTGTATTTTTTAAAGTTATGTTAAAGAAATTAACTAGGAAATTAACGTACTGTGTATTCTTTTTTCAGCCGACTAAACTGAATGTCTACAAGAACGACATGGATAGTTGGGATTACACGAACCCAAGCGGAATGGGTAAGTCTCTCTCTCGCTTATTTAATTTGTTATTTATTTTTTTATTATTTGTTTCTCTTTTAATTAAAAAAAATCCACCTCTAACCCCAAAGTCCAGGGGCACACCTCTCAGGGATGAGACAAGTATCCTAAATCGATTCCGGCTTTAGGTGACAGCGTTAATCCCGATTGATCACTCATCTATTTACTTTAAGGGAAATACAGTGTTTTTAATTTTTCTATTGGACCAAACGTTTAATAAGCCTCGTGGTTGAATTTTCCTCTGAAACAAAGGTTTAAAAAGGTAACCTTTTTTCACCAGTTACAACGCGCAGATAAAACATTACATTAGATTTTCCCCATAATTGTTGGTTTTTTGTTAATAGTTTCAGCATAGGATTTGAACATTTTTATTATTGAAACATCAGTTTTATTAAAGTTTCATTAACCAATTGATTTCCTTCTTCACTTTTTTACCTCCGTTATGGAAGTAAGAAAAATTAGGATTATTTTGTCTTTCTCTCAAATGATTGAGCATCACAAATTACAACAAATATAATTCTACGAAAAAATAAAATATATGTGCCTTAGCCAGGCGTATATTTTTTCGGTCTCTGGTTGAGTGTTTGAGTGAATCATCAGTCGCTTGGGCCAATAATTTTACGCCGACGGATTTATATTTAGTGTAAATTATATCTAATATACACATCTCTTAAAAGTTGTTATAACATTGCTTGATCCATCGTTTAAAAGACTGAGCATCATTTAATGTCTAAATGGCTTATATCCGGTTGTAATGTTTTTCAAGCGCCTTTTATCTCCCCGTTCTAAATTTGGTCTGTTGGCAGGTCGTCGACTACTACAAAGGGGAACTTCTGAGTCCTCTGAAATGCTTGTCGAGGCCGTTTTCTATAAATAAATCATTTTGTCGTATCTCATAACGTTGCTTTAATACGCCCTCCGTAAAACTTGTTTATTTCTTACACAAGTATACCTTGTAACATACGCAGCATTTAAGGGGGCGTCAGCTCAATAGATATAGGTTTCGCTGGGAAGAAAGCGTTTTGAGACTTCGATCGAATTGAGCATTCGATTCTCATACATAAGGACTAGATTTTTTTAAAATTTGTGATATCTAGAGCTAATTTTCTTTGTAGCTACGACTTCATTCAATAGTTAGTGCCGATAGACGTTTATACATGAGTTGTTTTTGAAAATATTTGTAAATGTTGTTGTATTTTTGGATAATAGGTTTATTTATTGTAAAGGATCTAAAATTCTAAGTTATTTGTTTTTATCGTATAAGTTAATTATTTTCATCCTTTGTTGACGTGAAAAAATTGAACAACTCATGCAATACAGTTGCTGTAAAATAAGGAACATAGCTGCCTGTTGCCAATGCCCAAAGCTTTTGTATATTACCTGCTGTTAATTTCAAATATTAAAGATACTCACGCAAGCACTGCTAGTTTTGATAAAAATCAAGAAGTCTTACTCCAAAAATGTGCTATTCCGTAAAATCCTTGGTTTTTAAAAAATCTATTAGTTATCACAAAAAAAAAGCACCTCATAAAACTTATTAGCAAACCTATGAACAAGTTAGCGCATTTAGCATATAAAAACGTTTAATTGTTCATGGGTATTCGTACTATCTTAATAGAATAACGAACAGACAACACATTTAACTCAATGCGACGATCGCGTTAATGCCCAAGTAGGTTTAAGCATTGGAGACAGTGTAATCTCAGAATTAATTTCTATAACTGAAAATGTTGAGAAATAAATTATTTTTAAATCAATCGCTAAGAGGCGTGGTGGAGATCATCTTCATTCATAATCGGCCGGCTGTACGAATAGCAGCTTTTCTAAACTGGCGGTGGCTAAAAAGGTTTTTGAATGACGTTTCCTGACGTTTGAAAATCATTTTTGATCACTGTGTCAAAACTCTTTTTTAACTAAAACACACATGTACCCCCGAGTCCTAATTTAGAAAATATTAATATAGAAAAATTTATCCTATGAAACGCACACTATTTACAAATTACAGTTAAATTAAATTCATTTTCACTATTTAAATAGAAACATATTTAGGGAAAAACTTCACATTAGGAAAAAAAAATGATGCATCATTTTGGCTAAGCCGTAAGAAATCTAACTAGTGCAGATTATCGTCCAAGTTATTTATTTAGGCATTAGAATGGGATATGGTTTTGGTTATTTTAATTATAATGTCGAAAAAGCTTATTAATATCACCAAAACCACGTGTAAAAAAATCTAAATTAGGATGGGATCTTTTTCGAAATGCAAAGAATACTAACAAAAACGCGATATCGTTTAGGATATAGGATACGCGTACTATCGCGTAGACGTGTCCTGATGATGTTTGTCAGGTGTGATGGACGTGAGGGGGACGTTATCTTGGTGGAAAACAGCATCCATTCGCTTGGACCCTTCTGTCTCACTTTGAATTGACTCTTCCCATATGTACAAAGAAAACACGGCATGTGCTAAATAGAAATAGTCATAATACAGTCAGATCCTGTGACTGTCATATGCAATACTTTACCCTCTTCGATTACAAAATAAAAAAGCGAATGGCTTTAAGTTGATTTAGACATTTTTATTTAAAAATTAATAGTCAGGTATCTGAAGCCTATTAAACCTATTTTAAAATTGGTTAATTTGACAATCCACGAATATAGTCCAGTTCTAAAGCAATTTAAAACGTTTCCTTAAAATAATGTAATTTTAACATTTTGTCAACAACAGTTTTGTCGGTAATTTCTTGTTTGTCATTAAAAATAAAATAGTATAATATGGTTTTACATTTGATGAAATACTTTTCAATTTTATTTACACTGAAAGTATATTTATGATATGTCCCTTATATGTCCTCAGTAATGTAACATATAATTAGCTAAAAATATTAAGTGGTTTATGTTGTTATCCGAACAATGAGAATTATTTCACTAAATCTACTTGACACAGTGACTGATGTTACTTAAACTTAGTTATGTTCCTAAATTTAACTTTACATTTCGTAAGAGTTTGTACCAACAAATGTTGTACTTTTTATTGTATATATTATAGAAAAATCTCTTGTTAGAATGTTATCTTTACTTGAGAGAGGGGGCAGAATAGCTTTATTGCGGAAAGGGCCGTCGAGTTACTCCGCTTATCTTCTGCTCTTCCTACGGAATGGAAACATCACCGTGAAAAGATAAAAATATATATTCCCGTTATGATGGTGTCTCTTAGATTTTTTACTAAAAATACAAAAACCTACAAGAAAGTGAAATTGAATTTTTACACACACATCGGGTCGAAAGTTTTGTCAAAAAATCTTTCCTAGTAGTTCCCCTCATTATTTCTGCCTTGCTAATGTTACCAAGTTTATATCTTTTGAGTTTCAAACGGAAAGTTAAATGGCATAAAACTGTATTGTGGTCGACTGGTAATGCTTCTTAAATTTGAGTAAAATACTAATGCTACAAATTTATAATACAGTCGCTGTTGACAGGAATTGCGTACTCGGTTGTTGGCAATCGGGGGTCAGGCGTCCACTGTCCTGCCTTGTGACCCACCGAAATGGAGCTATGGTTTCACATTCATACTTATTCTTAAATTCAATCTTTCTAGTGGGTACCTGGTACTGTAGGGCGTTTACCTACCTTCGAATCACAAACACAAACAATACAACTATTCTAATTGAAGAGCGATTGTATTCATTGTTCTGCCTATGGCCTAACATTCATGCCTATAAATTTGTATATACATTGTCCATACACCATACATTTAAGACATCGAACTATGTACAGAAAAGTACCTTTGTTTCTTCTGAAAATCGGAACAGGGTATCGTGAGGTATCTACTCGATTCCTATTCGCTCTCCTTGTTACAAATCTATGTGACAGCTCGTATTATTCAAAAGTTCTTCGCTTCTCACACCGCTCACATTCATAACATAAAAATCGACGTTTTTTACTTTGTCATCTGAAACTCTCATTTTTCTATGTGTAAGATAGACTTGCAGGCACGGTTTTTATTTTGTTTGTGCCGAGGTTTATTTCGTAGTAATAACACTGGATTCAAATAACCAGTGTAGTTAGTGTTTAATACGGAACTGTGTTTCCTTATCTTTAGCTTGTTCCAATCACGAAGAAAATCGATCTGGTTGAAGGTAACCGGTTGAATTGTCTGTCTGTCGCTCAATGTAAAACGTAGGTATTGAGCCGTCAATTTTGTTAAATGTTAAGTGGCATTGTCTTTATTGTAAAATGTTCGTCACGACATGAGAATGTTGGAGATGTTCACTTGCGTACACGTTTCAATTAATGGGGCACGAAACGGCTGCTTGCAGTAAGGACGAAACGAAAGAGTGCACTTTAAATTATGACTTGTCTGAGATATTTTTCAAATTTTACTCAAAATATTAATTGCTCATTTTGATTTAATTTCGAGATTGTTCACAATATTATTGCCCCTTTCCTCTTTTGTTTTGAAAGAAAAACGAACATATTTATCACTTTCAGCATTTATAAAATCTAATATAATATACACTTTAGGTTTTAATTGTTTTTACTCTGGGAGTTAGAGAATGGGAGAAGGAAAACATTGTCAACTACAAACCACAGACCACCACAGACCGTACGCCTTTTTTTTTTTTTTTTGCTCCCTATTAATTTCCGTTTGGAACAAACCGCGAGGAAATAGCTTGACAAGATGAAGGGCATAATCTCATGTATAGTAGCCGGAGCGATGATCCCCGAGTAGATATCGTTTCCTCTCATTCGATTTTCGAAGCAGAGAGCTTTTCCCGAATGTAGGGTGAGCCGGAGAAAATGAGTTTGAGTTGAAAAGAGCTATTATTCTTATGTTATATTGAAATCTGATATACATAATATAATGATTTAAAAATCAAGTCCTACATTAATAGCTTTTGTAAATGTCTAATCAACATTTTTTATTAACTAGCCGAACAAAGTTAATAATTGTTAAAATGGACCAAAATATATTTTGACATTAAGTCCTTCCAATTTATTATTCTACCAAAAAGGCTAAATATTTATTTTTTTATTGTACAAAGAATGACTTTTTTTAAATTCATTTATTTATTTATTTTTTTTTTACCCATTGGGCAGCCGCTCTGGATTAATATATTAATCATTCAAGAGGTCTCTTATCCATATGCTTTTCAGTCGTATACGTGTTAATCGTGTGATAAATTTACTGTGAAAACGTCTGTAATATGTTTTGATGGATGAAAAAAAAAAAAAACATTTGGCATGTAAAGATCTCTCTGAAGTGTGTTATTGTTTATATAGGAATGGGCAGAAACCATTAGTCGTAAATCTTGAATTGAAAACTTTCAAATCTTTGAACATTGGAATATTAGGCCAATAAACTTGGCACGCGTACATCTAAATAGGTTTTTGTGGTATGAGTATATCGAAAGTTTTGATTTTAATAATAATTTTGTTCGTCGATTTAGTAGGTAATAAAGCATTTTAAATCGTTCGTTAAGTGTCCGTTTTAATCTTGTGTGTGGATTCCAGTTTAGTCGTATATCAACTGTAATTCCTAAATAGTTAACTTTGTCGGATTGAAGACCCGGTTCATTGTATAAGTATGTGCTACGACAAGTCTCACGACGGAGTGTAAGGTTGCGACTTGGACGTTTTAAACTTTATTTTCCAAAGATTGATTGATTTTTCAGTTGTTGACATGTGGTTTTGTAAATTAAGTCAAGTTCGTGTGGAAGAGGGGTGACTTGGTAATATGTCGGTGTCATCTCTGCGGCGGTAAGTGCATTCTCATTTGCGGGCATGTCAGAAGTAAAATTTGTGTAGCGAGTATTGACCCCTGTGGCACACCTGCATACACTTCTTCCATCTCAGAAGTTCCGATCCCTGTTTCACTGCGATCTTTTCTTAAGGTGTGACTATCGGATAATAGGCCTGGGATAAAAATAGTTTAAAATTTGTATAATAGTCCCACATCCCATACTTACTCGGAGGCCTGAAGAACATAAAAACAATCCAGTCTCGTACAGTTTCTGCTCAAGACATGAAGTAAAGAAATCTGTAACCCAGTGAAGTTGGTGGGTAGTGGAAGGATGGGTTCGAAAGTCAAGCAGATAGTCTGGTAAGATTTTGTTCGTAGTAGAAATAGCGATAATTCTTTTGTGAATTAATTTTTCGAAAATTTGTAAGGAACGGGTAACAAACTAATAGGAGGATAAGATGATAGGGAGCTTAAATTTTTTATGGGGCTTTGGGATCATTTTAATTTTAATTTAAAGAAAACCTTTAATATTCATGTTATTTTTTTTTCATTTTCGGTAGTATAATAATTTCAGAAGTTCATTAAATATTAAAACCTTTCTTCAGAGAGCTGTATTAGTTAATGGCACCTTTTAACTGGGACAATAATGAGTATTAGTTATATGTAACAACTATTGACTGGGAAACTTAACGCGAGGATCATAGCAGCCAGTTGTGTTCCTCGTACTGGAAATATTGTAAGAAGAAAACTTTTTCGATTATTTCAGTTGTTGGAGCCACATCTTTTTTGATTTACCACTAAATGGCGACTTTTTGACTTACATAATACTATTCTTGATCTGATTCACGATTTATAGAAGTGTTTTTGGTCGGGGACGTCAAAGAACTTTCTAACAAGAGATTCCTTTATACGCCTGGGTGTCCAGGACTTCCAAAACCCGATTGGATACTTGGTCCATTTCCAGACCTTTCACCCCATCAACATTTCCCTTTCACACCAATCACAGACGCCGATATTTATCGACCGACCTGAATCGGCAGCTAAAGTAAAATTTACTTAATTTTCTTGATTTATGGAATTTTTTATAAAGTCATTTTTCGTATAAAGTTCACTACGGAATGCCCCTTGTATTTGTTCGATTATTGGATTTGACTTTCAAATTATCATTGAAACCTTTGTGATGGTCCTGGGATAATTTAAATAGAAGAAACGTTTTATTTTGTCGATCACTGTGACCAATAACAAAAAGTTCTTAATATATGTATCACATATTTATGTATGTTGTTCAAAATGTAGTACGTATTAAATTCTTATATAATATATATTATTATAGAAATGTATAAATATGTGGTAAAGAAAAGCGAAGAATTATACATCTGCAGTTATGCAAACGAGTACAAAGCAAAAGCATATTAAAGCACATATATTTATTCCAATTCGCACTTTTTATCATATGGACAAATAAATTTATTGTAATAGTATTTAATAATTGATGTTCGATAATTGATGTTACAATGTTTCTGTTTTGTTTGAGCGAGTCAGGCAATATCAAATGTTTGTTTTAATTGCTAGACACCCTTGTTGATATTTGTTCGCAGATGCCGAGTTGGCAAGGCATTTGGAGGAAGATCCAGATTCTACTCCTTTCCTTCCTCAAACATTACCGTTCCACCTTCCCTGTTGGAACTATCGCCCAAGGGGTGAGAAACCTTTGTCTCCTTTCACTCTCCTTATCTTTGCACATTTCCATATGCACCCCACTGACAAACGTCTTACTTTGTCCTAATATCCTCACAATGCCTTCTCTCATGCCTTCTTCTTTTTTTAGAAATTTGAATAAATTCGTATCTGGAGGTCTTGTAGATACTTCCAGATTAAGTATTTGTACGATTTTGGTAGTTATTTCCTTAACGTCAAGGTACAATAGTAGTTTACCGTTTTTAGTTTTCTTTCCTTATACATAAAATAACGGCTTTTTTTACTAGTAGAAGTACTTTGTTAATGTTCATTGTTACTTTGTTTACTTTGTAATTGTTACATTTATTTAGAAATATTATTTATAACTTATATTAATAATACACATGTACATTTGTGTGTGCGTGTGCTTGTACGTGTGTACTTTACCCTTGAAGATCCTATTTTGATTGTAGTAAAAGTCGGTAAACGGATGATAGAGAAAAAATTAAAAAATATTTTTGCCCAAGGGTGTTGTTACCATATCTATTGCACTAAAACTAAATCCGTAAGTAGTAGAACTACATATTTGCTATTAAAAGCTGTATTGAGGAAACCATACTAAATGCAGTAGTTATATAATTAACAGTTCAGGAGAACTCCCTGTTGTGGTCACCGTTTATTATTAAATGTTCAGAGCCTTAATTTGATGTCTTTTTCAATATTAGTACGAAAGATTTCTACTTCTTCAGTGAAAGATTTTTTATATATATTGGATGGCGAGTATGTCATTGAATTTTCGTTACACCTATTTAGGATGCAAAAAGGGAGTTAGTAATCAAATTCAACCCGACAAAAGATACTTTTGAACGGAAAAGTCTTTCCGCTCACGATCGAGTTAACTCTTCAGAAAGAACGACTATAAAGAATGAAATTGAAGCTTGAACAATAGGGCCTGATGAAATCTCGACAAAGAAGCCATGCCTCTCTCCCCTTTGTCTTACTTCTTTTTTTCTTCTCTCAACAGTCACTCATTCAGTTGAATTTGTGTAATTATTTATGCGACCAGAAGCCATAGTCGGCCGAGAAAAACTCATAGGGCTTCACTGCTTACAACGTAATATTCATTATCCTGTTAATTTCAAACATGATCGATGAAACCTGTTTTCTTGAAAAAAGAAAAAAAAAAAATTCTAAGTTAAAGGTTCGTATTCATTTTATTGTTTGCACCGTGTCGATCATTGCTGATGCATTAGCCATTTTATTGATATTTTCTCCACACACATTTTCGTAGATTTAAATTAAATTTTATTATCTGATTTTAAGGAGGATGATGACGTTTCCTCCTCGATGAAAAATTAAGAAAACTCTTTTGAGAAAGTTAAGAATGAAATGTTTGTAACAGACAATAACTTGTATATATCAGATTCTTTATTCAAATAATACATTTTTACATTATTATATTAAAGTTTTTTGATGTTACCCTTGGTCTTTTTGAAACCGTCTGTGGGTTATATATTTAAAATTAAATATGAACCTACATTTTACCTTTCAAGTCAGAAAACACTTTCAAATTCGATGAACCTTTAAAAAAATACTAGTCGTCGCCCAAACCTGTTTAAATTTAGATTTCAGTAAAAGGTGTTTTCAGTTTTTCCCCAGTACCCTTCATATTCTTCTACACGTTAGCATATCAAGAACCAGACAATAATATACAGATTGACCTTTTTATAATTGCTTCTGTTAAAAATGGAAAATAGAGGATAAGAAACAACATTCAGAAAAATAAGAGTTAGAATATTTATACAGTGAAGCCCTTGTTAACGGACAATTTTTGCATTCCCGGTAAATATGATTTCTGTGCATTTTGAATCCTCTACAACGGAACCAATCGGTTGCGGACACTTCCCATCAGAATAATTCACTCCTCTAGAATGGACGTAAACAGTAAAAATATATCCATATATAATTTCCATGTGAAAAAAAATTGTTACCATTATTAAGCTTTTCGTTTTCTATTTGTTTAAATCATAAACGTTTTAGGAAGGTCGCTAGATGTATGGCATATATTTCTATGCCTTAGACATAACGAAAACCGTTTAAATTTTGTTTTGACGCAGCATTCAGGACGGTTGGCATGATATCGCGCTCTAGTCCCTTCACCAATTTTATGAAGTTCAAAGAAGCAGCGTGCTGCTTAAAACGGTAAACGGCGTTGTTTTTCATCCATGAAGAATTATTCGCTGAGCTTACCCAGTGGCAGTGCGATATGATTTTCTATGCATCTATCTACCCTTCTCCTCATAAATCCCCCACTTTTCTCATCGAGCATCGCAGCGGTGGGGATTATCCGTTATGCTAAACTGCTTTGCGTTGCGATAAGCTCAATAACATAAAATTTCATTATTTGATACTACAATAATAACATGATCAAACTATGTCTGTGTCATTCCTTAAGTAAATAAAAATTTGGATTCTCCATTGTTCATGAAATGAATGCTTTCACCAGCAGATATAAATATGTCGCTATTGCTTCATTAGTTTCTAGGCATGAATAATTCAAAACTTGGTCGGGAAGAGGGAACACCTGAGTGGATTCATTAGAGAGGAAAGTCCGATCGGGAATTTCCTGTGTCGTTGTTGTCGATTTAGAAAAAGGTTTCTCGCACCTCCCCGGCCGTCGCGACCCTCGCTGAATCGATCCAGCTAATCTGAAGAAGTTAGAGAAGTGTTTACCCCTTGGCCCGGACAGAGGAGCCGTCTTCACCCGCCCTTCCATCCTAAACCCACTTCCACAGTTATCGTTTCCGACACGGCATCTCCACGTTCCGATCCTAGATCTGACTTGGTTCAGATTTCGCTACTGTTGACTTCCTCGCTAGATACGCGGGCCTCCTCCCTTAACCACTATCGCCTCCTTCTAGCTTCATTAAACCGATAGGACTTGTCTGTCAGCACCCCTTCCTCAGAACCGTGCACAATCGTACCGAATCCATCTCTCTCTCCTGGCTCAATTTTATTGTTTATTTATATACATAATTTTTTTACATCACCAGTTTTTCGCTATTATCGTTCGATTCATTTGGATTTCAAGATTTGTAAAAAAAATTGTCTCCGTGAATTATTTACACCCCCTCCCCTTGACAGGAGCGAACCATTGGGTACCCCCCAATAACCAATTTATCAATACATACTCTATTTGTCTGCTTTACATATATACGTAGATAAATTAAAAATAAATAAATTCATGAATTTCATGCACTGGATAACAATAAAAAAATTAAAAAATGATACCTGCATTACAATCGATATTATTAATTTTAATGTACTTTCTTCTCATTACAAAGATAAATTAATTCTTTAAAGATCGCAAAGAAATATGTTCTGTTTGGATTTATCCAAATAAAAAAATGTTAATCTTCAAAATAGAAGACAATTTCATAGATATGTCCGGCATCAAAGTTGGGGCTTGTCTTTTCCCTCTTACCGAATTCCTCCCTTTTTTTAGTCTGCATGCCTTTTATTATTTATTTAATTTATAAACTTATGTAGACAGAGCTTTGTTGTGTATTTCACCGTTTAGTTACATCTGTTTAAACTGAATCAGTTTCACCCATTGGTGTTTGTGTTTTTGCTATGTTTTGTTTGTGTAGATGCTTATAAAATGTCAATAACAAACTTTTGGGCCTTTTCAAATCAAATGGTTTGTCGAGGCCTGTCTACACAAGAGGTTTGCCTCGACACAAACAGAAGGTAGGAGATCGTCTCAATCACAACAAAAACAGCATTACTATAAAAAAAAAAGGAACAGCAAAACAAAAACTCGATACAGGATTGAGAAGGAGAGAAAGAGAGATGGCATCAGGAGAATACAAAGTACACAAAATCAACAAAAACATCATAAAGAAGAGGAAAACAGAAAATAAACATAACAAAATTAAAAATGTAAAATCTGCACAAAGACAAACAAGGCGCACACAAGGAATTGCATTTACCTAATTTAACTTGGGGCAAACACTCATATGGAACAAAATGGACGGTTTGTAAAGTGATGTGCAATGTTTGTCTATGTGTAGGTTTAAACGGGGACAGCCGAGAGAACTCTGACAAAGCGGTCCGTCCACATCAGTCTGGTCAGGCCGTGGGTCACCGCCAACGTCTAAAGGTAACCATGAAGTGTTATTTGAGGCAGCAGAACATAACCTGTACATCCCCGAGAGTTAAAGAAAAAACCATCAGTACTTTGTAATTTATTGTAAGAGTCTGGAACTAAATCAGCTGTTGCAGTGTTGGTACTGCTTTTACGCCATCTGCTTGTCTTGGCTAGGGTTCAGGAGTCGGTTTGCTCGGTTTAATTTGCCTGTTTGTTTTTGTTGCAGATAAGCCTCCGGAGACTGCTCACACTAGGCAAGCCCCTCTCCTCCAGGAGCCTAGATTTGGTGTCGCCCCTCAGCTGTACAGTAAGTTCTAGTTGTACTTTCCAACAATATAATAAATTTCTTAACTATATATAATTACAAAACTACTGAATATAATTAAAACAACAATTATTCTTAAATGATGAGAATTAAAAAGTAATTAATGTTACATCCTTACAAACATGTTGCATAAATTTTGCATGTGCCTGTTATGTTATGTTACTATACCATTGTAATTACACAACTACTAATTTTAATTAATGTGAAAAACTTTTTCCTTATCGCAAAAAAATTCTTGTAAAATCCATTTGCACAGAAAACAAGCATCAAGGGCACTCATAAGAACATTACACAGGCATTCAGTCTGTTTCACTATTGAACAACCTACTAACTATTAACTAGTTACTGAAATCACTTGCTTAGCAAATAAAGTAACATTTTCAAAATCTCTTTTCCATTATGTTGTTAGTGTATGTTCACTTGTCGTTGTTGTGTTTCAATTGTTTGATTTTCATTTTAGGTTATCACCATTATAGTTTTATTAACAAATAATCATTATTGCACTATTATCTAGCTAGCTGCAGCAATATATTTTCTAGTCTAATAGTTGACGTTCATATTAAGGGAAAGACATGCTAATCACCTCCTATTTGTTTTTCAAACAAAAATGAACTTGGGATTTTAAAAAATAATATTTTAACATCTGGAACCGACCACCAGATGAATTCTGTAGACATTCATTTTGGCTCGATACCAGAATAAATACAAGTTCAAAGCTGTTTATCTATGCTTTTAACTCAAATTGTTGAAATCAGATCTTACAGTAGAGCAGTGTGAATATTTAATTTTTTTAATTTGTGTTAGTTTTTTACAACTTTAAAAAATATAAGACCATTTTACTAATATGCATGCAGTGAACCATTTTGTGCCTACTTGTTGCAAACTACTGAAGGGTCCAATTTTATTGTTAATGCTTTTTTTTATAATACAACTTAGGTATGATTTAATATTCAATGTAGAAATTATTTATTTCCATTTATGTTAAATTCAATACAAGTAAATAATATGATTAAAAATTTTAATTTGATTTTGCATGTGAGGTTTTTATTCTATGTAGGTGGGTAAAGATTACATCATTTAGATCATAAGGCAATTATTCTGGTTAATATACCTTAGAAAATGTATGGCATTGAATTAAAAAAAGTTTACAGTTGAAATTGTTTGAAAAGTACCTTCCCCACTTCAAATTGAGCCATTAACACTACTTTTATTCCATATAAATACACCTTAGACTAAGTGACAAATCCTTTTCCCGTGTTTCCTTCTCAGTTGACTATTAGAAGAAAAATACATGCTGTCAAGCCTTTAAAGATGCTGAAAGTTGTTTTCATTTTGAAAAAGCGCAACCATTTGTTTAAAAAAATAAAATAAATAAATAAACAATTTGTAGATAATTTTTCTTCAAACATCTTTATTTAGGAATATAATAATGTAAGAAAAATAGACAAAATATTGACATCCAATTTTTAATTATTAGCAACTTCACCAATTTCACTTCCCCCTTACTAACAATTTTGAGTATAAATTAAAACCTTTTTGCAAAGTGTTTCCTGTGTTCCTGCAAAGAGGGTCTTGTTTGATTTCACACATTGTTTTTGACGCTTATAAATTTATTTATCCATGTTACTAACAAATGTTATACATAAGTATTATTTCCATTGTTACATTTACTTTGGTCCAAATTCACAATAACATATGTTTTCAATTACAGACTTTGGGCCGGGAAAGAGCAATTATCAAGGTACTTACACAACATTTTTCTTTCTTTCTTTTTATTTATTTTTTTTTTCTTGTTTTGTGGTAGGTGGTTGTAGTTCATGGTGGTGTAAACTTATTGATGGATAAAGTGATTTTTCTTTTATTTAAATTGTGCTTAATACTATTTTATTGCTTAGAAATGTTGTGTAATCAGGATTCGATTCTCAGCGACTTACGAAGTGGCCACGAGATGTTAGCAAAGTGATTAGTGCTTTAATTAAATACACGACATTTGATAAATGGCAAAAAGAGGGAAATTTCAAAAAGATGTAGGTTGAAATGAGTAGTTGGTGGATCGAACAGTGGTGTATTGAGCCAAAGGTCGTGGGTTCAAATCCTGGTCACGACACTAACTTTTACATCTCAACCAAGACTTTAGATAAAAAGAATAATTAATTGAAATAATTTTTTGTGGGAAAATGATCTCTTTAAGGGAAAAGGCGTGGCAATTGAATAAATGACTTCAGCCTGCCCATTCTTTCTTCCTACATTTTATAACAAAAGAAAAAAAATGGCTTCATTGGTCTATGTGAAGCTGGTTTTACCTGTTGTACATGTTTGGCAATCTTTATATGGTTGGTTTGTGTTATTTTCTCAAAAATGAGGACAGCTGTTACAATAACACCCAGCCCTACCGCTGAAGATTGCAAATGTTGAAACATGTTTCAAAGACAAATCCGTTTCTAGAGGTAGCCCAAGATAACCAAATACAAATAAGCTACAACTCACAGACCTCACCACAATTTTTCACAAAAACCAGAAATAAAAACATGAAATAGGATGTTTTCTCCTGTTTTGAGGATGTAAGGAATTTCACAATTTCTAATTTTAATATATTTAATACCCTAGGTTTAGGTCCTGTAATTTTTCATGCAAATGAACTGAACACAGTGAAATTTACTTCATTGATAGTTCATAGCTTTTGTGCCAAAATAAATCAATAGAATTATAAATAATACACAACTGATCTGATTTACTATAATATTCAAAGGATTTGCCTGGATAAGAGTTGTGTACTATGTAGATGTATCCATAGAAGTATAATTGAAATTGTCTCATGTTTACTTCATTTGTTATAGCTTTAAAATCTAAAAAGTATTAATCAATATGAAGTTAAATGAACATTTATTTTTTTAAATATCTATTGCAAATAATAATTTTCCATTTAATATTAATATAGTCATTTCTTGTATTGTTTATGAAAATTAAAAATTAAATCACCTTTAGAGGGTAATTTCTTAACTTATCACAATATTTATTACATTTGGAGCAGGGGAACTACTTGTTACCATTCCTAATAAGAGTATTTATAAATAAAAGATCAGAGTTAATCCTTTTCTAATTTATAGTTAACACTTACATCAAATATTAAAAATGAATGAGTTTAAAATGAAATATTCTTTATCTTAGATTATACCTCTTCTCACAGTTTTTTTAAATTTAAAATAAGATTTGTTCCTTCCTTCACACATTGCCATTGTTAAATTCCGGACAATTTTCCAAAAAGTGAATCGCCATACTCACCCCACCTCAAATCGTTTCTGTTTTCCATTACTTCAGTAACCCTAGAAATGATTTGTTCACTTCCTTTTGTTACAGGAGGGCAAACTCAATCCAATTACATGGACTTTGAAGATAATGCGTACACAAATGGGCGGCCCTCTGCCTATGGTGACTACGTGAGCGAGCGCTACCCACCGGCTCCAGTTGACAAGTTTGTTTCACCACCGATTTCTCCTCGCATGTTCCTTGATGTCCTAGCTTCTTCACGGTATTCCTTCATACAACCTTTCCTGTTTTACCATCCACCCTACATCCCTGACCGATACCTGTGACTGATAACCCCTTAAAATGCTAGTCATGCCATTTGACATTTAATATTGTTTGATACATATTACAATAGAAGTAATATTTAATTAATTTCTTAAATTTTACTAATTTTTTTACTTTTTTCCTTGATACCATTTATTTGATCTGAATACCATTAAACAAATTGATTATATGATCAAATAGTAAACTGTAATTAAATAAATAAAAGTTTTGAACCTAATTCAATTTTTTCTTTCTTTGCAGTAGGTTTATGGTAAAAGGCGTGCCAGGGCGTGAAGGTCTTGTGGCCCCTCCACCGCCACCTCCACCACCTAGAGGTGGTACCTTCCAAGATCTTGCACCAACTAATGGTGTTCCAGGAGGTGCAGGCTGTGTCCTGATGGCATATGGCCTTGACCCTAACAAAGCTAACCCTGACAAGTTGTTCAATCTTTTCTGTTTGTATGGAAATGTCATAAGGGTTAGTTGACATAAAATATTAAGTCTAACTGTATTAAAGTTGACGTACTGATGGGACTTGTGTTTTAGGTTAAGTTTTTAAAGACGAAAGAAGGATGTGCAATGGTACAAATGGGTGACAACATTTCAGTTGAAAGGTGTATAAATCATCTAAAGAATATGCCACTTTTTGGAGGCACTCTGCAATTAGGGTAGGCTTTTTTTGCTTATTTTTCCTTATATTTATTATGTTATTAACAATTTTGTTTCAACAGATATTCCAAGCAGACATTTTTGAGTCAAGTTGCACAGCCTTATAATTTGCCAGACAACAGTGTCTCTTTCAAAGATTTTGCAGCAAGTAAAAATAACCGATTCATGAACCCCAGTATGGCCAGCAAGAATCGAATCCAGGGGCCAGCAAAAATTCTTCATTTCTTCAACACCCCCCCTGATATAACAGAGGAACAATTGCTCGCTGTTATCGAAGAAAAAGAAGTAAACAAACCATCCCAGATTAAACTTTTCCCAAAGAAAGGTCGGTAGACATTTCAATGTCGCATATTTTTGTTTCATACATTTTCTTTGTTCAAGCAGATAGAAGTTCTTCTGGGTTAATGGAATTTGACAATCTCGAAGATGCTGTAAACTGTCTCGTCAATTGCAATCACGTTCCAATTAAAAACCCAGGTAAATCTATTTTCAATTTTTGTTCAAGTGACATTCATTGCTTTCTTTAACATAAACAACATACCGAATGATGTATAAAAGCATGGCTTAAAGAAAGAAAATAAAGGAATGAATGAAACAAAGGAAGCTATTGACCACATTTGACATACGTGCATTTCAAAATTTAAAAAACTGGAAAATTTGAAATTTTTTTTTTAAAGGTGTAAATATAATGTAGCATTGGGCATAATATTGTCACAAAATATTTAAAATTTTACTGAAAAAAACTAAATATATTTATGTATCTGTATGTTTTTAGTTTAGTTTTAGTTAACCAAAGTGATTATATTTAAATTGATTTATAATTTTTATGTAAAGTGTGTGAGATGAATATTTGCCAAAAAGAGGGAAATTTGAAAAATTTGTAGGTTGAGATGAGTTGGTGCCTCGGGGGACTGAAAGCACAATCGCTCAAGTGGTTAAAGCAGCTGCGTATTGAGCTGAAAGTCATGGGTTCGAGTCCCTCTGTAGTCACTAATTTTTCACCTCAACCACGCTTTACATAAAATTTGTAAATTATATTTATGTATGTTTGTATCTATTTTTTGCTTTGTTTTTGCAGAGAGCAAATTTCCTTATATGATGAAGTTGTGCTTCTCTTCATCTCGCACGATACGGTCACCACCAAACGGGTCAGGAATGAAAGATGAAGCACAGCAGTAGGAGCTTAATGGGAAACTCCTTCTGCACTAGCAGTTCTCAGTTTATGTCAATTACTATTCATATAAGAGTCTTAAGTGAATTGCAAAAAAAATTACCAAAAAAAAACTATAAGTACCAAACCCTTCTTATAATAATTGATTTAAAAAAATGAATACAATTGAAGTATACTTAAAAATACAAAATTTAAAAACGTTTGAAACAATTATTTCTTGCAAAAATCTATTATATAATAGTTTTAAAAAAATAGTCAAATATGAAATCCGTGAACTGAGCAATCTATCATATATTTATTCTCAAAGTTTACTACCTAACTTTTTTCTTTTATTCTTTTCATTTCTGTTTTTCTTTTTTTCTTGTTTAAATATGTAAAGAGTACATATTGCACAATTGATTTGTGCACTAAAAAAAACATACCTCCAAGCAATTTAATTGAAATAAAAGATATTTAATATTTTATGAAATCTATTGTAAAGTTAACTAGTGGAAAGCGACAATTGACTTTACCCTATTATGTTATTTTGCACTTTCTTTTCATTCATTAAAAGACACAATACATTCATATATATTATTTATTAAAATTTTAAATTAATGAAATAATGTATTTAAATATGAAGTACATTGTTGAAGTTTTTAATTAGTAGACTTTAGTGTTTAATTTTTTAGTTATGATTTGTTTAGTGCTTTGTTTTGTAATATATGGGTTTTTTTAATGTTTGTATTATATTATTCAAACATGATTTGTATACAAAACTATTCGCGTATTTAAAAATGTGTAATACTTAACCAAGTAGTCCGAGCCAATCTAAAACCCAAATATTGCTTAGTATGTACACTTCTTTGTGATGTGGCTTCATCAATAAGTAAATCACATATAACAATATTGGAACATAACACTGCTTCAAAGAGTTAGATTATGAAAATAAGTAGCAGCGTCTGTGTCGTGTGTTTAATTTATTTTTCCAAATTGGTCTAATAGTTAGAAAATCATTTTAAAAAACTCTAATTTTTAAATATTTAATATTTTGAAAAAAATAGGTTTAGGTAGAATTAGTGATGTGTTGATTAAAATAAATAATAGTAGATGACCATGTTTAAGATGCCAAAATAATATTGGATATTATTATTGTTGTATTAATAAAACCTTCTAGTAGAAAAACAACAGAAAGTTAATATAATTTTTGTTTCAATTAAGGGTTTTTAATTTGTATTCACTTTAATTATTAAATTGTAGATTATACTTGTGATTCAATTTGTTGTATGTAGAGTGTAAAATGCTATTTGTGGTTCAAATCATTTTAAGAAAGTTAGAAGAAAAAACAAGCAGAAATAGTAAATTGTATTTTAATTAAATGTGGAATGCTAGCACAAATATTTTAAATTTTAGAACAAACACTTATATTGTACACGTACATTTAATTTACATGTAAAACACTAAATAAAACGTACTATACATAGAAAATGGAACAAAAATACCTTACCCAAAAAACAACTTTAACATAAAAATAATCAAGAGCAAACATAATGCACAACAAAATGCAGGTATGTTGTTACAACATAATTCCACTACACATTCCTGTTTTTATTTATTTATTTTATTTTATATTTTTAGTTAATATTTATCACAGATTTTTAGACATTTTTTTATTTTATTTCTCATACAATGTTGAAAAACACCATTTTATTTTCATTTATATATTTATTTATTTTTGGTGTGTTTAATACATCATTAAAATATATCATTGGGACCAATAAAATTTAGTTTTCACTACTGGTTTAACAAGAATATACTATTTAAAACAAATTACATAACCATATTTTATTAATAAAACAGATTTTTGGACAAAAATAAACAAACCATTTTTATAACGCATCTTGCTATCTTGCAGTAATATCATTGAAAACTTTCCTGTTCAAATGAAAGTTGAGGACGGTTTTTTTAATTGTTAATCAATTTTATTGATTTTTTTTTAACGAATAACCAACAGTACAGCAATTTAAATTGTCAGTTTGGGACCAGACCTCTTATTTAATTTTTTTTTAATTAGCAAAAATTATTGGGAAATGATTGCATATGTGGAAAAATGTTCAACTTAAATGTTTAGGGTTTTTTTTTTACTTTAATCAATAATTCATTCTGAGACTGTTTCCTTAAAAATTAAATTTGTAAAAGCTCTTTTCTGGCAATTCTATATAAATGCAAATTTATTGTGTAACAAGTGTAGGTATTAATTACTTAAAATTTTACAAAACAATTATTTTATATTTTTTCTTTCTTGGGATGGCTAAGAAGTTCCTGGATTTTTTGTAATCTTAAGGTATTCACAAAAAAAAAAAAAAAAAAAAAAACGAATTTTTATTTGTAGTCTGTATAAGAAACTTCAATTAAAAAAATGACGAATTAAGTTTTTTCTTCACATGAGTATTTAACATTGACAAAAGACTGTAAAATAACCATCATAATTAAAAAGCGGTCTGTGAAAATTTCCCGTGCTACCAATTAATTGAACATCCTTAAATTTGTTATTTGTGTAACTTTCAAAATGGTCCTTTTTACCTGAGTGATTCATTCATACATTCTAAGAAAATTGGGGAGGAGTAAAAATTTGTGTTTAGAAGGTACATAAATGAATTTATAGACCTCTGATGAATTCATGTGTACAGGTATTTTTTTAATTGTAAATACTGCTTTTATTTTGGTAATTAATTTTTCGTATATAAATAAAGCCAAGAGTAATGTATTGTTCAGAAATTTTACCACGTGTATATTCGTACATGTGTTTAGTCAATGGTTTTAGGTGCACTTCATAGGTAAAAATAATTATAGATAAGTGTTTCATAATAAAAGTCAATTACTTACTAGCTAGGTATTATTTGTGATTGTATTATATGATCTATTCTTTTTAACAGTAATGGTAGTTATGCGAGGAGTTGTTTTAAAAAATGTTATATAGCTCTGTATAGGCCTAGATTGTCTTCAAAAATAATTTTTTATTAATTTTTTTTTTCTTAAAAGAGAATTTAGAACAGTGATATCTGAAATATTTATGAAATGGTGTTAATTATGAAATAAAATGATTTTAAAAGAAAAGAAAATTTGGGTTTAGCGTTTCGTATATATGTAATATTACCCCACTTCCAAAAATCGTAAAAACTATTTTTTTTTTTTTTTTGCTTAAAATACAATAACAAATCAACCATTCATATAATAAGTGAATGAGGGTGACATTTTTCTGGTATATGTACCATTATTATTGATATTGTACCTATGATGCGAGAGGTGAGTGAGGGGCTGCAAGTCCTGCCTATTTAAACTTCATATTTTCCATTCTTTCCTTTCTTATTACTTTAGGTTTTCACCCTAAAGGGTTGTCATCCCCAATGTGCTGACCCTAGGGTCTTCTTCAGGAGAGTTAACCTACCCCATTGTGTCTTGGTCGATAGTATCCCCCTTAAACCAGATGCCCAGGAGAACATCACTTTCAAACTAATGGGAGCTATTGACAGCTAGGTCATTTCAGCCCCCAAATGCGAAATATAATGTAGTCTAAAATTAATGAATATTTATAATACAGTTGCACAAATACATTCACACCTACATATGAATATCAAACTCATTTTGATTAGCTGGTGGAGTACTCATTATTCTTCCACCAATATTAATCTAATCTAAATTAGGGTCGATGGGGTACTTTTTATAAATATTAAATCATCCACTCTGAACGTTCATACTGCTCAGGGCGATGGTAATGTTAATTTCAACAACACTCCTTTCCACTCACACTAAAATACATGCACTCAAACAGTACACATAAAACAATGCAATAAAAAAAAAAACCTCCAAAAAGTGGAACAGGGCATCCAAAAACTCGCTACTGTGGCCCCCAATCCACCCCTAAATTTAATAAAAATAATTTAAGTCAATTTGAGAAGGTAGGTAATAGCAACATAATATACTTTCTGTTTTACATTTCAGAATCCTGTGACATAATCATGTAATTTTTACCTTAAAATATATACATATAAAATAAAAAAAGCCTAAAATTGGCAGCATGTTACATAATTGCCTTAAACAGGCAGAATATTATCAGGATAATAAGGGAAATCCAGAATCAGAGCATGTTATGAAAGTATTATTTTCTAGGCAGAACTTAACGGTATGCAAGCAAATCAGCATTATAGTAGCATACCAAAGGATGATGGATGGATAAATTTAAAAAATTGTCATCAATAAATTAAAGAAAGTGTTAGAGTAAAACAGGTTTTTATCATTTATTCGCAGTTGAGTAAAATTCATCTCACAGAGGCGGTTTTCCTGTTTGTGAGTTTGACAGGCCAGAATATTATTTTTCAACACTGTTAAAAAAAATTATTTTGGGATAATTGATCATTTCAACTGTTAATGTTGGGTTGTTTTCCAGGCTAAAAACATTTATTTTGTAAATGCACAAACATCAAGTTTTTATTTCTTTATTTATTTGCTATAAAGAAAACAAAATTACTATGTATTTGTATATATTTGTATGAAAAGGAGAAAAATCCATAAAGTATGATATAATTATCATAAAAACAATTCCATGATACTTGATATAAAAATATGACATGTAAAATCCTATTTAATCATGGTTTATTAATATTTTCTCTTCCATGATATAGTCTGAAAAAAATTGAACAGTTTAGAATAATAAAAAATATTTTTTGAAAAATATCCATCTTTTTTAATAGCTTGAGAAATTATATTATTTTGGGTGGGGTGTCTTTCGTATGTATTCTTTCCCCGATGGCACATGTACTGTAAAGTATCCAGCTGGAAACAGCTCAGAAGCCTTCTCGTTTGAGAGTGTCGGAAGCACCATACAAGCATCTCCTTGCTGCAAGAAAGATTATCATTCGAATAAACAACAACGCACTGGTTTATAAAAACGTTTTACCTTCCAATCAGCGGGCGTCGCCACAAGTTTCTCATCGGTTAATTGAAGAGAATCAACCACTCTGAGAATCTCCCTAAACCAGGCATACAAATATAATATGCACAAATAAATTTAACAAAATTACAAATAATTACGTAAAATTTCTCCCTGTTGTAGCCGGGTACAAAATTGAGAGCCTTAATTTCTTTTTAGGGTCAATTACAAAAACAGCCCTACACGTGACTGGTAATCCTTCCTTATTTTTCTCTTCAGGGTCGATCATGCCAAGTTGTACGGCAAGTGACCTCGATTCATCAGCAACAATGGGATACGGGAATTTGCCAACATTCAGTTTTGAATAGCTCTTGATATCCTTTTAAAGGAAGAAAATTAGTTTCACCATGAAAATCAATCACAATATATTCAATTAATTATGCACGATTTTTTGAAATGAAAAAATTGTGTCACAGACGGAATTTGAACCATTATCTTTGGATCAATATCCGATGCTTTAACAATTGAGCTACCGTGACCTTGCTTGTCCGTGACTATCTCACTTCAATATCCCATTTTTATTCCAATTATAATTGTTCCGAAGATAATGGGTTCAAATTGTGCTTTCAGACACAAATTTTCATTTCAAAAAATTGTGTATAATTAACTGAATATATAAAATAAAATGATATTCAACAAAAATTGGTACAATCTCAATATATTTATACCTCGATCCACTTAAGGACATCCTCCACAGGATCACACGAGCAGCCCATCACTTTGACGTTTCTCTTTTCAAACTCTGGTAAAAGTTCTGCAACTCGACCCAGCTCAGTTGTGCATACAGGTGTAAAAGCATTTGGGTGTGAAAAGAAAATGCACCACCTTTTTCGCAAAAAAAAAAAAAATATATATTTTCAGATATGAAATTAGATGATTATGGCATAGGAAGCCAAAAGGAATAAATAAGTGTCATCTTTAATGTATTTACCTGTCAAAAAAAAAAAACCTAATAAAAATAATATAATACAAATAATCCACAATGGTACTCCAAATGAAGTATGTACAAAAAAAAATTTACTTTGATAACCTACATATTCAATTCTGTTCTTCCTACAGCATGGAAGCACTCATATATCCGAATGGTGCCGAAATCAAAAAACCAACATGTTGTATCGTCATATTGACCAATAAATCTACTACCCATTTTGGGTAAAATTTTAGATAGTCTCCCATTGAAAAGAATTCTTACAATTCTAAATTCTCAAAATATAATCCCGGACAATCAATTTGGTCATTGTGTGCAAGAAATTATTCCTCCTCCCTTGAGATGGGACAGTACTGTTCTGGGTCTTTTATGACATAAGCCAAGTTTTTGATCATGTTTGGCAACTGGGCTTGCCGTTCATGCTCAAAGCTTCCAACCACCAGGGTAGCGTTCTGGCCCCCACACTTTACAGCTGATATCCCATTACATCCCCAAACCACCACATTTACATTTGCAGATGATACAGCAATTCTCTCTAACAACGCTGATCTGCCATTTCCACCCGAAACCTCCCACAACACCTCGCAATACTAGAGTCTTGGTGTAAAAATAAAATAAAATTTAACACAGACAAATCCATCCACATCACCTTTACTCTCTGTGTAAAGATCTCCGTTCCATTCTACTTAAATAAAATTCCCCTTCCAACTGCAGATAAGGTGCAGTAACCGTGGACTATACATCAACAAACACCTAGCATGGAATCCTCACACACGATTGAAACGTAAGGAGGTTTTGACATGATACATGACATGACTTCTTAACAAACTTTCTAATTTACCTTTCAAAAGTAAAAAGCTGGTCAACAAAGGGGTTCAACCAAACATCTAATTACTAATTAATTCTACAAAAATTACTAGATGGTCTAGTATGTCTCTATTTTATGTGTAGAACGTAACTACATTATTTAGGATTTAAATATTCCTTTCATTCAAGATCCATTCCAGTTACAGAAAATTTCACAAAACACTACCAACCACCGTAAATCACCACATCAGAAACCTTGCATCCTGGCAAATCCGTCAAATACCACTTACCCACTGAAGAGACAGCTGTGAGAGCTAGGATGTGATGGTGATGATAGTGAAAGTGGTAATGACACATGTATTAATTAAACAGACGACATTTTAGTATCATTAAAGTAATACAAATTTTCTCCACTCTTGTTTTTAATTTTTTATGTTTCCTTCTCATTGTTACCTATTTGAAGGTAGTCGCAATGTATTATAAATTGGGGGGGGGGACTCATAAAACACTACATCTAACTGTACTAAAATTTGGTGATGTAAACTTTATAATATAATTTCAATTAATTTTTTTTTTATCTGAGATGGAAAAGTTATTGTCACAACCCATGACCTTCAGCACAATTCTCCGCTATTCTAACCACTTGAGCTATTGTGACTGTGATCCACTAGGACACCAAATCCCCATCTTCGCTAACAGTTGTTAGAGTAAGTGAAGTCTATGCAATTGGAGAGGGCAAAACTCAGAGGAGTGGTGGGACTACTAACCGGTCACTGGTATCTGAGAAAACATCTACACAACATGGGTATATACAGCGATGACCCCATTTGCAGATTATGTAATGAGGAGGAGGAAACAGCCACTCATATCATCTTCGAATGCGAAGCAACAGCTCAATGGAGGTTTAACCTAACGTACGAAAAAGACTCAGGGAACCAAATTGCAGCAATAACAGTCAATGACCTGATACTTCTGAGAAGAAGGATTGAGTCTATTGACTAAACTAGGGAACTGGGAAGGTACAATAAGCCAGAAGGCTGCAGTGCCTGGGGAACACAAGCCCCGCTTCCCGGCACCCCTTCCACCATACCATACCATACCAAGTGAAGTCTAAGTGGTTAGAGCAGCAGCATGTTGAGCCAAAGGTTCACTAACATTTTCATCTCAGATAAACAAAAAATTAAGTAAAATAATTAATATAGTCAATTATAACACCGAAAAAACATGTATGGATTGTAATATAATATTGTTTTAAACCATTGAGATGGGATTTTGTCTGCCTTCCCCCTTTAAATTGTCAGCTACTCCATTTAGAGCCCCAGGAAGTTCAATTGCTTGAATGAACATATCCCCCATTTTTTTTCTCTCCCAGAGAGAGATAAACAAAGCGTATTCACAAAGTTAATTACACTTTTTATAGGAAGTTCAATTATTATAACGATTAAATGTATAGTTTTATAATTGCTTTCATTATCATTACTGTTTACACCAGAAAAGAATGTAAATGTTTGAAAAAGAATTATTTTATTTGGCTCAATACACCGCTGCTTGAACCACTTGAGCTATTTTGACGAAGACCTTAGGTAACAATTACAATTTATTTAAATAATTAATTCAGTCAATTGTGACTACTAAATATGGATTTTTAAATTATTATTAACAAGAAAAATTACATTAATAATATTATGCTTTATTTAATTTTTTTTTTTAAATCGAATTTATATAAAGATAGCTATACACAAAGTATATACAGCTTGAATATCCATCAGCGAAATTATTCCTCATACAGAACCAAAGAGCACACTAGGTGCGATTAACTTGGAACGTGAGGGTGGGCTATGTCCTACGACAGACCACAAATAATGCACATGTATACTTATGTATAGATTTCATAATTTAAAAGAGCATAAAAACCAAATGAACTTTTTAATGCAATATGAAATAATTTTAGTTGTCAGTTATTACAGTCCGAATTGTCCTTCCAGACATGGTTCCAAAAATAAAACGAAGCCGGGCAGGTGTCCATGAAATCGATTTTTTGATTAAAAATATACAACCGGCAATAAAATAAAAGGACGCAAAGCAAATCTAGTAATAAACAAGTGGTTAAATGGCAAAATCGTAATTGTGCATAAATACGAATAAAATGTTTGCTTACGAATTTCCAAGCCAATTATGGAATTGTACAGGACCTTCAGTGGTTTGAGCTTCAAAATTGGGAAATTCGTCTCCTAGATTCACCATTTTACCTTATCAAAAAAGAAAATCAAATTTAACAACGTAAATATGAAACTTATATCGAGAATTTCTTGTTTGGAGACAGACGTACTTCCTCAACAGTGACCTGAGTTGAATGTGAAATATTTATCAATTTATACTTAGGTATGTATGTTATGATCAACAGATAAGAGATAAGTGTGTGTGAAGGTGAACTCTGTTTTTATCGTCCAGTTTTGTTAAAGCTTACATAACGCTATTATGGCTATCGATACAAGATAAATCGAAATATTCTAAACAAGCAACTATTTTGAATTGATTCTTCTAAATTTTGCGTATGCCTTACACATATATGTATTATCAGGTATCAGCAGAGCTTATACCTCTTTTTCGTTTTTCCGTGAATCAACTGAGTATCAAATTTAACAATTTATAAGTAATTTACTTCTCAAAACGAATCGATCCTTTATCAGCACAGTTTAAAACTTTTAACAATCGAACAAATCAAAATTTGGCCGAAAGCCGGTGCTGACAAGTGACAACTGTTGACACAACGACGGGAGGTCAATCATACTTGGATATAAGGTTCGGTGGTAAGACGCCGCAGTAACCTCGTTGGTTAATCTTGTGCCAGTGGCCATAGAAAATACATTAATGGGCAAAATCTAACGCAACACCCTTAAATTTAAATGTATTTTAGGTTTATTCATATTTTTCATATCAAAAGTTGTACCACTGTACCATTGAACATCATGAATTAAGTCCGTTAAACACCTTTGCATTCCTTGGAGAAGAGTGCTGGTAAAATCCTGAGGAATTATTTCCCAATTATAAAGAACACCCGTTTCCAACTCTTCTAGAATGTTAGGACCTGGGTTTCGACGTCGTACTCGTCGATTAACTTGGTTCCCAAATGGTTCGATTTAGTTCAAATCTGGACTTCGAGCTGGCCACACCAAGCACTCAATTCCCACCTCGTTCAGGTAGTCCTCCACAATGGTTGTAGCTCTATGGACCCTTGCATTATCCTGCATTAGAACAATTTCTCACCGATGGGGAGGCAAATGGCACTACATGTTGTTCGATTATGTCCTGTTCGTAAGTCTGTTAGAGATCTCCCTCGCACAACAACCAATTCGGTGCCAAAGGAAATGCCACCCCAGAACATCAACGACCCACCTTGGAATGACCTGAGGATCCATCCAGCTTGGAGCGTATTTTTCTCCTGAGTGTCTCCATAGAAAATTACCCCTATCTGAAGATTTGAGGCCAAATTTCACCTCATCTGTAAAGAGAACTCGTCCTCAATTTTCTAATGTCCAATTCTCCTGTTCCCGTGCGAACTGAAGCCTGGCCATTTTCTGAGTTGTGGTAAGAGGGTGCCGGTCCCTGAAGTTATTTTCATTGAGCCTTCTTCTTACAGACTTAAGGGAAATAGAAACATTTCGGACCAAATTTCTTTCTCATTTCCTGTGATGCTGCGGTTTCGTAGAACCTGATGACAGCAAATCGTATTTCCAGTCTGTAGATCTAGGTGGACCCTATCCTTGCCTTCCGTCCTATTGTAGGATGATTTGCACTCAGTCTCCTGGCGACTTCGTCCTCCTCATCCTCTTCCTCTAATTATGCTATGACCCTGACATTTTCATATTCACTCAAATGCCTTAATGGAACAATTGAAAAAAGTTTAAGAATAAGAATATCAAATTAAAACGAAGGTAAAAGCGATCTTTAGGCGTAGCAGAATGGAAGGGCTTCTTTTTGTGCAATTGGGATTAATCAGCTGACATCTCGGACCTCGAAATTCACTTAATTACCCCTGCATTAAGCAGACTATGCTCCGGGGTGTTAAAACAAAGGAAATAATAACATAAATTAAACCTTCTCACACCTTTATTGGAAATAACTAATAATAATAATACATATAATGCTTTAAAGACTTTCCCCGAAGAACAAAATTTATACAATCTCAACGGACTTACGGATTTGAAATTGAATAAAGATTATAAAAAAGATAAAGATCTTAATAAAAATAAAGAAGCACTACCACGTCCTGCTTGCTCTTTTCCTTATCCTGCCTCTCTTATTTTTATGTCCGGGTTGGACCCGTGACACAGAACAAAAGTAAATAAAGGAAGTAAAGAAAGTATTATTTACTATTTATGCTGACTACGATATCTTCCAAACCTGTAACTAATGTGGAAAGGTAATGGAACAAATTTTAAACTAAATTAATTGAGCGGTTAAATTTGTGCATCAGTGTACATTTATCCATCCATCCTTTGGCATCCTACTATAGCGCTGAGTTGATTTGATTGATCAGATTGAGTTGATTGTTCTGAGTTGATTGAGATGATGATCCGCCCAGAAAATAATAATTTTTTAATTTTTTTTTTGTTCTGATTGTGGATCTCCATGCCATTAACTCAGTACCAGTAACCTCAGTCCATTGGCAATTCTAGCTTTTATACTTTACAATGAATTCCCGCCAGGCCACGAGAATAACCACCTGGCGGGTTGGCAAACAAGGATCAGACCTCAGTCTTATCCACCGGCCGCCGGTAATTTTGAATTTTTTATTGAAAATAAATCTTAATAACCCGTTACGTTAAATAAAATGTAAAAACTGTTTGTGCAGCAATGAAGACCCTTGGTGGTTCAAGCTTCTTCCAACCAAAAAAAATTTAGCAGTTGGCACCTGCCACCAGTCCTCAGATGACGACTTCTACATGATTCTCCAAATCTTGGCGCGTTCAAATTACATATCTGCAATTCCATTATTGTCCATACATTGCTGGACAATAACAGTGCACACCCAAAATCATATTTTCAGTAAATTAATAGATATTCTTGCAAGCTATAATGAGATGAACTGATTTTGGTCTGTAATATGAGATTCGGCTTTTTACTATCTTTAGAGGTGATACCAAGGCCCAAGTAGTATTTTTTTTCGTTATACCTATTATGTACTTACTTTGCCAGTACAATCACCAAAGAAACATGACTTAGAAAATAGATAAAATTAACCTCTAAAAATGGCAAAATGCCGAAACACGTCTGACAGACCGGAACAACGATCACATGCAGAATGATCAAGCTACAAAATAGAGTAGTAAATACGGGTTTTCTCTGTTTTTTCCTCTTGTTCTAAACTTTTGCAATGCTGTTCATCTGTAAACACATTAAAATGAACTCTATTGCTAAGTTGTTTTCCACCAGTTGACATAGGGATTTAAATCATGCGAACGCAGGCACTCTCTCTCATTCTCTCATTCTCTCTCTCTCTTTCTCTCTCTCTCTCTCTCTCTCTCTCTGTCTGTTTGTCTGTCTGTCTGTCTGTCTGTCTGTCTCTCTCTTGAATTCACATGGAATGAAATAATGCCTTGTTGAAAATAAATTCCATCTGATAACGTTGAATTTAGGATAAAATTGAAATTTAGCTATCATGATAACTGAATTATACTCTTAACATTATTAAGTATTACTTTCAATAAATTAATATCAATTCAATAAAGTTTTCGAATTGGTCTTTCTCTTATTTTATTTCATTGTAAGTTTACATTTTATAATCAGTTGTAGTCCTAACATAGTTCTGCCCCGAAGGCATTGAGACCTTGTCGACACCATTTGGAAAAAGAGCCGGGAGATTTTCGTCTTTCACCGATGGGAGGATCATCACTTTCTCACCAGGCTGCAACAAAAAGTATGTCTCACTCACCAATTTCGTCTTAATTGAAGTTTCAGATAGGACTTACAACCCAATTTGCAGGCGTGGCAATAACTTTCATTCTGTCCGTCAATTGAAGTGAGTCGATAACACGAAGGATTTCACTTTAACAAATACATAGATTTTTAATACTAATTTTTCTGATTTAATTTTTTATTTATGTTAGAAAACATTTCCTTGTAGTTTTTTAATAAAAAAGTAAATATATTACTTATTTCCATTTATTTGGACCGTTCGGGAATGTACAACTATCATCAGAAGTATTACATTTATAATTTATTATATTTTTCCAGATTTTAGAAGATATGACCATCCTTCATTTACCAAGCCAAATGATCAAGATGAAAGGCTCCTCGTCCTCTGAAATATCCAAGATAAATGAAAACAAGTAATGTATTTACTTTTTTATTTTACAAAAACCCACACGGAAATGTTTTCTAACACAAACCCAAAAATAATCTAATAATTAATCTATCCTCTTCAATGAGTTAAAATAAAAATTGCTTACTCCACATTTCTGCCTGTCGATGTCGGATAAACCATGGAGAGCCGAAGTTTCTTATCGGGATCGATAATGTACAAGGCTCGCACTGTCATCGCTGTGTCTTCGTTGTACCTGTCTTTTTCGTCCAGCATGTCCAGTTTGATGGCCAGTTCCCTGGTTTCGTCCGAGATGATGGGATAAGGGAAATCTCCGGGAATATCACGGCAGTACGACTTTATATCCTACACGACAGTAAACGATACAGATCAATTGTTTGTTGATCGGAGGACAAAAATGTCAACACGTACATTGACCCAGCTGCAGTGATCGTCCAACTTGTCGCACGAAAGAGCTATGATTCGAACGTTCCTCTTTTTGAACTCGTTCTGGTGGACCGCGATCCTGCCAAGTTCTGTCGTGCAAACCGGCGTGAAGTCTGCTGGATGGGAGAACAGCATACACCAACTGGTAACAAAAAAATATTTGCCTGCGGTTTAAGTATATTTATTTGATTTTGATAACAACTGTAGGACATCTGTCATACATCGTTTCGGCGAATTTCTCCACAAAACAGTACCATCTCTACTTATTCCACCGTTTATATTGATTTTGTAAAATTTATTAAATTTTTGATATCGCGAAAAACATATTCAAAACTGATACCGATAATTATTCAGAAATCGTGAGATGCGGTCTGGTGTGATCTAGGTTTCAGAAAAAAAATTTCTTTATCATACCAACGTTTCGATCTTTATTGAGATCATCTTCAGGGCTCAAAGTGTTTGTCTTCTGTATAATTGTGCCATTCTTGCGTGTCGTGTTGAGAGTGCCAGCGACTTTGAGCCCTGAAGATGATCTCAATAAAGATCGAAACGTTGGCACGATAAAGAAAATGTTTTTCTGAAACCTACATCACACCAGACTGCATCTCACGATTTCTGAATAATTATCGATTAACGGTCACTAATCACCACAAACTGATACCGACGTTGATACACTACAGATTCTTACTGACTTTTTTATTTATTTATATCTTTTTATTGGAAAATAATATATTCAAAACAATAATAATAAAATATTGATCTTTTCTTAAGTTTCTTTAGTAACTAAAACCCGCCACAGAACTTCATTGAATTGAACTTTAATACAAGTTGTGTCTATGGCTTTTGTAATTATTTTTATATTTCAATAAATATAAGTCTGTTATCTGAAAATAGAGTATTTTTTATTATTTATTTGTTAATCGTGACTTTTATTGGTTTACTTCTATCCTAAGGTCTCCACGGGTGCTTGACCTAAGAAGTATGCATGTTACGAAACGTCTATGCATTTCATCACGTTGCTAAATCAATGAACGCCACTGAAGAACGTTGGTTCCCATTTTCAATTCTAAACCGGTTCTTTATAAGCCCTCTAGAATATAAATAATATAAATAATTTATACGGGAAATTAAACAATGAAATGGGACATTACGCCGCCAGTTTGTAAAAGGAGATCGGGAGGGTGTCTAGTCCATGAAGTTTGAAGCTCTCTGGTTTTTGAAGTCCTTGTGAAGATATCAATTAAAAATTATGCTGCTTTTTTTCCCCCACAGCTAATTGAATATTGTCGAATGTGATAGACTATTTTTCTTTTGAAAGAATGTCTCAATTAGGTCAATTTTATTTAAAATTTTATGAACAGCCTCAACAGTGTTGCTTCGTTTTCCTTTGATTATTTGAAATGTATAACATACACCTTAATTGACAGAGTAGCATACTTTTTAGTTTATTTCATGTAATAATGTTGGATAATAAACAAATTTATAAAAATTGCTTTTAATTATTATTTATTGCTAGTAGTTGAAAAAGATATGGGAAAGTTAGACAGGTTTTAAGATAATTTATAATATAAGTTATTTTATTAATTCTTTAGGCGAGAAAATATTTTATTATTACTTGGCAGCTAATGATGGAAAACAAACATTGACAGTAGTGCAATGTTGAAGTAGTTGAATCTCTAAGTTCTAAGTTCTTGTAAAGCACCTCTCGCTATATTGCATTTTTCTCAATTTATAATTCAACTGTTTTTTAAATTTGTACCTGGAATTATATTTTGCAAATAGTACATTTAAAAAAATTAGTTTTAGTTTAACTTTAATTTAACTTATATAGTTGCTTGCAGCATTGAGAGATTTGTGAAGGTGAAGACAGTATACTTTAAAAGGATGCATGATAGGATGATGGGATGATTTTTTTTACTTCATAAAGTAAATAACTTACGAATCGCCCATCCATTCGTAGAAGGAGATCGGTCCTTGGGTGGTATTCGCTTTGAAATCGGGGATGCTGGCATTGAGTCTCATTTCAACAGCTTCAGTCTTCTGCTCGATCAACTATCGGTTTGTCGAGGCGAAGCTAAATCAACCGGTTTTATAACTTTCTCCCCTCCATTTATTCAAACGTTACGACTTTATTAACAGTCCAAACACTGGTATCTGCTTTACTGTAAATTTAACGCTCCAACAATTTGGTAATTAATGAGGTCGTGGATATTCTGTTGATTGTTGTTATCTTCTTACACACTGACAGGCAAAAAATTCTACCCAATTGATTTTTTTTTAATTTTCTCGACAAAAGAAAATTCTGCCCTTAATTTATCTCATTGTTCTTATCAATAATTATCTGTTTATGTTTTAAATTGGGAATATCAATTGGAGGTCAGCACACTTAATCCTTAAACCAAAACAAGGATAAAGGAATTTTCAATGTTAATTTTTTACGGAATTTAAAATTTTTATTCAGTCTCATTTGAATTTTGAAGCAATAAACTGTTTAGTTTTCATCTTTGGTTTCTTAATTTCAATTTTTCAACTTAATAATGCTTCTTAGTGCTGAGGATGTTGCGCGTGGTGCGGCACTTGATGATGGACGTTCCATCAGGTATGCGGCAATTGCCATTGGAGTACACTATGAAACACTGCCAGACGCTGGGACGTTTTCGAGAAGCTGGGTCCTACCAAAGAACGCCCGGTTCTGGACGCCCTAGTGTAACAGAACCACAGGTTTTTTGAATTTGAGAATTTTGCGAAACCAGCACCTTACTGTTGTTCAAGCGATTCATCAGCTCCAGGAAGTTCGAGGTGTCCAAATTTTTGAACGCACTGCTCGAAGAAGAATAAATCTGTGTGGACTGATGGCTTTTCGCCTCGTAAGAGGAACACAATTGACGAGAACACACAGAGTCGCACGGCTCGCATTTGCTCGAGAACACAGCCATTCGTCTTTGGACGATTGGTCTGCTGTACTTTTTACAGATGAATATAGATTTGCTCTACGATCTACAGATGGGCGTGAAAGAGTGTGGAGAAGACGAAATAAAAGGTACGAAGCCTGTAATTTTTCCAATAGCCAAAGCTTTTTCAACGTAGCTCAGTGACGGTGTGGGCGGGAATTTTGATGGAAAGTCGCACAGAATTGGTTGTTGTTCGTGGAGGGCCTTTGACGGCCACTCGTTATGTGAATGAAATTTTGGCACATCGTTGCCTATCCTCGATGAAATCAGCGACATCCTATTCTAATGCACGATGATGCCTGTCCACATAGCTCGCATAGTACAAACGTATCTTCAACAGCATATCATGGTCTTAGCCTGGCTTGCCCGTTCTCCAGACTTGACTCCATCAAAGATTTATGGCATAACCTCAAAAGACGAATAAGAGCACGTCCATCACTTCCTGATACACTCCACGATCTTGAAAGGACTCGTCGTGAAGAATGAACTAACCTCCAGCAAAGAGACATTTCCAGACTGGTAGAAAGTATGCCGAGGCGTCTTCGAGATTATTTATTACAAAATTATTTAATGAATTATTTATTTTTTACTTTTTTAGACAAAGACTCAATTATTAAACGTTAAAAAACGTGAACTGATTAATATATAAAATATATACAAATCAAGTTATATTACAAGTGGGTGGAATTTTTTGCCTGTCTGTGTATTATTTTCAAGTGACTTTTTCAGTGAAAGAACCCTATCGAAAATTTTATAAAGTTGTAATGTGTACAATAACATATTCAAAAAAGTATTGTCGACCAAAATTCACACTGATAGCGATGCTGAAGTTTGTTATAATGTGGCATGGTGGGTCGAGACTGCAAACCACAATAACCACCGGGTAAACCACCGCTTAATGTCAATAATATATGTGTTTACTTGGAAGTAGACAAAAGTTCAATTAGATAAATACATATCTTTTTTAGAATATTTTTGACCTATTTGATTAGATTTCAATTCTCAGTTGCAAGGTCTATTGCGCAAAATTCAACCGCCCGTTTTCTCATTTGCTATAATCACAATTTACATGCGATAAGCACTATCGACTAGCCTTATACCTCTCACAACCGGACAAAACAACGTCGACAGGAGACAACAATACCGAACGAACCTGAAATATTATTACATACATAAAAGCCGCCAGCAACTGATGTCCAACCGTAAATTATTGGTAAACTCTAGTCAGCATGGAAATTATTGAAATATCATAATATCAATTGCTAATGATAATTAAAACCGACTGGTCAGTTAATATTTTTCTGGAATACCTTTGATTTTGTTTATAGCATTTTTTTAACTTCATTTATTTGTTATGTACATCGGTACATGTATTATATACAACCAGCAAAATGGTTTTCAATTTATGTTTGTGGTATTAAGGGCGTTATAGATAACGATTGGCAGCCGCTCTGGATTAATAAAATGATATTAACCATTTAAGAGGTCTCTTATCCATATTCTTTTTAGAGGATTACGTGGTAATTGTGGGGAATGGAGTAATCGTACTTGTGTGGTAGTGTGATTTTGTAATGTACGCTGAAAACGTTTCTAATATGTTTTGATGAATGAAAAAACTGTTGGCATGTGAAGATCTCTGTGAAGTGTGTTAATGTTTACGAAAAAGGGGCAGAAACAATTAAACAAATTTTGGGTTGAAAACTTTGTAATCTTTGAATATTGGAAAATTTGGCCGATCAATATGCTTGGTACCCGTACATCCAAATAGATTTGAGTACGTTTATGTATGTGGAAAGTTTTGATTTTAATGGTAATTTTGATTGTCGGTTGAGGAGGTAATAAAACATTTTAAATCGTTTATTGAGTGTCTGTTTTTTAAACAGTGTGTGTGTGTGTGTGTGTGGATTTCATGTTAGTCTTCTATAAAATGTAAGTCCTAATAACTTTGTCGGATAGAGGAACATGTTCTTCATTACGCTAAGACAAGTCTCACGACGGAGTTAAAGGTGATATGTTGTGACTTTGAGGTGTTAAACATTATTTTCCAAAAAGTTTTCCATTTGTCAATTGTTGATATGTGGTTTTGCAACATAAGTGAATCTTGTAGAAGAGGGATGACTTGTTATTGGCATGTCATCTGCGGAAGTGCATTCTCATTTGTGGGCATATCAGAAGTAAAAATGGGTACAATAGCGGAGCGACTATTGACCCTTGTGGCACTACTCACAAGGACATCTTCCCTGTGGGCCCAGGCAAAGTCCGACCATCAACCCTGGTGCCTGGGGGTAGCCAATGATGGAGGCAATATCCTTATTACGTTCCTTATCCTTCTTACCCCTTTCCTTTTTCTTCCCTCTCCCCCTTCTGCTTTGGCAGAGGATTCCTGCGTTAGTCAACTGTCAACCCGCACCCCTCAGGCAACGGGTGCATCAGTAGGGATTTCGTATGACCTCCCGGGTGGGCGATCAGTGATCAGTCCCACCTTAAAAATAATACTGAACCACGGGAGTGGAATATCCAAGCGGCTGTACTAATTGAGGTTGGACTCGTGGTGGTCGTGGTTTGTAAACAAAGTGTACCTTAGCTGGAAGGTACCGGCCAACCGGAGCCGGAAATAGAGTGCCTTCTCTATCTCTCCGGGGGTGTGAAAGGCATAGCTAAAAGGCTGTGCTGGAAACCACAAAACTGCCTTTTTCAAGGCACATGTGTGGATGTGCCCTTTTTATGGCACTGCTAAACTTGGTTAGTATTGCACCACCTCGCTAGCCAAGGGATGTGACAAGTCCATGCATTTAAAATCTTCCTGGTGTTCTTTCGAGAACACTAGGCGTCTGAGAAGTCCCCTTGGCGACGGACGTTAAAGATCCTCATGGGTCTCAACACCCATGAGTAAAGGTGGGAACATCTGACCCTTGTGGCACACCTGCAAGCTTCCATCTCAGAAGTTCCGTACCCTGGTTTACTGCGAAAAATCTCTCTTTAAGGTATAATTGTATTGTATATAATAGGTCTGGGGTAAAAATAATTTTAATTTGTGTAATAATCCCTCATGCCATACTTTTTCGAAGACCTGAGAAACATCTCTAGAAATTTTTTAATATAAATAGAAAATTCAGATGAAGCCACACTTATATATGCTGAATGCTTAAAGATATGTGAGGAGTGAAAATTATGTACATTGGCTATGTATTCAATTATTTTATAGTGTATCATATATACATATGATCGTATAGTTTTCAGCTTGCCTGTTCAGTTTGTCGTACGCATTTCGGCAATTTCGGCTTTCCCATCGGCGTAACAAGCCCGTAATAAGGCAATAATATAAAGCTAGGTACACATTCCAACTTCCACTCTCATTCATTTGTAACATTATTTCAAACATACGTATCTTTCCTATAGTAGATTGGGAAAGAATAGGTGATGGAGTACATACTTCTACCTCCATCACGCTATTGACAAACTATGCCATTATTCTTAGGGAGGATCCATGTTGTATGCAATATTAATTATATTTGAGAATAGAGTGGGCAGCAATCTAGAATAATTTAAAAAATTAAAACATCTTAAAACACTTCTTAGTTATCAGTCCTCTCACACTATATTCACACTAATATATAAAGTGGGAAGTTTATGAGCCGACAAACAGCATCGCCAGCCCTCAGCGTGTTTTTCTCTTCTTTCGCGCGTATTTTGTTTTAAACTGCAGCCATTGAGCGTCTCGATCTTGTTTCTAACTTTCTGCTTTTAAATGTGTACCACGTCGATATCTTAGCCTCGATAGCCTCTCGTTTGTACATTAGGTCGATAATTACAGAATATAAACAAAACGTACAATACATATATATATATACAGCACTATAAACATAGATGTCTGGTCACATTCACTCTCCCAGAGTACTCGATATTCCTCGGGGCGGAGTTGAACCCACTCAATTCTCGCTAATAACTTACTTTTACATCACACACTCACCTCAGAGTACTCGATATTCGTAGGGGCGGGATTATAAACAACCCCTTCTTTTCACGCTAATAAATTACATTCATTCCAATAAACCAAAATAATCTTGCGCCAATGAAGGAGCTAACTGCTTACTTTTATTGAAGGAGCTACTTTTACTCTCCAATGTCACACACTCACCCCAGAGTACTCGATATTCCTTCCTGGGGGTGGGTATTTACAGAATAAATACGTTCAAATGCACTAGACATTTAGTATGAAATCGTGCATAACTAAACGCCGAAGAAAGACGATTTTCCCCAAAAAATTGAAAGGAAACACGCTGATGCCCTGTTGTTGTTCTTACATCGAGTGACATTTACTTGTTCTCTATGTATAGCCAAGGCACGGAGAAGATCAAGCAAACCTCCTCTCGTCGGGCACATCCTCGGACTTTGCCCTAAAGATGAATATTACTTTTGCAATTTCTCAATCAGTTTCTGTCAAATAATAATAATTTAGAAACAACTTATGTGCATATAGTAATGAGATTTTATTGGTTTATTACTCGGAACAATATTGAAATAGTCGTAAAACATTTCTGATTAAAAGCAGAATTAATTTTTAATGTGTGGTGATTAGTGACCGTTAATCGATAATTATTTAGAAATAGTGAGATGCGGTCTGGTGTGATGTAGGTTTCAGAAAACATTTTCTTTATCGTGCCAACGTTTCGATCTTTATTGAGATCATCTTCAGGGCCCAAAGTGTTTGTCTTCTGTGTAATTGTGCCATTCTTGAGAGTGCACTCTCAACACGACACGCAAGAATGGCACAATTACACAGAAGACAAACACTTTGAGCCCTGAATATGATCTCAATAAAGATCCAAACGTTGGCACGATAAAGAAAATGTTTTTCTGAAACCTACATCACACCAGACCGCATCTCACGATTTCTAAGTAATTAATTTTTAAACATGAAATTTGATATAAAAATTAGTTTATATACAATATAATGAATGGGACTGAAACCGAATAAAATCTCAATATTAATAGTTTTTGCAAAGATTTCAGTAATAAGGTTAAAAATTTAAGTTATAGGGTAGAGAATACATCAAAACAAAAAAATAAAATAAAATAAAGATATAACAAATGCCTCGAGAGTGAAGACAGTTAAAAAGATCTATTTGTAAGTTTTATTTTTGAACGAAATTTTAGGAAAAAGATTATTTTCGATTGAAAACAACTATAAAAAAAATTCTTTCCTTGGTATAACATCACTATAAAACCACTTTTTTTAAATTCCGATATCAACTGATGATTAATTTTGAAAGTAATCTTTATTTGCGGAACAAATTGATGAAGGCGACACTAGAACCTTAGATAACAAAACTAAAATAACTTTTTTGTGTGACTAATTATTTTACTCATTAATTACGAATTAAAAATTATTTTTAAAAGTCTAGATTTTCTTTATTTACTGTTTAAAAAAATCCCAACCATATATAAGTTCTTAATCACAAAGTATAAATGCTCCCTTCTCGAGGTCTTTGAATGAGGTAAAAATTATTCTTGCTGTTTGCTACCCTTCATGTCATTCAACATTTCTTGAAGGCATAGAAGAATGGAAAACAACTATTTCTGATGGTGCCGAGAAAGACAGACTTCGATCTGTAAACATCAGTCAACGAAGAACCGGCAGAATAGAACAACAGGCCCTCAAAAATCACATCATGCTCAACCCCGAAAAGTGTAAAGGTCTTCGGATAATGAGAAGAAAAACTAAAAAAATAAATAAATAAATACAAATTTATATGATGAGTGAACGAATTCAAATTACAAGAGAAATTAATTACTTTGGAATAATATTTGACGAACGTCAGTCGTGGAGAGTGCACATAGTATACATATGAAAGAGAAGAAAAAAATCTTGCCATTACTACCTATGCAACTCCGGTGTGGCAAAACTGATTTTCAGAAAAGCAAAAATTAAGAAGTGAGTATACAACAACGCCTCATGAATATAAAATATTAAGAGGATTCTGAACTATCTCGTACAATGCAGCTTGTGTACTGACCAACAAGTTACCAATCGTACTCAAGATCATAGAAAAGGCAGAAATGTTTTGAAATAACAAAAAATATGTACATTGAGTACTTAAAAATTGACCTTCCAATACCATTCAGTAAGTGGCAACACCCAACAGAAGTTAACACGTTAAAAGCATGAAAGGAACCACAACTAAATGAACTACAAACAGTTGGGCTGCACAGTCTACACAAATGGAAGGGATAGGACGTGAAGTCGGCTGTTCGTTCGTGGTTTTAGAAGTCGAAGAAATTCTATTCATTGGTAAATATAAAATAGCGAATGGATGCTCTAACCCAGCTGAATTATTAACAATCTTAAAACCTCTGGAATGGATTCAAGGACAGGAAAATGTGAAATCTACTTTGATATGCAATGAAATGCTACAAACAAAAAAGAGAATGCGGATGATATGTGTTGGTCTTCGAGTCGCTGAAATAGGCCTATCTCCTAAATTCTCAATGTTTCTTCCTTTGCTAGCTGCCTTTTGCTTTTGTTGCCTGTTAATTTCAATGTGGCCGAACATCCCAAAAGAGTAACTTTTTCCTCAGATTTTAGCTTTTCGAGTTGATGGGATATCTCATGTGATTGAATCCGTCGAGGATGGTTGTTTTGAGATCGGTGAATGCGGTCACTCGAAGCAAATAATGAATATTACGATAGTGGGTTGTACGAGTGAAAGCGCCCCACATATGGCAAATGTTTTTTTTTTTCTGTGTAACTAAAACAGGTGGCCGGGAAGCTGAACTTTTATGTATGCAGTTTGAATGTGGATGCATGATGCACAGGTTCCTCTGTTCTGGATTCATCGGTGATATTTCAGCGGGATGAAGGTGGCTTTATATGTAGAGGTAGAGTTGCTGGTTGAGTTGATTTGGGGCTTGATTTATTGTGCTTAAACAGTACATGGTTAGGGGGGTTAGGGATATAAGTTTGCAAAATTGTACTAAGGGCCTAGGGGCAGAAACCAAAAAAGCCATAGATGCTTAGGGATATTTATAAGTAAAAAATAATGCAAAATAAGATTCATTTAATATATTATGTACATGTGTCAATACAATTCCAATACATAAACGTTTCTCATCGGACATATTTACAAAACACATAAAATTATTTAATTACGTGTAGTTTTAATGTACCACATTAGCCACTGGATATAAATATACAACAACTAACAATATAACAATACTTTAAACAATTTTAAAAATACATTGAAATTTTTTTTAGACAAGTGGGAGGATGAAATCGACCAAGCATCCAAAGAGCCATTCACCCAGCCGAAACCAACCTGCAGGCAGGAGGAGAGAGCTTGCCATTTAACGGTTACACATAATCCCCTTCTTGTGTGTGTAACGAAGGTTTTATGGAAGATGTGAATAAAAACCACTAAAATCGAAATAAAGTGGAAAAGTCCACATCTCCCAGAGCTCTGGAGACACCCCCCCCCGGCAAAGAAGGAAACCACCCTTCAACGCAAGGTTTTTTAAGTTTTATTTTATTTTTAAAGATCAACCACTCATGTCCGTTTTGAATTCTTGAAGAAAGTAAGAGAGCAGCAAAAGTCCAGCAGCCTCACTTAGCTCCATATGGTCATTTAGCTGATATAGTCTCCATCAGGGAGCGTGCATATCATCCACACACCTAGGATCACCCTAGGATCACCCAGGGTTTCATGAGAACGCAACTGACCATCAACACGGTATAGTTAAGCTCTTCTACCTGCCTCATAGATGGGACAGTCATTTAAAATGTGTTTATGAGCGATACTTCTTCCCAGTGTTGGCACTCTGGTTGTGGGACTCTTGCCATGAGAAAACCATGGGTGAGACGTGTATGACGTATTCTTAATCTTGTTAACGCAATTTCCTCTAATATTGATTTCCTAATTCATGATCTTCAAGATTTATTAACTCTACCTCATTCAGTTTGTTATTTATTGTTACCCATTTTTTCTGCCAGAATAATCATGTTGGCCTACTTATGATGACTGCTACATCATCAGGTGGTACCTCGGGCCTGTTGGGCGGCCTGATCTTCCATTTTATTGCCAGTAATTCGACAGTATCGAGGAATTCATGTAAAATATACTTCAGTAGCTACTATCTGTAAATGTCTGAGGGTGTAATATATGTCATTGGATTAAGAGCGTACTTGTTTTTTAGTGCTATAAGTGCTGACAGTATGTAATAACCTATTCTGCCTCTCAGTGTAAATAAACGCAGTCAGAATCAGATGAAGTGACTAATGAACTTAATTGTTTAGTAAATTTGTTCCCTTTTTTATGTCTAATTCTTTATTCCGTTACACCCAAGTCAAATTTTTGGCCATTGGACGTGGACTAGTGTTGGAAAGTTCTTGCAAAGTTGTTTTACTTCCCGGCAAAAGTCCAAACACGCATTTCATATTTGTAGGCCGCGCGGCGACCATCTACGTCAGGCAAACCCATCCTCGGATGTCGATTCGTTTACTTTGCTATGCCGATTTGAATTTAGCAAATATCACATTGCGTTCATCCTACACCTAGGGCATTAGGGTGTGAAACATAATTTTGAAATGAGATCTTGTTATTTACAACTTAAGATAGTTGAACACCATTCCCTAGATTCGATTAAATAAAAATACCCATTTAATATGAAATCTTTTTGGATTGGAAAGCTCATTGATTGTTTTAATTTTTGGGAATGATATTTGCTGAAGGATCATTTAAAAGACGGAAAAAACCTATGCGTTGTCGCGTCGAACAATCATGTCTCGTCACTTTTGGATCCGACTGTACGTCCATCCTCGGATCATATGATTGGGTGGCCATCGCTGTGTGTTGTCAGTGAAAAGGTGTTGCCGTTTTTACGTTGTTGTAATTATATTTGCTAGACGCTTAGATGCGCGTAAAATTCGACGATTTGCAATTTTGCAGCATTTGATTTGGTCCGAGGTGCCCGGTCGGGGATCGTAATTCACTCAATTTCAAAGGAACTAACACCTTAACTGTGCCATCGCCAACAAGACAGTCTCCCGTCGAGGATCGAATTCGAAAGAAATCAATTGTTTTTAAACACAACAGGTATTTATTCGGCCGTTTTTTATTTCTTTTCACTTACTTACGACTTTTTCCGTTTGAAATACGCCGATTTAACCATCTCCTGTTTACGTGGAAACATCGCGGATGAACGGATTGTAACTGATAGTTTTGATGAAAATGTTTTTTTTATTTACTGAATGACTGATTCATGCTGATCCTTCGCACTTCCTGGCCTTGGAACACTACTACAATAAAAAGGGCGAAACTGATGAATGGCATAATTTTCCCCCTTGCTCCAGCATAGTTGACATACATTTTTTTTTCTTCCGTAATATAATTGTTTAGATTTGTTTTACTTCACACGACTCGAGAAATAAGATATTGCTGGAAACCGACCCTGATAACCTTATCTACACTTATTAGTCATCGGCTGTTGGCATACACGATTCCTATTCTTATTCTACTTTGTCTTACTGTTTAGCAAATTAAGCCAATATTTTATTTAGTACTGAGGGGTTTGTGTTTTTAATTTAAAACGGTAAATATCTTTTTTTTTCTGTTCTTTAACTTTCTAGAACCTCCCAAAACTATTTTTTACATTTTATAAATTTTATTTCTTGGTAGGATGATAGTTTATATTACATTGTAAAGTATTATGTTTTAGATTTGTATTATTTTAACCAAATATAATATTATTTAATGATTTATATACGTTTAACTTATCAGAATAATCAGTAATACAATGCAATAGATTTTCAAGGTTTTCCGTTTTTCCTTCACTGATTACATACTTAAGGGAGTATATTACGAAATAATTGTTAATAATTAATTGCCTCTTGTACATACTTACTACAGTAAAACAACAAGATGAATAGAAGTTTAATATAAAATAAAATATATGTTTACACTTGTAATACTGGTTAGTATATATATTTTATTTGGTCCTATTAACCAAAGTAATTATTTTAATTGATTTATTATGTTTTATGCAAAGTATGGCTGAGTTGAAAAATTAGGGTCACAAACAGTGATGGAGTCCCGGGTGATCTGGATGTTGTGGGTTCCAGTCCTGCTTGTGACACAACCATACTTTGCATAATAATTAAAGCAATTTCTTTGGTTAATATGACCAATAAAAATATACATTAGGTTAATAAGAAGTAGTATATAATCCTTATATAGCGAAATATTGAAATAAAGCAACACGTACAAAACTGCTCACAGAGAAAGCACTCTTTTTTGTTTTTAAGTTCTATCCTTTAATTGCCCTCATGTTTTAAAACATTTACAGCAATGCTTACTTATCCTAATGCGTATTATTTTAAAATATTAAATCAATTATAATCCTATTATATCTGATACTATATTCTATTGTATGATTATAAATATATACATGGATTGTTAAATTGAACTTCATTTTTGATTTTGCATGTCTATTTCTATGAATATATACATATAAACCTTTTTTAATTATTTAATTTTTTTTTCTAGCCAAAATGTCTACAGAGCCCTACAGTTACTCCTACATATTCAAGTATATAATTATTGGAGACATGGGTGTTGGAAAATCTTGCTTACTACACCAGTTTACAGAGAAAAAATGTGAGCTTATCAGTTATCACTTAAATTGAACCCTCTTTTAATAAATCTATTATTAAAATTTTACTGTATAACCTATAATTAAAAAATAACTACATATTTTAATGTTTAAAATAGTTATGGCTGATTGTCCACATACAATTGGTGTTGAATTTGGCACCAGAATAATTGAGGTCTCAGGGCAGAAAATTAAGCTACAGATTTGGGATACTGCAGGACAAGAAAGATTTAGAGCAGTTACAAGGTGCAAACACTAAACGAATTTCTGTATATATTGATTTTAATACAATTTTATTTCGTTAAAGGTCTTACTATCGAGGTGCTGCTGGAGCTTTAATGGTTTACGACATCACAAGGCGTTCGACATACAATCATCTCAACAGTTGGTTGACAGATACGAAAAATCTCACCAACTCAAGTACTGTAAGTATTTAAAACTAAATTGTACAATTATCGCCTTAACGAATCATTTCCAGGTGATATTTTTGATTGGCAACAAATGTGATTTGGAAAACCAAAGAGATGTTCCTTTTGAAGAAGCCAAAAAGTTTGCCGAAGAAAATGGACTCATGTTTGTTGAAGCCAGTGCAAAAACGTATTTATTTTTATTATCCATATAATCAAAAATATAAGAAATTTTTTATTAAAAAAACACTAATTGTTTAAATATTATCAGTGGTGAGAGTGTTGAAGAGGCCTTCTTGGAAACTGCCAAGAAGATTTATCAGAGTATTCAAGATGGAAGGTAATTTTTTTATACTAAATTTTAAAAAATGATTATTATCGTTCAATAAAAGGATTATTCTGTTGCATGCATTAGCTATGTTTTATGTAAATTCAGTCAGTCTTTCTTGTCGACATCAAAACACCTCTTAATACAAATTCATTTTTTTCCACAAACAATATTAAAAATTGATACTTTGCTATTTATATTTTAAATCCTGATTTATGCTTGAGAGAATTAACTACAAGACTATTTAAATATATACATACAAGCCCTGATGAGATACCTAAAGAAAACATATCACTCAGAAAATAATTATTTGTTTTTTTTTTTTTCATTTGTTTATTATTCTGTCTTCTGAAATGTTATCATTGTACCTGTTAATGATCATTTGACAAAGCCGAGTCTACAGATGTCTGCATTATGCTGCACTATTTATGACATTTCACCTTTTGTGTATTGATTGATTTTATTTATTTACTAGGCTTGATTTGAACGCTGCAGAATCTGGTGTTCAGCATAAGCCGTCACAATCAGGGCGTACGACTCTTTCAAATGACCAACCTAATAAAGATGCTTGCTCGTGCTAGGTAAGTGCTTCTGTACAATTTTTTTATATATATTTTTTTTAAGATTAAATAATTTAAACACAAACGTAAGGGAACCATTTTAATGATTTTATTAAGGACAATTTGAAAGAAAGCACTCGATTCCTTTGACAGCCTTTTGAGAAATATATCTCCTTGTCCAAGAAATTTACGCTATTATTTAACAAAGTTAGCAGAAATTAATTTCTATTTAAAGTATGACCAATGGTTTAAGATGGTTTCAAGCATAATGCAATTAAGAATTAAATATCCAGCAAACGGGTTAAACTCTTGTCAGTTCTATATTAAAACTATCACTTATATTACTGAGGTTAGCCTTAATCATCACATTTATGACCCGTTATATTTCTGACATATAATAGAAATTGTGCTAAAAATTAGTGCATCATGAAGTGTCATTTGTATTAAAATTACACCCTGTATTGTTATGTTACAGATCCTGTTGAACGCATCACCATATATGTATTATATATGGACAAAAGAAAAAATAAACTTTCCTATTTCACTTATCAAAATGTACATAAAAACACTTGCTATAAGCACATTTTCCTATTCATTATAATCCCCTCTTCCTCCTAATGATCTGATCTGCTCTGGAATTTGTTTAACAATTTTATTTTTGAGTTTATCACTACTTATAAAAATATAAATTAGTGTGTGTATGTGTATATTATAAGTATTATAAAGTATGTATAAATGTGCACATACACCCACACAAGATTCTAAGTGCATATACAGAATATGGGAATGCATGTATATGTACTCATGTCAATGTATAATTGTTTCATGTATTTATAATTGGTGTATAGAAGCTTTATAATTTATTTTTTCATGGCTACTGTTGAAAATATTAAAAAAATTACAACTGCCTACAGATAAATGTTGAAAGACTTTATCTGCTCAGATAGTTTTATGTATATGTAATTGTGCAATTTAGTATTTATTTCATGCCATTCCAGTATATTTGTATTGCTTATCAATTGTTCAATATGATTATGATTTTTTTTATTGAATAATAAAACCCAAAAGAACAAAAACTGTACTTTAAGTCAATAATCATGACATGCCCACCTCAAATAATCAAACTTTCATTTATTTATTTTCATGTTAACCTTATGTACAAAGTCAAATGCAAATAAAAGTAAATTCAAGAAAGTATAAAATTTAAATACATTTATATAAAAAACTTGTTTAAAGATTATACTGCCCACTGGCAGAAACCTATGTTCTGGTGCGTTTCCAGGCCTACAACCGGCAGTCCACAAAGTTGCCTCCTGGAAATAATGAAATTGAACCGATTGTAATTAGACGAGAGTAGGTCAAATAAAAATAAGTACCTTATAGAGAGATCGGCTCTTGCAGAAAGAGCTTGCTTGTGGTTCATAGCAGAAGAAATAAGTTGACTCCTGAAAGATTTTCTATCACTCAAAGGGCGACATAGTGCTGCAATTTCATTTGACTTTTTATTTTCTGAAAGTTAACACTTATTTAAGAAAATGCGCAAATATAGAAACTATGTAAATATTACTTGTATTAATATTAGGATATTTTTCGTTAATGCTTGAAAATAGCTTGGGACCCGCCATACTTGGAGAAATACCAATCCTAGATAACAAGTTATTTGTTTCCCAATAAGAATGAGCAGATGAGGCTTCATTTACGTTCTGTTTATTCTGTTCTTTACACTCTGACATTAAGCTGGTCCAATCAACACCCAAGGCATCTCCTACACTCCCTCCTGAACAAAAAATCAAACAAATTTACCAACTAAATATATGTTAATTATTAGCAAAAATAATGTTACGTTAACAAATAATGGCCAAACGATACTTATAGTTGAACTTGTTTGTATTACCATATAAAGTAATCAATTATTTTTAATTTAATATAAGTGCTGTAATTTCTATTCATGGAACTTATTGAATTCATTAATTGTTTTAACACCATGCAATTACCATTAATACATATTGTAATATTAAATTAAGTTAATTATAATGTATTCACTGTAATTTCTATTGTACAAGATCTAATTAATTAAATTTTATATAAATTCTAAAATTACTTTGTCGGTTCCAATGTTCGAGTACAATACACGATTACAAACTAGTTGCCAACTAATCGGTGTTTTAGTGACATTGCCTAAACATCCACCAATAATGGATGCTTTGTTGAAGCACTTTTTTTCAATTGTGTACTACAGTTGAATGGTACCTTCTATATGGTTTAAACTATTAAAACGATGGTGATCAAAAATTATTTGAATCAAACCTCCATGATACACTGGTTCAAATTTTATTCCATACAATTTTGGATATTTGAATAATATTGCGTATATGCGTATGAAAAATTTTGCTTTTTTTAGCTGTGCTGATGGTGATTTTTAATGAAATATTTAAATTTTTCGTTAAAAACCACCTTCAACAGCATGGTTTAATAAAAAAAATTCCCATTATGTATTTATTATGTTATTTTATTAACAAAAAAACCCAACACCTGGCATCTCCATCTACAAGAATAGAGAGGTAGAAAGGTAAAAAAACTGACTAAAACAAAACTTCCCAATTATTCTCGATGAAATAGTAACGAACATAATTTTGGGTTGTCCAGAAAATAATGCAGGTTTTCGTGTTTTCTTTCAATTACTCCTCTACAATAAACTGTTGATGGATTATTCTATTGTACGAATGTCAACATAATTTAATCCTCTTTCAAACAAAAATGTTATCTTAGTAGTATTTTGTTCCTTCAGAATAATTCAGTTTTACTAAGATGTCAACACATAATTTTCACTGGATTTTGTTTTACAAGTTTAAACGCGGTCAGAACAGTGCCAAAACTACCAGAAACATTAATAGAAGTCTGGTGCAATTGCACTAAGAAGTGAGTGAGAGCACTGTTCAGTGATGGTTTACAAAATTTTGAGAGGGAGACGTGTTGAAGATGAAGAAGGTTGTGGAAGATTTTCTTCCCTTGATGATGATGATTTGCAAGCTTTGGCTGAAAACTTTTCAATTAGCAAATCGATCGCCACTGACTACCTTAAGGTTTAAGGAAAGGTGAAAAAACTCAAAAGCTGGGTTCTTCATGCATCAAACAACCGCAAAAAAAAAAGTTGTTATGAAGTTTGTGCAACACTTTGCTGAAACAGAAATTAACCTTTTCTGGATAGAATTGTTGCTTGAGATGAAAGTGGATTCTCTATGATAACAGCAGACATTCTGGACAGTGGCTCGACAAAGGACATTTTCCAAAGCACCCACCTCATACAAAAAAAGGTGACGGTGACTTAGTAGGCTGATTTACAGCTTCTTGAATCCTGGGGAAACAATCAATGCCGAAATGTATTGTTCTCAAATTGAGCGTTGCACAAAAATTGACATTATTCAAGCCATCTTTGGTCAATAGGAAAAGGCTGATTCTGTTACATGACAATGCTCGGCCCAATGTGACAACACAAAAACTGTTTGATCTTGAACTCAAAATCCTCACCCTCCCAATTCGCCAGATTTCCATCTACAGACTACCATTTTTTCAGACATCTGAACGTTTTACAACATAAAAAATTTACTGGTCAAAAGTTGCTGTAAAATGCATTTTCAGAATTTGATTCAAAATTAAATTCAAAGGGTATAGAGAAGTGGCCATCCTGTAGGGGTAAGTGTGTGAAGAGAAATGGAGAGTATTTTAATTTTTTTTTTTTTTGTATTTGTTCATTTAATTCGTTATACTTTATAACCATAAATGTGCATTATTTTCCTGACAACCCAATACTTTTTATGGCACAATAGAATTCTCTTGAAATAATTGGTATCTTATTTGAAACATATAATTTTCCTGAAGTAGTCGAGTTGTGGAAGGAAAAATAGCCAGGGTCAGTCCTCTTTCTAATTATTGTAATTTATTAATTTTAAATGATCTAATTTATTATGTATATAATTATATGATTATTTTGTGTGGCTGAAATTTTTCTGTTCCTTTCAAAACCAATATGTACTAGACTCCAAAAATATTTAAAAAATTCAATTTTTCATTATATTTATTTATTCTATTTTTTTATTTTTGATAAATTTATTTAAAAAATAGAGCAAATTAATTGCTTAATTGCATGTACTTTTTTTTGGTTAACGGACAGCTCGAACTGAAGGCAATTTTTATCACACCCCCACGTTCCACAGCGAGGACACGATGCAACTCAACAGAAACATACATGAGGGTTTTTAGTGCATATATATGGCATATTTGAGAATTTTTGTTGCAAAATCCGAGCTCTAATTGTATGAGCGTTCTAATATGACAACAGTGAAAGTGCATGAAAATATCTGCGCACGCCTCTGATAGATCTGATCAAAATCCTCGGACTGTTTTGACAGTCACAAACTTGTCATGAACCTGTGTCGGAACAGCTGCCTGATGGTTAGTTTGAATTCGTAGCTTGTTGGAATGCCCAAACTCAACTGCACAATCGCCTAACAGTTTGCTGATGGCTTGGACGTGTAATGGAAAAACTTATTACACACTTAATGTACATAACTTTGGATAGAAAATTTTATGTGAGCACTTTTCTACTAGAACAAAACAATTAAGTATCACATTTTGCCCCTGTCATTAAAACCAATGAATAGTGGGAGAGAAAGATTTGACAACCTGTAGATTAGTCTTTTGAAAACGTTTCCAATTGTTTTGGTCTGCCTAACCTACCACCGAAGATAACGAAATGCGTCTGAAAGAGTAATTTGGAATCTCGGAATTAAGTTGGATCGGAAAGTATTCTACAGGCTCATCATTCCACAGACATCAAGATAAAATCTCATCTGCACTAACTTGTGTAATTGGCACATTCATCTTAATGTGATTAAATCTAATTATTTTGAGTTGGGAAGAGACAGATGGTTCTTGAACATCACTCAACACTTTCAAATTTTTCAAACACCTCAGGATTTGCAGACCGAACTTTTCGTTTTAGCAAACATACATTTTGTTTCTAATATGTCACAATGTTACCAGAATTTCTTACTGCAACACAGTTTTCATTGAAGGACTGTCAAACAAATGTCTAGTGTAATAAGAGGGCGTTTTTATGTTTACAATACAATTAAAAGGTGACCGAAAAAAAAAAAAAAAATTCATATCATTACTTAAATGAAAACTGAATACATCCTCCTTTATTTTAGTTAGGTCATCTAATCGTCCTAGTGTATAAAACGTGATTCTGCACAGTAGCCATTTTCAGTGGGTTCTGTGATAAAAACTCAAGTGGCATTGCCAAAAGTTAGGATTGGAAGACCAGGATGATCAGGTAACACCAACTACCAATATATCACCTTGAATACCTAAAACACATCTCCCAATTTACCTTTATTCGTTTTTGACTCTTCTTCTAATTCTTCATCAGATATTTCCTCGAAGTCCAAACCGACCATACCTTCATCTTCTGCCATTCTTGACTCCATACCCCTTTAAATATTAATAGTTAACGGCTGCATATAAAACTTTACACATACATTTTTACATTTTGATTAAATACTTGTGATCGGATGGGGTAAGTGGTGTAAGAAGTGGTTGGTGTGAATGAGAACTTTCATCAATGTGATCTTCTTGCTCGTTATCACCTTCCAATCTACTCTCATCCCCTTCAGTAAATTCCACCTAAAATTTAAATATTAATTAGACTGTCATTTTAGTTTAAGAACTGAAAATTACATCTTCACGGTTGAGGATATCATCCGCATCATCACTTATATCACTAAGTTCTTCTTGAAGTGAAGAGGGAGCCTCATCAATTCTTGACTTTTTAGGAGGATCATCTAATTCATCACCAGAGCACCGGCTGTGCCTTTTCCCTATCAGACTTTCTACAACTAGCCCTTGTATTATTAATTTCAATGAGAGGTGGGGGTGTAAAATTTAATTACCTGAATCTTTATCTTTAGTCGTTTCCACTGAAGAATGATCCTTCTCATTCACCTCAACATGATTCCTTCTGAAATTAATTATTCCCACCAAAAGTAGTTCAATAAATTTGAATATTTAATTGGCATTTGTTTTCAATTTAAGTCTTTTTATCTCATACCTATCATCATGATGAGAGATCATAGGATGTGAGCGTGAGCTTGTGTGCCAGTCACTTCCACCTCCACCACTATATGATGTCCAATCATCCCCTCCTTCATCACGGCACCTAAAATTAATATATTTTATCCACATGTTTGAAGTTTTTTCCTTTAATTACCAAAAAAAATCATATAAATATGGCTAATATTAATACAGCTATCATTTTATCAAATTTTAAAATTTGATGAGATATTAGTGGTTTTTGTAATATTTATGCTGGACTGAATTTTATTCACTAAAGGCCTAGCTAAAAAAGGAAGTTATAAACTTGTGTAACAAAAAATTTCCGCACAAACCTGGGCTCCCAGTCTCGTCTATTCGAATCCTGAAACTCTCTTTCCCAATCTCCACGTGAAGTGGATTTGTCCCGTGCTTCTTCATATCTGCTACTGTTCCCACTGGTTCCTTCGCCACTCCAGACAGCACCGCTACTCACCCTATCCCTCCTTGATTCCCTTCGCCTGTCATCTGAATAACTACCTCTGATTCTGTCTTCACGTGGGCTTAACCTATCCCTATCTGCATCATACCTCCTTTCACTACCTGTAAATGTATTTTAATGTAAATATATTTTATTATACCATTGTTATTATTTCATTATTGTAAACATAATATTAATTAAGGCCAAAACAATCAGGTTATCAATAATAATATAATATCATGGTAGTTTAATTATTTAGAGGGTGGATGCTGCTTTGGGATATAAAGCCTTTCTTCAGCATTCCTATCACAATACAATCATAAAAAGCTACAATTACGAAATGAATAGTTTAATAATTAAAATTACATTTATTAATCTTACCAAGTGTAGAATTTCAAGATATGACAATCAACACGGTTAAGTCAAAGTTATACATAAAGTGAAAAAAATTGCTTAAATTGTTCACTACACTGTTATGTATTGTGGCAAATTTAACAATGTTAAAGTCAAAAAGATGGGCTGGTGCTACAACAGCGAACAACAGAAATGTGATTGTGAAAAGTGATTGCTGGTTGTCAGTTCTCAAAATTCTACGCTCGGTAAGATTTATTAATAAAAATACTTTTCATTATTAAATTATTCATTTGGTAATTGTAGCATTTATGACTGTATTTTGTTAGGAAAAGATGGGCTTTGGAGCCCGAAACGCCATCTGTAAATAAATTAAGCTACCATGGAACACCTGATTTCTTTCTACCTTAATATTCCATCTAACATATTCTATCTACGAATATTATACTCAGTGATGGCAAAATTAACACACCAACCTCACATTCTAATGTATTTCAGTTTATTCATATTTTGCTTACCAAATATAAGTTGGTTGTAAAAATAAGACGATGTTGATTAGGATTCGGGTTGTGGTTTTTTTTTGTTTTTTTTTTTTTAATTTTAATGCGATTGGCTTCTTTATATACTAAATAATTGATAGGGCAATCTTTCTCAACAAACATACACAAGTTTGTTATATTGTTCGATATATGAGTAGGGAAAACTCCATTGGTTATACACTTAAGAAGAAACCACCTCTTAGACTTACAATTTATAAACTAGCCTTCACCACCTCTAGTCCACAACCTGAATCCTAACTAATCAACATCATAGTGAAGGCTTATTATAGAAAGCCCTGAGCTTCTGCAACGTGTTTATTTAAATGTTCCTTTGAAATCAACTAGACATAAAAATCTATTTTCTATCCCTCTCTGTAATACTATCTATTCTCAGCACCTATTATCAGAGCATGTAGGCTCATGAATTCAGTAGAGGTTGATCTATTCTGTAATAGATTTCAAAACTTTAAAAATAAAATTACTTCCGCTTTGAGTGTTGCTCCAACATAAATGATATATTGCATGTTATGTGGTGATGTAAAATGGCTAAGCTGTGAATTAAGATTATTATTATTTTATTTAAACTTACTTCTATATGGACTGGTATATGGTTTGTCATCAATGAGTCTTCTAGACGACTCATAAGGCCTCTCGTAACTATCACCTCTTCCCCTGTCTCTGCTTCTCTCCAAACTCTTTCTCTCCATTACACGCTCTAATGCTCTGTCTCGAGCCCTCTCTCTTTCATTTGAGACTTTCCTATCATACCTTTGAACACAAAAAAATATGAAATTTGGATGGGATGTTTAACGTCGATAAAAGATTCATCTACTTCTAAACAAGTAAAACTATATTTGTTTGCTGTGACTCTTTATTTAACACTAAATCAATATTTGTTTAGATTACAACTTTGGAGATGGATATGTTGAGTGTGTGCATAGCTTTTTAGGTTTTTTCAAATTCAACTTTCGCCCTAATAAAGGCGATCTTTTATTACCTGCTCCCCTTAACTCTAGTGTAGAAGAACCCAATTGAAAGAGATTGTTAAAGGATAGTTAATTGCACAAATCTGTCTAGGGTTACATTGTGAACTCGATTCAAGGGTTCCCAAGAATTATCTCTCAGGACCAAGAAAGAATGGCTTGTTGCGTTTCGAACCTGAATAGGAATAAATTGGAAAGGTTTATTTTCTATTTGGTAACTACGAATGAGAAGTGGGCCCTTTACAAAAACATTAACAGCCAAAGGACTATCTGAAAAAAGACCGAAATATTGCCTTCGACATAGGATTGCACCCTCAAGGTCCTGTCTGTTTGATAGGATATTTGAGGAATAATTTGTTACCATGCAATCAAATCCTTACAGTAAAAGTGTACTGTGCTAGAGCCACCAAAGATATGAATATTTACAATAATACAAATTAAAGAAATAAAGTTTATTACTAACCTATCGAAAACTCTATCATGTCGTTTGGAGGCATCTTGCGATACAGGTCGCCTTCTGTCTCTAGAACTAGCTCTCCTGTCCTTTCTTTCTCTGTCTCTTTTTGCGGCAGCTTCTTTTCTTTCCCTCTCTCTTTCTTCTCTCAATCTTTCCTTTTCTTTTGCTGCAGCTTCTCTTTCCCTTTGACGCTCCCTGCATCTTTCTAAAGCCTCAGAGCGTTCCTTCTCTCGTGCTGCCTCTCGCATTTCCCTTGCTTTTTCACGACTTCGTGAATCTTCATGTAAATCTCCTAACAGAATAAATTTTGTAATGATTAACACACTGAGGGGGATAGGAAAAAAAAAATGAGAAAAAAACAGGAAAGTTACTTACTTTTATCTCTATAATCAGATTTTCTATCCCTTCTAAAATCATCTTTGCTCTTTCTATCTTCATCCTTCTTTCTATCTGAACTTCTACAAAAGCAAGTATAAATTTATCAATTTAGAGGTGAATTTTGGGATTTATTTACCTATTTCTTGATGAAGGTTGCCTTGAAGAAGATGAGGATGATGATAGTTTAGAATCAGGAGATCTTGGCCTCCTGCTTACTGGCCTTGGGCTCGATCCTCTTCTCCGACTCCTGGAAGCGCTCCTATGCTTCTTTCTCTCACTCGATAACCCCCGTCCTCGTCTTTCTGGAGACTCCTTTCTTCGAGCACCTAAATGTATCATTTGTTATAACAAGAAATCCATGAAGTAAAAGAAAACTTACAAATTGAAGGTCTGGGTTCTGGGATTCTTTCAAATTTATTTCTTAGTTGTGGGATAGGTAGAGTTCTTCCTGTATTGGAAAGGAAACAAGAGGATAAAGATAAAAGAAGGAGTAGGTAGGAAACTACGCATTGTTGTAAATGAGAGCTACTGAATTATAGAACTTAAAAACAATAAATACTGCTTCCTCTTATACTGCATTTGTGTATGTGTGGCTTAATTTCACTATTTTGCTATATAAGCCTTATATACTACTTCTTATTAATCTATTATGTTTTTAATTGGTCATATTTAACCAAAGTAATTTTTTTAAATTATTATGCAAAGTATTGTTGAGTTGGAAATTATTGTCACGAGCAGGACTTGAACTATCGTGACTTCTAGTTTACCAAGAATAGATTTTTAGTTTACATAAAATATTTAAATCAATTTAAATAATTACTTTGGTGTCCTATGACCAACTAAAAACATATAGATTAATACAATAATTACTAAAGGACCTAAATTTCACTAGTGGCTTCCAGCAGCCAATTCATGTTCATCGAGAAGATTTCACAAAATTTGAATATTTCCAAAAAGAGAGAAATCTAAAAAAAATTGTAGGTTGAGGCGATGAGATGGGGTCCCAGGATAGCAAAGTCAGTAGCTTAACTAGTTAGAGACCAGCATATCGAGCCTAATGTCCTAGGTTCCAGTCCCGCTTGTGACACTAATTTTTCATCTTAACAACACTCTGCATAAATATTACTTTAAAAAATCACTTTGGTTAACTAGGACCAACTAAATACATATACTTTAATTATTATGCAAAGTGTAGTTAAAGGTCTTTGCCCACTAGAACTACTAGGACTACTATCATACTAGGACCATAACCGTACCGACACATGCAAATAAATATTCTTTACATCATTTAGTATTAGAAAATGCCCACTACACTGTTCCGTCACCGGCCAACACCGTACCGTGCCGTGCACGTTCAGTCAAAAATCGGCTGCCACGAATATTTTGCAGGTGTCGGTCCGTTGTGCGCATCCGGCCTACTGTGTTGCTGTCCCATTCCACACAAAGTCTTTGCATTTGACAAAGAGATCTGTGTTTGTGTTGTATTGTATTGTGAGTGTGTCTTAATAAAAATGGAGGATGAACAACTAATAGAATATGTTCGTAATTACGAGTTTTTACACAATTTACAACATCTAGTGTTTTTTTCCTCTTCCTCCAAAATAATGGCAATCATGGTCAATTCTTGTACAGATAATTTTCTAATAGCCATACTTTATTTAACAAATTCTCTCCACACAAGAAAACAAAAGTTCACAAACGACGCGCTTTTAAAAAAGAAATGTACGACAGCAACTGAAGCAGGATGGCTACGAAACGTTTTTACATACGCGTTACATACGGGTATAGAGGGCATGGTGCAGTGGGCATGGTAGTGACCGGAGCTTTTATCCTAGTATGTTACGTTTTAGTGGGCAAAGACCTTAAGTTGAAAAATGAAGCATACTTAATTAAGCATGAGCAGGGCTAGAACCCACAACCTCTGGATCAGTACCCCAGTACTTTTACCATTTGAGCTATCATGACTTCTATGGGGTTGAGTCTACCCAGGCATTTAACCCCTCAGGTCTTGGTCGCCCACCCTGCCTAATATATATATCATGACTTCTGTCCTTGAGAGACCCATTAATATCCCCCATCACCTGAATCTACAATTTTTTGCATTCAAAAACATCATAAAGATATTTTCATCTTTTTTGGAATGAAACTTTTCCTTCAGTTTAAAATGTACATACATAATTCTGAGACTCACGTAAATTAAAAACATGGAAATATAAAAACGTTGAAAAAGATTACAAAATTTGTATAATCAAGATGAGAAATAGCCAACAAAAAGAGAAACAAAAAATTAAGCAAATTGCTTGCAAAGCACTCTTGCCTGCGCATTATTAATTCAAAATAATACTACCACATAATTGTACATCAACTCCATAATTAAACAATCCTTTTTTATATAAGAAACCAAATTTGCACTTACTTGACGACATTGATGATCTCATTTTAGGTGGTGAAGGGGGAGGTGGTGGTAATTTTCTCGGTAGGGGTGAAGAAGACTTTTTCTTTTTCCTTGAGGGCGACACAATCTTCTTACTGCCCCCAGAGCTGCTGGATTTTCTTAATGGACTATCTTTGCTCATGCTGGGTTTTCCCCTAGAAAAGTGATCATGTTATTTTTAAAAATTCACTCAGAAACCAGACACTTGTATTTTATTGTTTATTTCAAACTAATGTATGTATTTTTATTGTTATATTAAATATTAACTTATTTTAATGTGTGTTTATTTTAATGTAAACCAAATTAAACAAGATCATTAATTATTGAAATCTAATAAAAATATTTAATTAAGATGGCTTGAAAAACACCTGAAAATCATTTAATGTTAGAATAAATTGTTAATTAAATTTTAATATATCAATAAATAATTTTCCAGTGTTTTAGGTGAATTTCCTTTCAAACCACCATAATTAAATATTTCTTATTAAAACTGAATAATTTCTTATCTTGTTTAATTTTAGTTAATTAAAATAAGTATATTACAATTAATATAGTGATAAAAATACATACATAGTTTGAAATAAATAACAAAATATGAGTGTTTTTATTTTTATTTTTTTTTATTTTATATATTTTTTTTGTCTTTGTGTATAACACAAAAAAATTACAGTGCTTTCTTTGAATTTCTCTCAGACTCAGATGGACTGGAGGTTGACCTCCTTTTCTTTTTAATATCGGAAGTATGCCGGTTCACAGCACTAGATTCAGAGCTTGAAACTGAGGATGATGAACTCCCCGAGCTACTAGAGCTACAGCTAGAAGTAGAACTACTTCTTCGCTGGATCTAAAAGAAATTGTCAAAATTAGACAAATAGATATTTCATGTTACTGAAAACCATGGTTTAAAAAATAAAAGTAAAAAATATCTTACTTTGGCAGAAGATTCTTTTCGTGTGTCCTTTTTCATGTGTAAATCAAGTTCGCGCTGTAAAAGTTGCCTTCTCTTTTCCAGCACTTTCTCATCTTCATACTCTAATACGGTTTGGTCCCAAGTCTCCCAGCTATTCAACTCGGGGCTGCCCAATCTCCTTGGGACAGTCGATATAATCCTTTTTCCTTCTTCACTTCTTCTATCACTAGATATTTTTAAACTACTGCTCACACTCAACTCACAAATGTCTTTCTTGTTATTTTTCTTCGACGGGCTGATTAAAATGTGTGTGTTTGATAATCTGTAAGCACAATTTTTCATTAATTATTGTTATAATTTTATCAATAAATAAATAAAATATAGTGAAAGTACAACACAGTTGTAGTAGAATATAAGTATACATATGAAGAATCGAGGGGAAAAATAATGAAAGTACCAATTAGCTTATTTTTAGTTTAAAAAAAGTTTTTAGTTTTGTAAAATTCCATTCTATTAACTTCAGTCCTCCACATGCTTTATAATAGTCATAATGGTAGCACAGATGAGGAGACGTACTCTTTAAACAAAAATAATGATATATATAAGTCTAATAAAATAAAATGAAAAGTAAAAAATTATTGTTTTTGATTGATGTGTTGGTAGATAAAATAAAGTGTTAGATATACTGAACAGTCTTTAAAATAATAAAAAAAATGTTACTTTCATTCATTATTCACTTCATAAAACAGGTCTCCCATTCTTTATATTCCAGGACATTATTTAAATTTATAGTTTCAACACTATGGTTTGTACAAATGAAAACTTTTATGAGGGTATTTCAACTATGGGGTGTTTAAAAGTGATGGGTTTGAACCCAGGACTTTTACCTTACAGTAATGAGCACCATAGTAACAACACATTTACCATTTTGGTCAAGGCCCCTACTAAAAATTTTATTTTTAACATATGAGTTTAACCTACTTCAATGATCTGCTTTCACTAAAAGATAGGCAAGAAATGACTTGTTAAGATTAAAAATACAAACAATTAAGTTTTTCTGGAGGGAGAGAGTGCTGATTGCAATACAAGGAAGAATGCTTCTTGCATTGCAATCTGATAATATCCTATAACTTAAGGTGGCTCCATACATGCGAAACTAGTCAAGTGCCAATCGCCACTGAATATTTACCAAGTCTCGATACGCTCGTCTTGGCATTCGCCAAATAGTTTGCCTATGTACACACACATATGGGGTTTGAATGGACAACTACCCAGATTGTGGGGAAAATGCGAATGTTTTTGCCAAGTGCCATGCCAGTCCACAACTTATTACCAATTGCAATTGACAACAGTGAAATTGTCATTGCTGCAGCTGCAGTTAGTGTTTTGTGTAGCGGCTACAAACTGATTGGGGAAAAAAAGCCTAAGAAAAGTAGGAAAGATGGTAGATGATATTACTGAACCAAAGCAGTAAATATTGTACCAATTTTTATTATTATTATTTTGAACCTATACTATTTAGTTGACTTTTATTTTGAAATTTAGAAAATGATGTGAAAATTTTCACCATGTGCGTAAAAGTTTTTTGTTAAGTTGATTGTGTTTATTATAAATATAATGGTACAAACCTGTTGGTACACTTACTTTTTAGTAGCTTTTTAGCCTATAGGAAAAAAAAAAAGTGGAGAAAAGTGATTCCAGCAAATGAACACTTAGCCATAACTCTGATTTTTGGCAACAGTTTAAAAAGCCTTCATTACTTGTTCAAGGTATCGCCTCAACTTATTTCTGGCATAAATCCAGAAGTATGCAACGAGTAATCCAAACACTAAACGAATGTATTAAGGTAAGCATGAATTTATTGGTAAAATCCTTTAATGAATACAACTTATAAAAGTTCCATTAAAATAAAACTGAAACACATTTAAAATTCAGTTTACAACCCTTGAAAATTTGTGAAAAATTGTGAATGCCATGGTTTTGTGGTTCAACACTATTTTCAGCAGTCCAGTCTGCACCTTGCGTAGATGCAACATGCTGATTGATTCCTGTTGGGCTTGAGGGACACTTGATTGAAATGTATTAAGAATGTTCTCATGAGGGGATGAAGAACATGATGATGGTGCAGAAATAGTATGCTATGTAATGATGGTAATGGAATGAACTGACATCTGATTTCTGGTATTGTAATAATTATTATATGCCATTTTTCATTTCAAACAGAACATTGTCGATACAATGTATATATCCCTATGTTTTATTTTACAGCAGCAGACACTGTGTTCTCCAAAGACATGCTTTAGCTATGAAACAAATGCCAGCCTCTTTTAAGAAAGTTTAGAATGAGTCTGTTCAAATTATTAATTAAATCAAGTCACAGCCCTTGAAGTTAAGACTTTTCACGATATTATGTGTTTGATGTGGGAAGCCTTCATCATTCTCAGCTTCACCAAACAGAAGTTAGGTGGCTGGCTCGTGGGAAAGCACTCACATTTACAGGAATCTGGTCTTATCTTTGTTGATGGATTACAATTTGAAATTGGCCAACGTTGTCAATGATGAAAAATGGCATTATATATTGTCGTATTTATAAGATTTTTCATTAAAATTAATGAGATGAGTATTTCTTTTTCACGGGAAGAGTATCACAACTTCCAATGGCTAAAAAGTTTGGGAAGCCCTGAATTAATATATTCTCTGCTTTCAGATTCCAGCCACAGAGGACGAGTGGAAAAGTGTTCCTCAGAAGTATGATCAACTGTGGAATTTTCCCATGTATTGGTGCTCTGGATGGAAAGCACAATGCTATTCAGGCTCCAATCAACAGCGGTTCTAAATTCTACAATTACAAGCATTTCTTCAGCATAGTACTAATGGCTCTACTAAATGCTGAGTATTGTTTTATGATCGCTAATGGTGGATGTCAAGGGAAACTAATTGATAGTGCAGTTTATCAAAATACTAAACTGTATAGGAAAATTATGAACAATCAGCTTCATTTCCATTTCCCAAAGTCATTACCAGGATGAGAAAAACCAATACCATATTTAATAGTTGGTGATGATGCATTTCCTTTCAGTAATCAAAACACAAAACCTTTCCCAGGTCAACATGAGAAAAGTAGCAAATGCAAATCAAGAATTTCCAACTGCCGTCTTTCAAGAGTTTGCAGAGTTTTAGAAAATATATTGGGAATAATGGCTAATGTTTTTTGTGTACTAAGGAAGCCAATGCAGCTTAATCCTAATAAAGTAACATTGGTTGAAACGTATTCTCTTGCACAATTTTTTAAGAAGCAAAACATCCCAATTACTGTGCTCACCACGAAGCACTTACGGTTCTGAAAAATATGTTGCAAGTCTCTTGCGGCAAGACAACAATGCAATGTGATACCTATTGCTGATGCAAAGAATTCCCAGAAGGTAGATTATTTTTTTTTAATCAGTCACAGAGAATGTTTCCACACATCGAAAACCTTGTTGTTTTTTTTATAATTTGTAAGAGAAGCTTTCCAAATTATTGGCTCAGCTTTATACATATCAAGCTACTCAAAAACTGTTGCATTGGGTCAATCCATTTCAAAACAGAAACAATGCTATGCTGTTCTTTCCTACACCTATTAGAAAAATATAAATATATACACTTACTGTTGATTTTGATTACACTTTATTTACGTACAGTTACAGTTGAATCCCAAATGTGTAGATTCTTTGAGTTTGGTTACTTCAGGAATATCTGTGCACTTTGAAGCGGAAAAGGAAATCAACAATTAGCTGAGAAAAGCGAACACCAAATATTGTTGCTCAGTGGATAACCAAGCAACCGTCCCCACTAATCGGGGTTCAACAAACCTTTGCTCGGTATTCGGCAAATACCACGTATCTGGTAGAGCCTATGATTAGGAATCTATCCTTTATGATTATCCCAAAATATTCTACAATTGTCTATCAGTAATTAAATATTACATCAACAAGTGAATTGACAGATCAAGTGCAATATAATAAATTACACAAATTCTCAATTGTATTATTTCCTTTGTTTCATTAAAAAACAAGTTATGCCCATTATGTAGGAATTGCCAATACAGCATCAGAGTATACAGATCGTCACAGAAAGAGTGTCACTGTTAGCAACCAAAACATAACAATATCATTTGGAAACTCATATTCACATATTTCTTAAATGAGAGACAATTTAATTTTAAAACCTCCAACTGGAGGTTTATACAGGTTCAACTCATTCATACAACTGGAATAGTCAGAGTAGTGTATTATTATTCGGAGATCGTAGTGTATTATGTACAGTTGTGTATTATTATATATTATTGACATTCAAATGTCCAATCCCTCCAAGCCTATTAAACTAATTAAAATAAATTGTGTGCTTACTTATTGTTTTTAACTTTTTTTTTTTTTATCAACAACTAGGTGTTAAAAAAATCGCCAATATATAAATACCAAAAACAGGATGAAGTCAATTCACACTATTGAAAAAGAAAAAATTCAGTATTTTTACTGGGTTCAGTTTAAACTTCAACATAATCGACAATGGAATTATGGTTTAACATTGAATAACAGCAATTTAATTGATAACATATGTTGTTTTGTCAAGCTGCTTTTTTTTTACACCACCCTAACAATTATTGGCACATTCTCTGACGTTTGACCTAGAAGAAAGTAAATATTTCAACAAATAACATAAAACATTAAATTTACTAGTACAATTTAATAACCTAGGAATGAATGAATTTATCTTTAGTAATTGTGAATACTCTGGATCTCGGTATGCTCTGGACGAAAAAAACAAATTCAATTGTAATCTTCCAAGCTTTCAACCCATTTTAAGATCATCATCAGGGCAAAACAATATTAAAGATGTCTATAAATTGACATAATTAATTTTTTAATAGATCAAATTTCTTTGAAGGTGTAGACTCAGTAAAATATTGCATGTTAGAAATCAGAAGAACATGATCACTGCAAGGTTCAATCAACAATATCTGGCCTTTAAATACCTCAGGGCTTCCCTTATAGCATGAATAATTTGAATCTTGGTCTGGATGAAAAAACTAAATTGTTAATGCCCAGCTTCAATGTCTTAATTAAACTTACTTATGTCAATTTGTAGATATCTTTAAGAATGTTTTGTCCTGATGACCTTAAAACTGGTCAAAAGCTTGGCATGAAACAATTATGTTGTGACCAAACCAAGATCTAGATTATTTGTAAATAAAAAAGTAGTCGTTACGACTAAAAATTCAATCAGAATCCAATGTAATCACAATTAACAGACGGATAGATCCAGGATGATCAGAAACGACCAAACCATGGATGCATCAGTTCACAGTTCTTAATAAGTCGTCTCACAATCACAAAATTGTCTCGTTTACCTGATAAGAAACTTTTTTTCTTTACAAAGAATATATAAACTTAAATTTAAACACCTATGAAAACCATGTTTGTCATAGGAGACGTGAAAAGAAGAAATTGTGACTTACTTGCAAGCCTTGCCATACAAACAAGTACCATTCTGTGCCCAGTTCCTACAGAAGTCTTGGGGTTGTCCGGTTGCTGATGTGTTAACGGAAAGGGAAAGGTGCAAAGGAGACGGGTTTACAGTCGCTTTTGTGCCCAATCTCTCAAAAACGCTCTGCCGCTTCTGCTCCTTGTTGTTATTGTTGTTGGTGCTGTTGTTTTTTGACTCTCCACTTTTACGCTTGCTTGTTTTTGACATCTTTTCCGGCCACGGCTGAATCCGGTTTCTTTGAGACTCTAAAATTTCCCATTGGATCGAGATTCAATTTTTTTTTTTTTAAATAACAAAAGTAAATCCGAAGTTGACCTTACTTGAGCTCTGTAATAAACATAAGTCCGCATTGATAGAAAAGCATACGGATGTAATAAGTAATACTGATGCCAAACGCCGCGTAGACTCTGCAGGTTGTAAATACGAAAGCGCGATATCACAGTTAAATTCCTAACAGCCGGGATAAAAACGAATTTCAGATTTCACCTCGAGATGCGACCAGAATTAAATCAGAAATTCGAAACGGTGTAAACAAGAAGTAGAAGATACGAGGGAACCTTAGTCTTATTTCAAAACTTCAACCTTACTTCTTAATACAAAAACAGGGCTGAGTCGACTTCCCAATAGTAACCAAATTTCCCTTTTTCAGTTCAATCATCAGGAATGTCGTCTAGCAATAAAATATGCAAAATTGTTGTTCGATTTAAAAATATTTTCTTCGAGTTTATTTCTTTAGTAGAGTCTGGACGGAGGTCAGTCGGAGCAAAGCGTTCTAGAAGAAAAACCTGTTCAATGAAAGACAGGGGTTTAGTATAAAATTATCCTAATTCAGGCGAAGTACAAATCCTACTGAATTCATTGAACTCTACACTTTCAAAAACTCGAAATTATTAAATTGGGCATCGGTGGGCCAACGATTTAGGCGTTGATAAAGCTATCACTGTAAGGTAAAAGTCCAGCGCCCCTGCATTGGAACCGGACATACTTACAAATGGGCTTTTTTTCCAAAATCACCGGCATCCCGATGGCTTACATGACCTCTGCTGTTGGGAACCCTCATAAAAAAAATTAAATATACTCTTTTTAAAATATAAATCCTTGCATTAGATCTTTCATAGGATCACTTGTGTATAACTCTTACTTACCTAGCTTCTACATTTTCCTTTTGGATATCAGAAAATAGTCTTACTTAATTTGTCTCAATAGTAGTCATTGTTTGCACAACAATTATAACTCCTTCACTACACAAAACAACATCCTCTACAGTACACAATACATCATCAACCCAATCACACAAAGACAAACCAATATACATGACAATTCCATTCGTCTACACATTGTCAGACAAATTAGGCACATTTCTATCCTCAAACCACATTAAAATAACCTTAAAATACCACAAAACAATACAGACACTTTTTTCCAAAGTCAAAGACCCAACACCAACAGTCTACAAATCTGATGTATTGTTTGAATTGACCATTCATTGCATTACACAGTAATATCTGGGAAAAGGGAGAAAAACACATCTATGACTGCAAAACCATTGGCCACACACCATTTTGACAAACAATACAACTTTGATTTAGACAAAGAAAAAAACAAATACTAAATATTAAGAAAAAATACAAACGCAACTTTCTAGAAATGATTTACATTAGGTCACACAGTATTAATTATAGAATGGATATATGCAAATAACCTATCAAATTTTATTTTTATGATCTTCGTTATCGACCATAAAAATTAACATCCTTTCCAATATTAGTAATTGAGCCCATCCTCACTCCATCATAATTATATAAAAATAGCAGAATAGAAATTCACGTTTCACAACAATTTCATTGCTGTCTGACTTGTACAAAAATGTACATGTGTATTACCGAATTTATTACCGAAAAATAGCTCTGGCGAATTTGTCCCCGGTCTATGCCAGTAATTTCGATACCTCATTCCTAAATCATACTTAAATAATACAGATAATTGTAATTTAATAAGGTCCAAGTGTCCAAAAAAATGAATACTGGCATGGAATGAAAAATGCCGATATCAGTAAAATATCGATACTTTTTTCCCTACCCATGGAGACTTTTCTGATAACCATTCAGCAAGGTTACCTGACGGTAGGTTTCTACGCTTCGTACTGTTGTGGTATAGTTTATTTGGTGAAATAGACAAATATCCTTTGGTTAATGTATTTACACAATTTTCTGGTGCCAGTGGAGAACGCAGTCACTTCATTCTCTCCGTTCTGCAAGGAATCGTCAAAGTCTTCTAAGCTATAAAAATATTTGCGACTTCCTTTAAAAATCGCTCAAAGACAAAGGAAATGATGGTGTCGCGGTTGTCTCTCGGTGCAAAACCCATTTTGTTCGCTCTCAGAGCTTTCTCACAGAAACCGGTTTTGCCTAAGTACCCAGTACCTCAACTCAGTTCTACCTTGGAGAAATATTTGAAGTAGGTGTAAAAAACAAAATATTTCATAATTTAATGTCCTTTTTTAACGTTGGTTCACAAATTAGAAGATACACGCACAAAAGTTCATTTTACCTTTTTTGGAGTTTTGTATGTTGAAGTTAAACCTAACAAAATTCAGTTAAACACAATTTAATATTGTAAAGCTAAGTTGGACTAGATCAAATTGAAAAGTTAAATTTTGGAGAGTATAAAAGGTTTTATGCTGGGTGTTAGTCTGTGGGTGGGTGAACCGGCTTGGGTCACCCATGTCGAACCTTTCAATGAATAGTTCAATACAAAGAAAAATTGTATAAAAATGCTATTAATTGTTAATGATTTGTTTGTGATTGAAAAATTACTACAAACAATACTGAGGTTTAGAAACATGATATTTTTTTTTTTACAAATGTTATTGCTTTATTTATAATTTTAATTAATTATACTTTTAATCTAAGGTCTTGGTTGAGATGTAAAAGCAAGTGTCACAAGCGAGATTCGAACCTACGAGGTTTGACCAAATACGCCGCTGCTCTAATCACTTGAAATATCGTGATTCGATCCACTTGGATACAAACTCATCTCAGTCTACAACCTTTCAATTTTTTTTTTTTTTTGTCATATTTTTAAATGTCGTATAATCAGGATTCGATTCTCTGGCGACTTATGATTTGGCCAAAGGGCGCTGTTAGTGAAGTAAACACTTCTGTAATTATTATATTAATCCTTACATTTATTTAGTCGACAAAGCATAGTTCAAGTAAATAGAGAATCGACATATTGAGTTGAAGTTTGTGGATCAAGACTTGCTTTTCATCTCAACCATGACCTTTGATTAAAAGTATAATGATTTTAAAACAATTAATACTGTAATTTATGACAACTAAATACATATATGGATTATTTTATAATTTTTATTTTTCAATTGTTTGCAACGCCTGTTTTCCATTGCTCAGTGTGCTTTCTTTAAGAACGCTTAGCTCCGACCAAACTTCGTCCTGATTCTACTAACTAAACTAAAATAAAAAAGTTGTAGATTTGAATCTCGTTCATGACACTTGCTTTTTCATATCAACGAAGACGTTAGATTAAAAGATAATTACTTAAAATAATTAATTCAGTAAATTATGACTTCTAAATACATATATGTATTTATTTATGATGTACTATATGTTTATCGATAAAGCATGCCAAAACTTCAATTACTTTGAAAACCTCGGATTTGTGTCATTGGGTTGAATAAAATAAAAAAGAAGTAAGTAAATTTGTTCATGAAAGAGTTTATTGTTAATTTTAAAGGAAAAAAGATCAGCAGTCTTTCAAAATGGTATATTAAATGTGAATGACACTTCAGATTTAAATTGAAATATTTCAGATCTGTTAAACCGTTTTTGACACCGGAAGAACAAATTGAAGTGGAAAATTCAATAAAGCAGTTTGGTGCCCCAGGTGGAGAAGCAGAAACATTGAACGCTTTGCTTTTGCAAAGAGCAAGCAAAATGGACAATTGGGTGAGTATTAATCATCGCCTGAAAAAATTTAATCAGGCGGTGTTACAAATTGTGAAAAAGTGAATTATCTTTTTGTTAAATGTTTGTAGTTAGAAGAGTGGTGGGTAAATACTGCTTACCTTCAGTACAGAGATCCGGTTGTTGTGTTTTCTAGTCCAGGTCTTGTATTTCCAAAGCAAACTTTTAAATCTGATGATGATAGATTGACATGTGCTGCTAAAATGATTGCTATCGCTTTAGACTACAAACATCTTATTGATTGGTAATGACTGGTAGCCTCGTTTTAAGAATATAAAAAATCTATTACTTGCTTTTTATTTGTAGTGAAAAAATTCCACAGGAAATGTTTGGTAAACACCCGCTGGATATGAGCCAATACCAAAAAGTATTCGGAACATGCAGAATTCCTGGGTCATCTTGCGATAGCCTTTCTTATCACCCCAGATCAGAGCATGTAATTGTCATTTCAAATAACCATTTTTACAAAGTTGTTGTAAAAGATGGTATTCACTGGTTGAAATATAACCAGGTAAATGGTATATTTAGTTCGTATAGTTAACTATAAGCTCATTTGTATAATATTTTTCTTACAGATTGTTGAAAGTTTAAAAGATATTTGGTCAAAAACTTGTGAATCTCCTGGTGCACCAATAGGGTTATTATCCACAGACCACAGAGATAATTGGTTCTCAAGTTACGAAGAGTTAAAGAAGAGTATGATCAAAAGCTAATTGTGTATTTATTGATAAATATAGTATATGGTTGTTTGCTTAGTACCTAGCAACACTGAAAACTTAAAAGCAATCGAGGAGTCATTATTTTGTTTATGTTTGGATGCAGTGGATCCATACTTTTGTAAGAACAATATGACAACGACCGGAAAGCAAGTTGTTCACGGTGGAGGTCCAAAGAGCAATGCTGCTAATCGTTGGTATGATAAGACGATTCAGGTATGCTATTTCTTTTATTTACATTGTGAAAAATAATTGAAGTTAGATGTTTCCAGTTTATTGTTAGTAAAGATGGTGGCATTGGATTGACTTATGAACACAGTCCAGCTGAAGGGCAGCCTATTGCAATTATGATGGATTATATTATGAAAAATCTGTAAGTCATGTAATTATTACCCTAAGCCATGAATCTTTTCACAACAAGAACATAAAAATGTACAAATATATCCTACATAACAATCACTACCTTAAACACATAATCAACAGAATAATCAACAACTAGAACTCAACACACTCACCATCTAGTATTACTAATAATACCACATCAAATCTATCAAATACAGATAAACCAATATACATATCCATGCCATTCATTCATGGCCTATCACATAAATTAAACATATTTCTCTATTCTGATAACTTTGAATTAATTGCTTTTAAAAACTATAAAACAATTCACACACTTTTTAAAATTAAAGATCCCACACCAGTAACAAATAAGTCTGATGTAATTTACAAAATCAATTGTTTAAACTGTCTGGCAACTTACATCGGAAGTGCATCCCAACATCTGGATAAGAGAGTAAAGCAACGTAACTATGACTTCAAAAAACCCAAACAAAATCCTACAGTACTAGCTAATTTTGAACACCAACACAATTTCGACTTCAACAATCCAAAAATATTACGCACAGAACAAAACAAACATAAAGTAATTTTTTAGAAATAGTTTACATCAACAGAGATAAACACAGCATCAATTACAGAACAGACACACGTAAACTCAGTCACAGCTATGCTAATATCAATAATCAAATTCAGTATCAATAACATACATCTGGGAGGAAGTCGGGAATGGTGTTTTTCTGGATTGCATTTGTAATTCGGGGTTTATTCAATAGGCACAGTTACTAATATTGCAAAGGATAAGTATTATGGACAATAATGAAGGAAAGGGAAATGTAGTAAAATAAAGTTTAATTGTTCATTTGCTTTATGACGGAGTATGACATGTATCTGTTCTGTAATTAATGCTGTGTATGTATCCCTGTTAATGTAATTGTACTGTACAATTGTTGAAAATCAATTAATCTATTGCCTCAGTGTGAACATGTTCACATCGTATAAGTTTTTATTTTATTTATTTGGTGGCTTTACGTTTCACCATATTAGCTATTATTGATTAGAATTAATTGTTACAATACACATAATAGATGTAGAGGGGGTACTACTAAAGTGATCTTTTTTTAAATATATGTAGTAGTAGTTTATGTTAGTTATGGATCTACCAACATCAAGTAGTCATCATCAGTCCTATTTGCTTAAAGCAGAAAATTCTATAGCTTTTCCGCCTCACTGGTTCTCTCTCATATTTTTACCACCCCACTAAAATGCCACCAGCAACGAGAACATATATATAGCAACAACATGGTTGGCTCCCCAGCCAGAAACCTGAAGAGTGCATGAATTAAAAAAAAAGTCATTTATTTATTGCAACATTACATTGCATAGGAGGACCAGAATGCCTGAGTTAATTAGGGCAGCTGACTCATATATGCCACGTTAGTGGTTTGAATCCCGAGAGAGCCAATGATGTTTTAATTGAAAATAATAATATAACATTACTGCAACATAGTTTGACCCTACCCCTCATCCACGACACTCTTGTACAACAGGAATTACTTTATTTACATCCATTGCACATAGTATTTTTTATGTTAATTTATTGTATTTAGATTTTTTTAACATTTCTTTCTGTTATTCTTTAATTTCATTGTCTTTCTCTATTTTTATATTTATAAGATATCATTTGGCCAATATTTCAACTTTCATGGAATTTCCATTCGATTCTCGGTGACACATGAAGTGCCCACGGGGAGCTTTTAGCAAAGTGCAGGTATTTCAGTAATGATTATATTAATCCTTACGTATTTTAGTTGGTCATAATTAACCAAAGTAATGATTTAAATTGATTTATAATTTTTATGTAAAGTGTGGTTGAGATTAAAAATAGTATCACGAGCAGGACTTGAACTCCTGACCTTTTGCTCTACACCTTGGGGACCGAAGTCCCCACCAAAGTACTAGAGTATAGAGTAGGAGGAGGTTGTGCATTCGAGTCCCACTTATGAACTAATTTTTCATCTCAACCACACTTCATATAAAAATTATAAATGGATTTAAAACATTACTTTGGTTAAATAGGACCAACTAAAATACATATGGATTAATATATTATTTCCTATTCTCATCATACCCATATGGACTTACTGAATTGAATACTGGGGTACAGTCAAGTAATATAACCTAAATCAAATCTAAACATTTCACTTCATAGCACATCACCAATCCTCCCTTCGAGAGGATCATCTCTAATAAAACACTGAATGTTCCATTGATATTCCATTTTAACTCCAAACTTTTAAACTTCGGAATTTTTTAATTCCAAAAGAACTCATCAAATTCTGATTCTAAAAGTTACTGAACATACTTCTAACATTCCTTTGGCTCATTCTTTCTCCTGAACCACAAATCCTCTAAAAATTCCATGGTGGTTGAAATGATATTGGCCAAAAGATCTCTTGTAAATACCTTAAAAATAGAGAAAGACGAAAAAATTAAATAATAACTTAAATTTAACTTTAATTTGTCTTCCCTACTCCTTCACATTCACAATGGCAAAGTTCATTCGAAGATAGTTAAGTATGTAATCCAATTCATATAAATATAAATGCATTAATTTTAATCATTTATTTATTTTAAAGTGAAACTGCAGAAAGAGGAGATGAAAATATCACATCAAACTATAATGAATTGAAATTTGAAACTAATGATGCCATCAATGATAAATTGAAGATTGCAGAAGATAATTTAACAAAGTAAAAATTTGTTGATTAGAATGTTAAGTTGATTTGTCATTAAATCATATTTTTAGATTAGTAGATGATTTGGAGTTCAACTGCTTTTCATTTGATGATTTTGGCAAAGAAGAACTGAAAGGGTTTCAGGTCAGTCCAGATAGTTTCCTGCAAATGGCTATGCAGTATGCTTTCTACAGGTACGCTAATTAATAGCCTTTTGAAAAATATGTTAATTAAACGAACAATTTAAAGAATTCATAAAGTACCTGGTGCACATTATGAATCTGGATCCACTCGGATGTTCATTGGTGGAAGGACTGAAACGATTCGTTCCTGTTCTGTGGAATCGATCAACTTTGCCAAAGCAATGATGGACAGTTCTGCCAGTGACCAGAGCAAGGCGAATGCACTCAGAACTGCGATCCAAGCGCATAAGGACTACGCACTTGCTGTTTGTAAACACCTTATTTCCAATTTAGTCACAAATATCTCAAAAAGTTATTTTAGGCACTAAATGCCCAAGGGATTGACAGGCATCTGCTCGGATTGAGAATGATCGCTAAAGATAACAAATTGCCAATTCCAACATTGTTTAATGAAAAAGCCTATAAGGAGAGCACACATATGAGAATCTCAACAAGTCAGGTATGAGATGAGTATAGATAGAAAAAAATGAAATGCCGGGCCAAAAAGTTTATGTGGTGCTAAAGGATATTGAATTTCATTCCTACTCATTTTCTATATGAAGTCAAGAAATGACATCCTTAATTTCTTTTCTCTATGCCAGACACATACACATTTTTCTTGTTCTTAAAAAAAATAGCAGAATTACTTAAGTGTAATATGAAGACACATTTTTTCCCTCAAGAATATTTACACTCCTGCACAAAATAGTTAACAGGCGCTTAATACTAGAAAAACGCCTGTAACTTATAATATTGTCTACTTGTACCGTAAATATTCTTATAATTCGATCGTTACTTTGATCATATGATCAACACAACAAGGATAAGCAGACCAAAATAATCGGTAATGACCAAATTACAGGTTCATCATTTGCAGACCACACAGAGAAATCACACACTGTATATTCTTATCATATAGCAAAGTATTTTGTTGTTTAATATACAAGTTGTTGAACGTTTCTCCCCAACTTGTTCAGCCTTAACAGACTCAGCCAAACTCATCTGATCAACTCCTTTGATTGAAAGGGTTGAACTGTTTGATAAGGGATGATCAAGCTGTAGACAAATTTTACTTTCTAACAAAATAAATTAGTACAAGTTTATAAAATTGGCTGATTGACATAATTTGGAAATAAAAAGCACACATTACATGTCATAGAGAATCTGTTTGAATAAAACTTCTTTTAGTTCCAGAACTGTTTCACTGTAAAAGAAGTTTTATTCATAGATTTTCTATTATGGAGTTCCATAGTTTGTACTGTACTACTTCAGACAAAACACATTACACGTCAGTCTAGTGAGTCATATAGTCTAGATTCTCATTTTTAATACATGACATTTTAAATATTTGTATACTACCTAGGTATCTACTAAGTGTGATGCTTTCATGCTATATGGGCCTTTGGTCTTTGATGGCTATGCGGTTTGTTACAACTCGCGCCAAGATAGTGTAAACTTTGGCACTACATGTTTTAAACATTGCAAGGAAACAAGTACAGTTAAGCTGGAAAAAGTACTTAAAAAAGTGTTGAAAGACATGAAGATACTTTTGGGGAAATTGCGTTAACAAATAAAATATTATTCAGTATATGTTGCCTTTTAACATTATAGTTTAATGCGTTTTACAGGTTGCCTCATTATGTGATGGTTTCATGGTATATGGGCCATTGGTCCACAATGGCTACTCATGCTGCTACAACCCAAGGAAAAATAACATAAACTTTGGCACATCAAGTTTTGTATCTTGTACTGAAACGAGTGCAATTAAATTTGAGGAGGCTCTCAGGAACTCCTTGAATGACATGAGGAACGTTCTTCTCAAAGCTCCTCAGGCTAAACTATAAATGTGGTATTTCCTTGATGTACGCGAGCAAAATATTTTGGATATTGTGATGTAAGAGAATTAAGACAGTTCTAAAGATTCTAATAATATTTTTATTGATGCTTGAGTATTATATGTATATATATTTTTAAATACTATTTTTTTGTAAAGTGAGTGAACTATTTTTTATTATGCATTGTTTTCATGAAAGTAAAGAATCTATTTTAGATACAAAATATATTTATTATATATAACTATAATTCACCTCCCAAACACAGTTGTGGCCCCGTTTCAGGCAGGCACTCCACTAATGCTCTCTCAAGTGCCATGGTCTGAGACCAGTTGGGAGTTCAGCTGGGGTGGTACATCTTTCAAATAACTGAGGGGCCCTAGGTCAGTTTAGCAAGGACAGAAACTTTGTGTAGAGCAAAAGCTGGCTTGATCCCGATGCTCTGTGTGCATAGGGACTGCAAAAGCACGGTCCATCGATCATTTTGGCTTGACAAGTTTTTAGCAAGAGATGTCAAAAAGTTACCACATAGTTAACTGACTTGTGGCGGCCAAGCGTTTATAGCGATGTCGCTTGTTGACTCAGCAGTGGAAGAAGGGACTCTTGAAATGAGTGGCCAGTAGCAAAGTCTGCTGTCGAGAAGGCGAGAGTGAGGCTGATACTGCAAGTGCTCTTACTGTTGACCAGGTGTTGTTGGTAGTGTTCTAGGTAGACAGCGGGAGATTGTCAAGGAAATGAGTCTGACAAAAGCAGGGCACCGCCCCTGCTTATGAACGTAATTGCTCCATGCTAATTGAACGCAGAGTGGAGGGAAAAGTCATTCCTGATCTAGTAGTGACACCTAGTAGATACTGTCGATACTGCAGGTGGTCACCACATTAAAAATTCTATGTATTTTGTTTTTGACCAGTACTAAGAATTTACAAAGATTTAAGGTAGATACTTATCAAGAGAGAAATCAATTGAGCCCTGAACACATGGAGCTTGCTTTATTTACAATTTATGTGCATATTTAATTCAATTAGCAATCTAGGGAAATCCTCGTAAGAAAAACAAGAATACAAAAAATATGCTATACTTACAAGTACGTATTAGAGTAAAATGTCTTATGTTAAATGATGGAATATTTAATATGGATAAAACAATTGGTATATAAATGAATTTGCAATAATTACAAACCAAAATTGGTTAATAGTATTGGATGTTGCAATGTGTTTTACTTGCAACATAGTATATTTATCACCAATATGCTATGCTCTTTTGCTTTCTGTAAGAACCCTGACAATGGAACCAAGGCCTCCAACAGCATAGACTTTTTCATGCCACAGTAGTAATTGTCCACTTCGTTTTTCAGACAGAAATTCAAATCCTCGATAAATATACTTCATAAGAGTGTCCACTAAGTCGCTGCTGAGTGCAGCCACAGCTTCATCCATTTGGGAAGACTTGAATGACATGAGTACCTTCATGGTCAGATTTAATGCATTGTCCTGTTTAAAAAAATATATATTGGTTAAATTTGTTAAATGAAAAGCAACAATTCAATTAAGGCATCAACTAAATAATTTTAAAATGACAAATCAATATTGAATAGGAAAAATATTTCAAATGATTTTTTTAAAAAGTGAAATATTTTACAGCAATGTTCCACTTGCAATTTTCGATACGTGTAGAGTATTAAAAGTATAAGATTTTTAACAAAATAAAAAAGTGGAAAGAATTGTCCTCCCAGCAGGCCTGAACAATAGGAAATACGAGAGTTTGGTGTGGAGTAGTGAGTGTCAATGCACCATCTTCTTCTGGTTCTCATCTTATGTAGGCCTGAACAATAGGAAATACGAGAGTTTGGTGTGGAGTAGTGAGTGCCAATGCACCATCTTCCTCTGGTTCTCATCTTATGTTACATTTGTACTTAATTTAATTTAGTTCAATATAGATAAAATTTGTCCCATCACTAATCAAAAATCCACAAATGGAATTTATTTTTTACTAACTGTTGTTCAAATATGTAAATATCACTGAACATTTATATTTGCTTATCAATATGATGCTAATTCATTCGCTTTAAATAAATTTAACTAAATAAATAAATTTAACAGTGGATGAGAGGGGGGTTATATGATTAAGTACAATGCACCCCATAATTGGTATCCTTATGGACCCAAACAGGAAAAATGTTGTAAAAACCAGAGCTAAATAATATTTCTCTTTAGTTAAATGCTCCATGAAATTGTAAGTGGATCTACAGCCATCAATGCCCGTACGCTATAAAATGCAACAGAAGAAAATATGCTAGTATTTCAAGCTTTTAATTAGAAACAAATTAACTTCAAATATTATGGATCATGTCATTATTAGAACTCCTGACTTGGGTGCCAATGCATAACATAAAGAAATCAATATTACGAAAAAGTTCCTTAACTTGCTAACAAGGAGCAAGTGAACATTTAAAGACAACATTAAAATAATAACAAAAAAATAAGAAGGGTTACAATATTTTAGAAGGTGTGGTATCTAGTGACTGTTATTCATCATATTTAAAAGTTCTTTCAATTAATTAAGGTTTTCAATTAATTTAGCTGAGATAAAAAAGTCAGTCACAAGCAGGATTCGAACCCACGATCTTCGGCTAGATACGCCGCTACTCTACCACCTGAGCAATCGTGACTTCAATCCACACGGACACTAACTTCCCATCTCAACCCCACCTTTTGAATTTTCCCTCCTTTTTGCCATTTTTCAAATGTTGTGTAATCTATTTGATTCTCGGCGACAAATGAAATGCCACGGAGAGCTTTAGTGAAGATATACTTCATTTAACTTATTAAATTCACTAATTTTTGTGGTCCGCTTGACCAATCTTTCAATTAATTAGTCAAGTGGACCACGAAAATTAGTGAACATATTTAGAAGGCTATTCAAGTATACTATGATTATTCTCTGGTTTGGGATATTATTGGGTATGTTGTCCAAAATTATGCATACACTGTATGTATTATATATTTGCCAAACTTTCAGCACAATATTAGATCTTCCTCAGGGCACTAAAACTACATAATAAAAATTATTATAGAGTGTATGAATCATTTTTCGACCTCATACCAGATAATATAACAAACCAGAATATAATCAAATTTGGTTGATACCTGAATAACCTCATAAATTGCTGGGTCAGCTCTGGACATGCCTACATAGATTTTTATTGTTGTTGTAAGTGCACTGAGGAAAAGGGAATTAGTGCTGAAAGCTAGGCAACTGTATAACATATTATTTACTACATATTATTACAGTGTATAAATCATTTTGCAACGCATACCCAACAATATCCCAAACCAGAACAATACACACAACACTGCAATATAAAATATTTTGATTTCTTAAATCTAATTAAACCAGCTCAACAAAAACAAAATACAATAGTAATTGTTTATAACGACACCTGTTACATGGAACGACACCTGTTATAACATATAAAATCTCCAATCCTGTGAAATATCATAAGTAAAAAACATAGGGAACTGTTTATAATGAACTGTTGGTTATAGCGGACAGCACCCAAAAGTAACCTCATCTGCCTAATGATTCTAGGAAAGATTCTTCCCCTTTTTTAAACTCTAAATGTCTCTAAATAAAAAATAAAACAACTGCAACACCTTAGTCTCTTCTGTTGAGGAAAAATTCATGATTTCTCAAATCAAATCGAGAGATTGTGCGAACAGTCTCGCAAATGGGGATGTTCCAAAACATTATTTAATTTTATAAGTGCCATAAAGTTAAAAAAAAATGCAGGAAACAAAAAAGATTACATACTACAATGATACTGTAACTCCATTCACATTTGTACATTCATATGTACATATATGTATGGCAAATATGGCAAAAAGAGGGAAAATTTGATCAATCGTAGGTAGAGATGAGGAGTTGGTGTCTGAGGGGATCGAAGTCATGATAGCTTAAGTAATTAGAGCAGTGGCGTATTGAGCCAAAGGTCTTGGGTTCGAATCCCGCTCATGGTACTAATTTTTCATCTCAACCGAAAACCTTACATAAAAAGAATAATTAATAGGCATAATTAATGTAATCAAATATGACCACTAAGCAAATATGGATATGTATTAGTTTTAAAAACATCCATGTAAATACATTACTTTAGCAGGTTAGTATGTATTTTGTACTTCCTCATGAACCTAGATAAATTATATAATTAATTACTTATATAATGAAAACCGCTCTGCTATAAACATAAACGTACATGCCTATCAATTGCATGAAGTGTTAAGATAAAATGAATTGTTCACTATAAGTGATACATTGCTTACAGTGAATACCGCTTATAACATACAAAATTTTATGGCCCCCTGAATTTCATTATAAACCATTTATAATGTATATGTTTTAATGGGAAATTTGAAAATTTTCTAATTGGTAAATTAAAAAAAACAACTGCTTACAATCTAAAGAGACTTACTTTGACTTGTTGGTTTTTGGAGGCGAGTGGAGCATTTTTCAACACGACGATCAGAGCCTCGATGTTGTTGCCCCTGTACAAAAATTAAGGTAAAATAAATAAAATCCAAAATATAAACGAATTGGATAAAAAGCGAAGGATACTTCATCAATAGATTGTTCACTTCTGACTCATCGGGGCCCGAGGGTGGCGATTGCGGCTCGGCCGGATCATCCTCCCTGTATTGGTCTTCGTTGTACTGGTCGACGTCAATCTTCCTAAAAGCGGAACTTAGCGTGTTTGTAGCCATGAGGAGACCCTGTTGGAGATGGACCTGGAGTCGAACTTTCGAAGACGGAGGACCTACTTTCAAAGATAAGAGAAGATAGATGACAACAAAACTGAAGTCTAATCTGAACCACCCCAAAGAAACCAGACAGGAAGGCTACTGGCACTTGGCAGTTGGTAGTACTGGCTACTGGCTAGTTAGTAGTACCAGTAGTGACTAATGGGATGACCTCAGCACTGTCCTATGTAAGCAGTCAACTCAGTGAAACGAGGGAGTGACGTTGCATCGATTACAGTTGACAGCCAAGAACTCAAGAAGATTTTAAAAGATTCATTTACTCCTTAACAGAAATTATTATCGTTTTTAATGTAGTCATATCGTACAATTTCCTTTTAATAGTTTATTAATTATTGCAAATAATACGTTATCTGTATTATAGAAATGATCGATGAAAACAGCAACCACAATGTTTATTTATCTATTTATTTAAAACATTTACACATTCAAATCAAAGTCCCTTTTACAAAGAATATGCAAAGAACATTGGCAAAACTTGAAAAAAATATCTCTGAACGGCTCTTCCGTTTCCTTCATTTGGATACCAAGCATGTCGGGATTAAGGGAAAGGCTAGCTGACAATGCAGCAAAAACTGCGTAGAACAATCCCATCATCTCAGTTTTAATAAATCCTGAGGATATGAAGTCTGCTTTCAAACTTAAATTAATTGAAAATTGGGAAAATCAATGAAAACAAACCACTTCTAAAAAATTATGAAACATAAAAGAGACTGTTAAGCCTTGGGAAACATCCTTCTAAACTTCCAGGGGTGATGAGGTCGTACTATGTTGATTAAGTATTGGGCACACAAATATGACCCATAGGCACCTCATGGAAAAATCTATACTACCAACATGCTTTGTGGTGATAAATTAGATGTATTACACATACTTGCGCCCCTCCCTTTTGTCTGAGGGGTGCAAGTATGTGTACCCCAAAATCCCCTGGACTATAAAGGAAATGTTAGGGAATAAACAGATACAATAGAGAAGAAGAATAATTTTCAATAAACCACTGGTAGTACAAAGGCGATGATAATGTTTGATAATTTATAAACATTATTATATAAAATGGTTATAACCCATTTAAGTAGCAGATAAATTTTGATAAAATAACAAGAACCACAGTAGCCACAACCATTAAGGAGAGGTGTTTTTATCTCAACTAATAACCTTAATTATTTAAGGATAGGGATAGGGATAAAAGAGGTGGCTACAAGACCTTCTGCATCTTGGCTTGAGTTGATCTATTATGCTCAGGTCTGTACAGTTTCTTCTGTCTTTACTCCTATCCGGTGTATGAACCTTCTTACATTGCAGTGCCCTTTGAAGGTGAAGAGCCTGACGGATTTCCTGGAAAATTGGGCATGCCCCCCCTTCATCAATACAAGTTTTTTTTAAACAAAATACAAAATTTTTGGGCCTTCCAGAAGTGCAATCGAAAGAGTTTTGTATACCACTGGAAGCTAATGGAATGTGAAACTTTTAAGGGAATTTGCAAAGTTCCTGAAGTTGTAGTTATTAAGTTACCAATCCAACATTTTCAAAAAATTCCAAAATTCAACATTTTTGTTTTTTCTGAATTTTTTGTGCAGAACTTTTCCATTAATATTGCAATGCAAAGAAGTTTTCTTACAGCAAATTTAACGTTCTTTAAATTAACCAGATTTTTCTATAGTCAGTAATTCTGAAATTTATAATCAATTGAGTGGACCTAAGTTGAAAAATAAAAAAAAGTCAAAACTTTAAATTACTTCTTTACCGATGAGATTTGGACAGGGTTTATAGGGAGTTTTTTGTTGCATATAGTGAGTAGAAACACCTCCTGAAATTTTCGACAATTATCGCCAGTCACCCTGTATATTTTATAATATATTATATTAATTTACAATGACTATTTAAAAATTTACAATACCAATGATAAATGTGACCTTTTTTTGGTATATTATACGAAATATTCTTTTAAGCTATTTTCTTATTTGACATATTGTTTGATACTTAAGTAATTTTTTCCTTTGTTTTCTTAGTTTGCCTATATATTGTTATATTTTATATATTGTATATTTCTATATTTATGCTTTTTTGTAAATTGGATTAATTCCGTAAAATATATTATTAATTTGTTTTAGTTTCTTTCAGTCAGTACTAAATTGTATTTGTAGCAATCCCGCCAGGATGTCGGGTTTTATTGACTTGACTTTATTCTGAAAAGTTCAAGGTTTATTTCAATAAATCTTTTTAATTATCTCATTTATAGTATATTGTTTTAAATTAATATATTTTTTCTAAAACAAACATTTATAAAACTTTTAGAAAATACATCAATAAAAATAGTGACTAAATAAATATTTTTTTAAAAATATTTTTGCTTTTCACGTTTTTATTTAAATATTGGATTTATTTAATATTTGTTATTATTTAATTTTTGTGTAGTTTTTGTCTAGAGATAACTTTGGGAACATTCTTATCAATATCTCGTTTCTTATCAAGTTAAACTGTCAAAGAAACGACTGCCTTGGTGCTGTAGTTCTTGTACTTTTTCTTTTGACTTTGAGTCGGGTCTTTAAAAGGAAAAGCCAAAGTTTATTAAAATGATATCTCAGTTTGTGATGTATGTATAACTTATCGAAAATGTTCTAAGTGTCTCAACAGATATACGAAGCTTTAAATGAACGTTTGAACAGGAAACGGATTAGGAGATAAGAAGGTTCAGTGTTTTTTTCCATTCGTTCCCAGTGCTTTTCTGTAATTGTGCCTTGATTTTTAGTCATTTCAGTTTAGAGATGTCGGGCGGTACGAATTTGGTGGTACCAGTGGTGCTGTGGGGCAAGAGTCCTCCGACGCACTGTGTCTCCTGTGTTTACCTTTCGAGAGATCAGTCCACCCTGATCACCGGTTGCTACGATGGCCAGATATGCCTGTGGCAAGTTGACCCAGAGACTCTCAAGGTAAAGGGTTAGAAAGGGAAACTAGCAAATTATTTTATTCCTAATTATAAAAGTTATGAACAAATCAAATGCATCAAATTTTATTACTGTGTAAAAAAGAGAAACAATGTGTGCATTTAAACTTTCACAGCTATTTATAGCTTATTACTCAACTTCAACTTCTCAAACTAATTTCATAGACAACGACAGGAATTTACTCAAATCCACAAGTTAAGCAACATAATTAGCATTAATTCCCAACCAAATTAATCACTAACTATCTATATTGATTATAACTGCTTCTTTTGTAAATATATTTGATGTTAATTGTTGTTCTTTTTGAGCTGATTTGTGTTTTATCACTTTTTGTTTCCCTTCTAATAGTGTAATGTTTTCCATATTAGCCAACATGCATTCAGAAAATTTATGGAATTGAACTCAGGTCTATCTTCCTCAATAGTGATACTGTGTGATTTTCTGTTTATAGATGACTCCACGGTGCCTTCTTGTTGGACACACTGCGCCGATCCTGTGTCTTTCCAAAGCAAGTGTCGTCTTGGATAACAATTTTGTCGTCAGTTCTTCTGAAAATGGGTACTTTTTTTATTTTTTATGTAAATTTTGACTGACATTAAAACATGGACGTTAAATTTTTGGCAGAGAAATGTGCACTTGGGACCTTGTTGATGGGAAATGTAGGGAATTGGCAAAACTACCTTATGTACACACTAGTTTGCAGGTAATTAATCAAGGTTCGATTATGATTGAACAGTCATTAATTTATGAACTTTCAAGGCTTATCACATGGAGGGCACTGAAGATGCAAGATTATTTTGCAATGGCTATTATGCAGATGTTCTTGTTATGGATCCCTTCAGTCTTGAAGTAATATTTACACTCTCATCAAAAGTGAGCCCAGATTGGATAAGTGCTTTACATGTACTGAGGCCAAATAAAAGAAAAGGTTAGTTAAAAAAACAACAGAATTTTTAAACTTAATACATATTTGGAAAAACATGTTTCTAATGATACATTTTTTAGATGATGTTGTGCTTGCCTTAACAACAACAGGTACTGTTAAAATGTGGACTCTCTCAGGAACTGAAAGCAAGACATCGGATCCAATTTTTGAGAATGAGAGTAAGCAAATCAGATGCCTTAATGCCTTGGCAATGAGTTGTTGTACTGAAAATCAACGGACTGTACTTATAGTAACCTCAAAATACTGGCAGGTGTGTTCAAAGAACAATAAACTTTTTTTTTATGATTAATTAAATACATCTTTAGATATATGATGCTGGCGATTTTTCTGTTCTTTGTTCGGTCATGGCTGCTCCGGGTGAAAGATGGCTCAGTGGCCACTTTCTTTGCCCAGATCGTGTACTTGTCTGGTCTGATGAAGGAAAAGGTTATATATACAAACTTCCGGCAAAGTAAGTGTTTAAGAATTTTTCACTTTAAGATCTTTTTTCTCTTATAAGTAAAAATAACTAATAAAAAAAGTGAACTTAACAAATTTTCACTACACTGCTTAATTCTACAAAATTTGCTTTGCAATTTTTTTAAATTTTGGAAACTAAGATATATCATTGTTAGGATATGAAAAATGATAAGAAAAAATTAACACAGTTACATACTCTTCTTTATTCAGTCTTTAATGCTATATGCTTGATAAAAACATTTACAAATTGAAAGAAAAAAAATTGTTTAAAACAGAAACATTCTCATAATATAAAAGAAAAAAAATCTTTTTTAAAACAAACCTTGAAAAAATAGCTTTTCTACTAATATCCTTTTATTGTTTAATTCGGACAAAAAAATAATCAACTCTTCAACTATTTATTCATTAATGCCCATGTATTTTGGGCCCTATCTGGCTCCCTTCTTCAAGCTTGCAGGTGTAGTAATATACTAATTACAAATACATAGGTACAAATAAAACATACAAATAACAAATAATAATAACATGGCATATATATCCTTTCATTTTATGTGTTTGACTGACATTGTTAGCACTTTGTCCATTCATTTCATTCTTCAATACACCCCACCATGTGAAAATCTAACTCATCTTCTTTTATTTGTATTGTTGTTACTTCCACGTAATAAATTAGCTTCTAAGACAAAATAAGCGAATTTCACTCTGAACAATTAAATTCATTTGATATATATGGAAATATAAATATGCACTCTAGTTTTATATAATCAAAACTTTTGATTATAAATTTTGACCAATATAAGTAAAATGTCCCATTAAAAAGTTTAAAATTACTTCTTGCTTTTGTTTTCAATATACTTGTTGAATGTTAAATGAAATAGTAGTTCTTGTGGGTTTTTTCTACACTAATAGAACAAAATTCCAGTATGTTTCTGTGTAAATTTCTTTTACATTTATCTCATTGTGTCTAATTTTAATTTTTTTCTAAAAAATTTTTTTACTGCACTAATAAGTAAGTTAGATTTCTGTTAATTACAACTAAACTCTTTTAACACAAAGCTTTAATATGCATGTAAAAAAAAGAGGCCCTGCATAAATGTTGCATGTACGCATAGTGAGCACAAACTTTTATTTATCTGTTAACTTCTATATGAACGGTAATTGAACGAAAATATAATAGATATGGTTAAGGATGGTAAAAAACAAAAAATAAATTTAAAAAAAAAAAACTTGCAATAAGTTACTGGTACAATACTTGACATTTATGCAATTATTACTTTACATGTACTTAAAGTTTTCAAATTTTTTAATTGTGAAATTTTTTTAAGGTCAGGTTTTAAAGTCAGAGTCAATAGACCTGTAGCTTGATCATCTCCGATCATATTGTTTCTTGCTGGTATTGGTTAATGTTTTTTTGGTTGACTCTCCACTGTTAGATAGTTAAAATGGCAGGGCTAATCAGTCAACAACTCCTTATTGTTTATTTTAAATTCACATGTTTTGGTCCTGAATCTTCAGGTGACAATCTATTGTTAGTTGTTCCATGTTGTAAGTTAAAATAAACCACAAGGAGGAAAATTTTTTGATTGATTAACCCTACCATTTCAACTAAATATAAGATGCATTGTGTCATCTTGCCATTTTAAGTGGTTCGACTGTGTTAGGGATGGATGGATCCCTAAACTGTGTATGGTTATTGCTTAAAATTTAGATTATAATCCTGAAACTCTTCTGATAAACCCAAGATCAGACCAGGTTCATAAACTATAATTTTTTTAATGCTATATTGTGTCAGGATAAACACAATCTTTTAACAAATGTCAAAACATTATATAATTTTTGTTAGAAATATACAATTCTAAAATGATGTGATGACTGTTTTAATTTTTGGTAGTTGTGGCAATTCAGTCAGAACTTCCATACATATGTACATACAGTATATATTCTATATGTATTGAGAAAATTAGAAGTTTTGACTGCATTCCCACAACAATCACAACTTTTAAAATTGCTCATTTAAACAGACCTCGCAAATCCTAGTTATTCCATTATATTTTGAATTACAGTATTAAAACAAAAAAATTGAAATTATAATATAGTTATATTACTATCATGTATTTTGTAAAAGGCTAGAAGTAATTTAAAACTAATACTTTTACTTTGGCTGTCAGTTAATTTTATCGTGCTTTTTCCTTAATATTATTTTAGGCAAGAGAGTATTTATTACTTAAACGCATAAATTTTATTTATTAAAATTGAACTTAGATAGATGCATATCAGAATTTTGATTTTTTACTCTTTTTAATTTGAAATTTGGTTATGGAGGTAAGTATGCACTTAGAGCATGGCTAATTTAACTGTTAGTGACTTATGCAGGTTTTCTTTGTTCACACAGCAAACTAAAAGGCAGAATCATCACATCCGGGTATGATGTTATAACTAATTTAACTAATATCTTTTCTTTTTCTCATTATTTCTCAAAGCTCCAATTTTTTTGCATTGAAATTTTATTTGCAAAGAAGTAACAGTTAATCTGCTGAAAAATTAAATATAAATGTTAAAAATTAAATATAACAACATACATACTGCAATGAAAAATTAGCACCGTCTTTTCACCTTAACTAAACAAAAAATGCTAGAAACATGACCTTTTTATTCATAATTATTTTCTATTCTAACTGCTTTGCACAAAAGCTTCTTTGTTTGTCGTGTGTGAATTGTCTATTTGTTTATTATTAACAAACAAATGTTTTCAATTACAGCAGTGTAGCTGACAATAAAGATTTTCATACCCAAGCTAGTAATGAGGATACACCATTCTTGTATTGCCTTCTTGAAGCACCTTCAAGAAAGGTAAATTACTTTTATTTGTTTTTTAATTTTTTAATTATATAATTATTTTTAAAGCCTGTTTGCTGCCCCCCTGCAATGAGGTTTGTTGAAAAGTCTTCTAAAGGGCCAATTTTAATAAGGGCAGATTCTGAAGGCTCTGTTATCGTTTGGGCAGTTCCACAAATAACCAATGCACAACTTGCCCAAATCAGGCAGCAGCCACCAAATAATCCGACAGGTTCAATGAATAGAAACTCATTATTTATTTATTTTGTTTATATTGTTTACTAAATTTGACAAATTCACAGCAATGGGACCTATTATTAGCACAAGTATCGCTGAATCTTGGGCAGCAATGAAACCCCCGCCTGTTGGAATCCTTGATCAATTGGTTTGTTTTTATCATAAGTATAGAATGTACACATTTACTGACATTGGATTTTTTGTTTAGGAAAGTGGTGCTAAATTAACTGCAAGTATTTATTTGCCTCAACAAGGGCGCTTGGTAGTAGGCAGAGACGATGGCACAATTGTAATTGTCCCTGCTACTCAGACTGTTATGTTACAGTTACTTCATGGCAATCATCAACAATATGATGGTAAGAATAATTAATAAAAAATAATTTTTTTTAAACATCATACCTCATACGCATTTCAAAATATATATATTTTTTTATAGTTGTAATTAAAAAACCTTTTTAATACATGATATGACAAATGTTTCTTTTTCTTCCAGATTGGCCGCCCCATCAGATGTTAGTTGGCCATTCTGGACGAGTTAATTCTCTCCTTTATCCATATCATGTTCATCCTCGCTACGACAAATCACATCTAGTCAGTGGTGGGGTTGATTTTGCAGTTTGTCTTTGGGACTTATACGCTAGTACTTTGCTGCATAGGTTTTGTGTCCATGCCGGAGAGATAACTCAGCTACTGGTTCCACCAAACACTTGCAGTGTATGTAATTTATAAGTTAACTTTATAATATGTAATTGTAAGACCTGGCCCTAATTATTTGACTTTCTGCAGCCCCGAGTTTTAGAGTGTATATGCTCTGTTGCTAGTGATCACTCAGTTACTTTGCTTAGCCTTACAAAGAGAAAATGCATTGTACTTGCCTCGAGACATTTATTTCCGGTTGTGAATATAAAGTGGAGGCCCTTGGATGACTTCATGATTGTGGGTTGTTCAGATGGAACTGTTTATGTGTGGCAAATGGAAACAGGCTAGTTGATAAAAAACAAGTTTGTAGCTTGCTCATTTTAATGACTGGACATGTTATAAATAGGCCATTTGGATCGAGTACTTCATGGAATTAATGCTGAAGAGGTGATGTATGCCTGTGATGAAAACACCTCGTCTGCAATTTCTGGAGAGTCAGGTTTGGCTAACCCAGCAGTACATTTTTTTAGAGGTCTTAGACACAGAAATATATCAGCCATTCGTCATGCTACTCAGGTAATAAACAATTCATTTCTCTTTTTATAATAAAATATGATGTTTATTTATTTATGTATTTTGAATTAAAGCGTGGGCTTCATCAGCTACAACAACTCAGTCACCATAATCATCACCATGGTGATGACCAACAGAAACCAAGAGCCTTCCCGCTCATGATACAAGGGTTAAGAACAAATCCTAAGGATCCTGAAAGTCATATATTATGCTTTGATATAGAAGCTCTTATAGGTGAAATATCATATGAAATTTTATTTAATTTGCAAGTTAATAAGAATTACATTGATATTGGTTTTTAGTTGAGCTTTTGAGCGAAGAATATAGTGCTATGTCTCCTGGTACTCTAGAAGCACATGGTCTTATCAATGCCTCAGAGTATCAAAAAGTTGCTGCTCTTACGACATCCGCTTCACCTGATGCTCAGAAGAAAATAGCTGGTTAGTAACAGTTTATTTCATTACGCATTTAAAATTAATATTGACTGTATATATTTTAATAACAACATTAAAAACATTAATTTCACTCATTTCTTCTTCAACATGCTAACATCAGACTTCTTTGGTAAAATGAAAAATAAAGCAGGAGACATGGAAAGGATGCTTAAGGAAAAAGATAAACACGGTAAATTTATTAGAACGTTTTCCATAATTTGCACTGCTGACCTACAATTTTGCCACACGCCATTAACAAACATGAACATGGTTCATTAGAATAGTTATAGGCATAAACTGAAATGGAACAATGTATTAATTGAAAAAGAATCATTAAACTATTGTAACACAAGAACTTGTGCTTTCAAGTTCCTACATGTTCAGTTTTGACTTTAGATTACATTTTAAAGTATTATTTTTCACTCTGTAGATGATAACTGGTAGGAAATAAATAGTTCATGCTTATTGTACTGTGTGTGAAAAAAAAAGCATTGTACTGGATGACACATGTGAATATATATTACATAAAATTTTTGTCGCTTTATAAATGTTTTTAATTTTTTTTTAGATCTACAATTTTTTATTCAATCATATATGGTTGTTTAATAATACATACATATGTTTGATTATAGGAATCATTGCCAAAATGAAAGAGGGTGCAGAAAACATGCAAACCAAATTACACGCAAAGGCTGAAATTGTCGGATTCAAACCTATTTCAAGTGACTCTAAAGGTACATTTTTATATATTTTATTTATTATTACATTAAATATGATATTACATCCTTTTTTATTTTTGATTGATAATTTGATTTATTAAATTAAACTTTATATTAAAGTTTACTTGACTGCATACAAGTGAGAAGTTTTTAAATAGCTTTGTAAGAGCAAAATAAATAGTTGATTAATGCATTGGCTATGGCAAACATGGATTCATGTATTTTAGTCAAGCCTCAGGTCTTTTCTACATTTACAAAAGCGTTTGAGGTGGTGATAGTTGTTTTGTCAGAATATTGCTGTCTTAATATCACTTCGCATGGATTGTACACTATCGTTTACCATTTGACATTTGTAAATTGGTTAAGCTGTTCAAAAGTTACAGCATTTTTGGTAACAAAAGAACCACATGTATTGCGGGTCATGTTATTTAATTAAAGCTCCCATAATGAATGCATTAAAAAGAGCAGAAATATAATCTACTTTTAATCACAATGGTAGGTACAACATGACTGTTGATTTCTATAGTAGGTAATTTTAACTTATATAGGGTTATTAGGATGGAGGGTAAGAAAAAATTTAAAGGGTAAATATTAAAATAATCTGTTTAAGTACAGTTATGCTACATTGCATATTAGATTATGAAACTATAAACACAATAATTCAAGTGCTGCCTAGTGAAAATCTAATTAAATTTGCAATTAAACTTGTCAAAACTGCATTTTTATGAATAATTTGTGAACAGACTACATAACAATTATTATAGTACTATTAATGTTTGATTATTTGTAAAGTTAACATTCCTAACTTTTACATTGATATGGTGGGGGTTGTACTGGCCAATATTGTTAGGGTAACTGTTTCTTGGGATTGGAATTTTTGTTGATAATTTGAATATAAAATGTTAATTCACCCTAGAGCTAAACTGAGTGTCACAAATTTGGGAAAATGAGATAAATTGATATTCCAGAAAGTTTTTAAACCTGATAGATTGTAGAACTGATAAGTCTAGAAGGAAATCATTTCCTTTTAAACACAATGTGCCTGTTATGTCAACATTTCGATAATTCTAATCATTTGTTTGTAAACTCAAATAACTCATAAACCTATTTACTAGGACACCTACATTGAATTACATTGATATGTGACCACAATAAAAAAAAGTTGCTAAAAATTGAATTTGTAAAAGGTGTAAACTGTAAAATTGTAATACTGAAAAGTTGTGTTTTTGCACATATCCAGTTTTTCCCCTAGAGTGCAGATTTATAGTTATACATAATAGTAATAATTTTATAGTTGCTAGTAGTCTAGGTCCATTCCCATGACATGTGGACATGATGCCCTCTATGATGAATTTTGCTGATAAGGTGCCTTGAAGTGTTGTTTTTATTGTTTTTCATCTTTCATTGAACTATAGGGGTTGCTAGGTAGCAAATCTTTTTGTTTAGGTTAGGTTTTGAGGGATTTGTGAATAAAGATTTAAATTTACATGTAATATTTTATTATTTACATAGTGCTATCATAGTTATTTTAGTCCACCCTGTATGAAACTGCATGTCCGGGATTGTTTACAACAGTAGTTTGTACTGCAGAATAGTGAGCTGGAACGGCAGCATAATTAAGGGGAGTTGCGGCTACGTTGTAAGGAGTGGCAAGACTGAAGGGGGTTGCAAGGCTGTAGGGGGTGGCAACAGAATATCCAAGGGCTCTTTTACTCCTGAGGTGAGCTGCAAGATGGGCTGACTTGGCCAAAGCGACTGCAGGTGTATCGACGGGGAGGTCATTTGCAACTACTCTGTATCCTAGAGCATCAGCAACATAGTCAGTCCTGTGTACTTGACCATCATGAGGGTTGACATAGCTGTAGGAGCCAACTTTGTTTCCATGGGCGTCTTGGTGGGCACTGTGAGTCTGGAGGGGCTCAGCGTGACCGTAGGAAGCCTGTCCAAGTTCAGTCTGGGCATGCCATTGAGTCTTGGTAACAGCGGGAGTAGCTACAGCTGGTACAGCGGCTACAACAGGGGCAGTGGCAACAGCTGGTACAGCGGCTACAGCTGGGACAGCGACAGATTTGGCTACCAGTGCTGGTGCGGCTGCAACAACCGGGGTTACTACAGACTTGGCAAGAGGTGCAGTTAAAGCAGGGGTTGAAAGATATTGGCTGTAAGGCAAGAGACCCGGGGCACTGTAAAAGGACGGATTAAAATGTCCAAGACCAAGAACTGAAGTGTAGGAGTCATAGGCGAATCCTGGATGGGCGGCACAACAAGCCACCAGGGCACAGATAACTGCCTGAAAATTAACAAATATGGTTTAATATCAGCTTAAAAACAACCACATTTTCCCCAATATTCATTTTTAGTAATTTTATTAAACTTTTTTTTCATAGAATAGGCCTTTTGTTTAACTAACTGCTGAAAATAATTGAATAATAATAAAGTAATAAAATTTTAATAAAAAAAATAAATATTGAGTACTAGACTACCGTAAAACGACAACCAACCAAAAATTTAAGTTTTTATTTAATCACAAATTAAAAAAAAAAAAATTGTTGAATGGAGTGGGTTTCTAAAGTGAAAAGTGCTATGATTATTTCAATCAACCCGAGGGAAGAACCATTTAAGAAAATGTAATCAAAGTGAAACTAATTCATAATTCAGTTTATCTCCAACTCACCAAGGTCTTCATGTTCACCAGGCTAAGAAAAGTGGAGTCTGAAATTTTAGGATACTAGCGTCTTGTTTTATACTCATGATGCCAAGGACGAAGTTTAAACTTCCTTGTAATTTTTTGAACTCACAAAGGTCGGTGGCCTTTTCTTTCAACAGTTATGTTTTTAACGTCTAAGTCTAATATAGATATACCATATACCCTTGGTACTACCTACATATTTATTTGTCAACATTATAAATTATTACTACACTTCATAAGTAGTACACGGACATAAATTTCATTTAATTACAAATGCTGTGCTAAATGCTTGATTCGTCGTGTACAAAGCTATAAAGCAGAAGAACTAGATATTGGGTTGTCCGGAAAATAATGCAGGATTTTGGTATTAAACAAAAAAAAGAAACTAGTTACTTTAAAGCAATGTTCTTTAATCAAAATAATTTCCNAATGAGTAATCCTGTAAACGTAAACAGAATATTTTATATAGATTTTTTTTAATGAAAACTTAAAATCCTGCATTATTTTCCGGACAACCCAATAAATCCACCAAATATAAAACACAGGATAACAAAAAGCGTCTAGTTCAGGGCTTATTTCAACCCACGATTCATAGACGGTAGACGTTTCTGGTATTAAGAACAAACATCGTTATGAACAGAAAATGTGCTCCTCTTCTTGGATTTCGTGGCCTTTAATAATTTTTTTTACACAAATAATACCAACAATTTAAGATATATCGATCTTGTTTTTCCGATTTTGAAATAATAATACTTAGACTAAAGCTTTTGCAACTGGAATAAAATCTTACATACGGTCTACATATGCTCTTTTGTAGAGAATAGTAAAAGAATTGTTGGTCCAAAACATTCTCCAGGCTCAATTGCTTTTCCAAAGATACAAAACTTATTGACTGAATATTATTTAAGAACAAAACGACCAAGGTTGCAAGTTATGAAACTATATTCTTTCTTTTTAACCATTATATTGATTGTAGGTTGTTTCTATTTAAACCACATTAATCTTTTCATTTTTATTTCTTTTGACTTTTCGACAGCGTTCGCGCCATATTCATTTTCAGAGAAATAAAAAGGAAAATGAAACGTCGCAAGAAATCAAAAATCAAAATATGACTTAATTAAAAATAACTTACACCATAAAGACTTAATTATAAAAGCTTCAAAAAGATATACATTACAACTCTTATAATCGACACTTGGTATAAACATTTTATTTGAAAACCAGTTCTTTTTGCTCATATTATGTATTATTTTTGTAAGTCGCGTGGTCGCACTGGTCCGTTGGTTGAGCCTACCGCATAACTAGACCCGGATTTGTATGCAATCGCTAATTTTTTTGCTAACACTTAAGACCGTGATAATTAGATATTTATCCGAATCATACCTCCTTGCACGGTGGTTCAAATTTGATTCTGGATATTTTTGCTTATTTGCTTTTGAAACAGTTTTGATTGTTTATAAAAGTAAAAATAAACTAGACAACTAAGGACTTAACTAAGGGAGGAAAAAGGCAAGAGCCTAAAATTTTATTCTGATTTCAGTTAATTTTCCAGGAAAAAAGACGAAAGCAAACCGGCACAAAAGAATTCACACTAAATCGGCATCTTCCATTATTTTGAAAGGAAATAGGGAACTCATTGTCACTTGAAACATAAAAATATAGCGCCCATTAATATTTCCAACCTAGTAAACATTTAAAAAATAGTAAATACCAAAAGAGAGAACTTAACGTTCTTCTGAAATAGCAGGCTGGATTTTTCCTTTTAACCATTTTAATTTAACGAACAAATTTAATCCAAGCCGATCAGGATTTATATATATTACAACAGAAATATAAAAAAATACTGGATTGAGTGAATTGAGGTAAATTAATGATATCTTAAATGGAAACAATTAGGTTGTTATGTAGGGAATCTACTATCCAATTAATTTTAAATTACTACGAGTATGCTCGTTTCGCCTATGTAGACGTTGGAAAGTTTTTTTGGGGAACAAATATTTTTTGAGCAGTAAATGCGTATTTTAATATTTTTAGACCAAATGATATAGCATATTTAAGGTTTTTTTTAGTACATATTATAATGGCATGACATATTGGATGGTTTTTTTACCGATGTTGTTTCAACTATGAGATTTATGAATCCTCGGAGTGTCGGTGTTTTAAGTATGTCGGGTTCGAACACGGGACCTTTATCTTACCGTGATGAGCGCTACATCATTGTCTTGATCATCAGCCGTTCGGCCACCGATGCCCCTTAGGGCTGTAATCATAACAAACAATCCTTGACATTGGATTTTTTTTTTAAATAAATATAAATACAACCTCCTATTAAAGCAGAATGACAACAATAAATATTTTGTAATTACCCTATCAAACATTACAAATAAGACAGTTGTAAAATTAATGTTTAATTATTAATTGTTATTATTATAAGTTCTCCGAATTTTTAGCTTCAGGGAAAATTTCTCAGCTGAAAATAATTTCGCACACCTTTCCACTTGCTCAATAAACTATGTGAATACATCATTTTACAGCATTTTTTATGTAGATTGCAATAAAAATATAATAAAAACCATTAATGTTTATCAATAATCAAAAAATTCTAAAAACAAAATATTTTGAAGTAAAACAGGTAATATTTTTTTCGTGAAATTAATATGAAATTTCGTTTTAACACTCTACAAATCCTTAAATATAAATTTTTGTTTGAATTTAAATGTATCGATTTTTTGACCCCTAAAATTTTAGAAGTCGTTATTAGAATATTTGATTGAAACGGCTATAAATGATTTTAACGTAGAACAGACCATTTGAAAGAAGAGGAACGTAGCTTTTTAACGACGTGTAAACTATAAAAATATATAAAAGATTTCTATAAGAAAATACACAAAATAGCAAAATTATTTGTCAGAAATTAATCTCGTTAAAAAAATGAAAATAATAGTCCGTTTTTAATGTTTAATACAGTTATAAAATTCACTTGACAATTTCATTAAAATGAATTATCACCATGAAAATTGGTCCAGTAGCTATTGTGAAAATGATATTAGAACTTTCACTGGGAATGTTAGTCACGTCTTCGAAATAGTCAAAAAATTAATTTACGCCACTTTACGCGAAAGTCGGTATCCAAGGGTTTTATAACGCTAGAACTCCGGCAATGAGATAAAATCCAAGTTTTTGACCATTTTCTGGCCTACTTTGCTTACAGAATGTTTGTTAAAATATGCAAAAAACAGCGTTTTGTTTATTTATCTTTTTTAATCAAACCAAATTAGAATATTCTGCTTCATAGAACATTTTTGTTTTTATGTTAACCACCAATGAAATTATTACACCAGAAATCTCTACCGATTTATGCTTATTTAATTAAATTTTCATTATACGTATAATTTTTACTAATATTTTAATTTTTACAATAAAGGCTAGTGGACCGATTTTCATGGGTGATACTTCGTTTCAAAGATATAGTCAAGTGCATATTTTAACTCTATCAGACATTAAAATCGGGCTATTTATTTTTATTAAAAAAAGACAAATAATTTTGTTATTTTTGTATTTTCTTATGGAACATTATTTATGTATATTGTTATGGCATATACGTCGTTAAAAAGATACGTTCTTCTTTCAAATGGTGTTTGACGTTAAAATTCTTTTAGCCGTTTTAATCAGATATTCTGATAAAGACTTCTTAAAAATCGGAAACATTTTAGGGGTAAAAAAGATAAATTTCAATTCAAAGAAAAATTTATGTTTAGGGGTCTCTAGAGGTGCGAAAACGAAATTTCATATTAATTTCACGAAAAAAATTATGACCTAGTTTGCTTAAAAAATATTTGGTTTTTAGAATTTTTTAAATCAATACTATACTATATTTTTATTGCCATCTACATATAATAAAATGCTGTAAAACGATATATTCCCTTAGTTAATTTGAGCAAGTAGAAAGTCGAAATTAAAATATTGAAAAACAGAAAATTTCAATATTCAATTCTTTTTTGCGTAATCAAAAGGAGTGGCGTATACGTGTCCGATATTTTGAAGTGTAGGACACCAAAAAAGTTATTGACGTTATCCATATCCGTGACCCATCAAGTATCACCTGGTCTTGGACTGGTCGTCCCCTTGTGAGACAAAAGTTCCGGAACACGTACATATTATTTATGTTGCCCAACATTGAATCAATGTTGTACGTTTTCGATGGAGAACTTGAGACATGGGATTTTTTGTATCGTGACTCTCCCGGAACACACCGTTTCTTGTCCCGAGATACATTTCCGCAACAAATGTAGCTAGACTCTAGTTCTGTGATTTTATTTTGCTTCTTCACATAGTAGTGACACATGATGTAGTTAAATATTTATTGTGGTGAATTGGACGAAGCATATGGCTATATTAAGCCAAGGGACTTAAATAATTTAAACTTATACAAACGATTTTAGTAATTTATTAAAAATAGCTGTTAATCGTTAAGGATCATTGTCTCATGTTATTCGATAATCGAGCCGGTGTTCTGACCTTGATTCAAAGGCGTGGCTGTGGCGTTTCAAGGAGAACTGGAGATCTATAAGGATATATCCTGTTTTGTTTGGCCTCTTTTTCTTCTAGATTCTTTGTTCTTTTTGAAGTAGTTGAGAGTAATCTCATATCAGAAAATTTTGTTCATATCCAGGCTAGTACGAGCAATTTTTGAAGCGTTTAATTCCGTCAATTGCACGCCATCCTCTGTAGTAGAAGAGGTGTGGGCGATCGTTTTCAGGCACACAAGTCTCCCGGTCGGGTGTGACGGCCTTGCACTTGACTCGCCCTTTATTTCCTATCAACGCCACCTACCTATTTTTTACGTGAAATCTCGTTGGATTAATTTAAAATTATTTACGATATTTTAAAACATCTTAATAAATTGTAAAATTGCGTACGAAAAAGAACCAATCCATCATGCGATTAACGAAGTTATTCTGTGACGGTCCAAGAAGATATTCTGTGTATACTCCGTATATTCATTTTTGGTTCAAGAAAAACGACCAAATCTCAAAACCAAAATATGTCTAATAATTAGTGCACATTAATTGGTGTATCCCGCTTCCTGAAAATTACTGAACGGTCTAACAACTTTGATGTTATGTATGATTGGGCTAGACTGTAAGAAGGTTTATCTATGAAGTACATGATGATATGGAATGCTTCCAAATAAATAGTCCTTCTTTCTTTTATTTGTCTTTCTGCCTCTTTTTTCATCTTATTTAAATAAAAGTAAATGTGTATTCAGTTAGTTATTAATATTTATTATAACTTTTTACCACACCATTTCATTTCTCTTTTGATAATTTAATTAGCTTCTGTAGATAAATATAAGATCGGAAAGATTTATAAGAATAAATTTTGTTTATTTTTTGTTATTTTAACTATTATGTATATAATATTTTCAATTTGAATTTGCTCGCACGCAGATCATTTCTTTTCAGGTTTTTTACAAAATAGTTTAAAATATTTTTTTAGCAAGAAATAAGTTGACAGGCTCTTTGGCCTTCCAAATGTCTCTGATTTTAGTAGAAATTAACCAGTATAGTTTCCATTTACTATTCCATTAGTAATAATGAAACATTAAGATGCCCAACCTTTGTCTAAATTTTTTTAAAGACTTATTGTTAGTTTGCAGCGGTTTGGAAATCTGGATTGTAACTAAAATTTACATAACAAGACTCTAAAAGACTAAGTATTCTTACATGGTCTGCTGGAAGTTTTGGGAACAGAAAAAAACTGACTTTCAATTTTTATTGACTGACATATTTTTTGGAAGGAAAAGAATAGTAATAAGTGGTTATAGTGAGGCATCAATGGCTGAAGCAGTTAAGTTGTTAACAAAATGACTCACCACTGTAAGTCCCAGGTTTGAATCCATCTGCATTTGAACCTGACAAACTTGCTAGCTTTTTTCCCCATAAACATTGGCCCCCTGCGGGTTTATATAACCTTATATAAGGCCATAACCAATTATAATATGTACATTTTTCAGGTGATGGTAATGAAGTTAGTCGTGTGAAGGTATGTGAGGCAAATCTTATGATGGAACTTTGCCAGCTCCTGCTTTCTCTTCTGCACGCTTGGGGGCTGGATCCCCATCTTGATCTTCTATGTGAGAGTAAGCTTGGTCTCTTGAGGCCGCTTGTCCCCGTCTCATTTGGAGTAATTTCCAAAGCAGGTTAGCAGAAAAAAAAAATCAATATTTTGATATTTGTACAAATTGAGATTTATTTAAGGTTATATGAGTCTTTTACTTCCGACATGGCAACTCTGCCAGAAATCTCCACCATCTCTTGAAAGTAACCCTTCAGGGGGATCGAGCCTATCAGCTCAGATACCTCCAGAGCTGGTAGAATTGGAAAATGCCACAAGACAATTTACTTCAACTACACATTGGGAATTGAGCACAAGTGTAACAACAAATCATTTGTTGGCGATAGTTGCACTTGCGAATACACTCATGTCTATGAACAATGCTTCATTTGTCGCAGAACAGGAAAGAAATAGAAAATTAATGAGGTATTTTTTACATTCATTTATTATTATCAATTGCAATCTTGTAATATTAATTGGTTTTTGAAGACAAAATACCATTCGTGCATGGGGCCCAGATGAAATTGCTAACGAAGAAACAGTTTCATCTCAAATCAAGCAGGGCTGGTGCCTCCTCGCAACTCTCCACTGTGTACTTTTACCAGATAAAGTGGCACAAAGAGGTTCTAAAGCATTCAAAAGGCCTCGAGTGGAGATGATGGCATCAAGATGGCAACATCACTGTTTAGAAGTATGCAATGGCTCATTCAGCATTCGTGCATATATTATTTTACAAACTTCATTTAGGTAAGAGAAGCAGCCCAAGCTCTTCTTCTTGCAGAATTGACTAGACTTGGCGCTAAGGGAAGAAAAGCTTTAGTTGATCATTGGGCCCAGTACCTACCAATGTACAACTCAAATGAAACACAAAACACAAACGCACCACCTCCTCTAGCATCCACTCCAAATCAAATCCAAGTATTTATATAATATATTTACAGGTTAAATTACTTACTGGATGCATATTTTGATTCTGACATTTTTAGCCCCAACCTACACAACAACCAGTTGAAAGCAACCATCCACAATTACATGAAGAGGATGAATTTGAAGATGAAGAAATGGCTGAGGGTATTTTTTTTTAATTGATTCCCAACCCATTAATTCTTAAATGTTTATCATTTTTATAGAACTGTACTTAAGAAAACCATCATCAGCTGCAGAACTTAAAAGAAAACAGACCACTGCAGTAGTGTTGTTAGGGGTTATTGGATCTGAGTTTGGGCAAGATGTTGGTGAAAAGAAAAAAGAAGGCGATCAAAGGAGAAAAAGCTCTATAATTGAAGGATTCGGCATTGGAAATAATAATCTCGCTAGATTAACAAGTTTAGCTTTAACATACCTTTTACTCACACCACCCTCTAATCGCCTTCCAGCACATACCCCATTAAGAAGAGCAGCAATAGATTTAATAGGTAGGGGCTTCACAGTTTGGGAGCCATATATCGATGTAAGCAAAGTTCTACTAGGACTCCTTGAGCTTTGCTGTGATGCTGATAAGCTCATTCCTAGGTACGTCAAACTAGTAATTCTATTAAGAATATAGTTGTTCATTGTTGGATTGCCGTAGCATGACGTATGGACTTCCTTTAACACCTGCTGCTGATTCAGCTAGGACTGCTAGACACGCTCTTACTCTGATTGCAACAGTTAGGCCTGCTGCCTTCATTACAACCATGGCTAGAGAGGTAAGCCTTGTAATAAATTAAATACTTGCAGTAAAAAGTAACATTTTGTTTGTAGGTTGCAAGATACAATACACTCCAACAGAATGCACAGACATTAAATGTCAATTTGTCAAATGCAGTGCTGCACAGAGCCAAACCTGAAATTCTGCGTTGTGTTGAACTACTGATTGAGAAAATGCATGCTGAAATGGCCGATCTTCTTGTTGAGGTACGGTACACAAAACATAAAATGTATTTTTAAAAAAAGGAACTTTTGTGTTACAATTTTATTAGAGATAAAATATATTAGAGATAACCACTATAATTTTATTATTTAGGTTGTGGATGTTATATTGCATTGTGTTGAATCTGGCCATCTAAAAGTAAAATGCTTGAGTGAGGTATTCCCTGCAATCTGCCGTTTTAACCAAGTGAGTCACTGCCCCTCTACAAGAAGAATTGCAGTTGGTGCCAAGTTTGGCACAATCGCTTTATATGAACTTAGATCGTCTAAATGCCAGGTACTTATGTTTATGATAATGTAGCGCCTCAAATGTAATGTAATGGCAATGTAATCTAAAATGAACACAATTTTTAGCAGTAACTAATTAAAAGTACCCTATTTCATGATGAAAATGTTTTGAGTATAAATATGTCAATGTTAATTAGTATAAAAAATTAATCTTAATGCTGTTTTATTTAATAAGCACATTAGTTACTGGAATTACTCTTATTATTACATTATTACATATATGTAATAAGGTAACATACATTTACTTATTATTAATTTTTATTATTGATTAAAAATGTTTTGTTGCAATTTATGAGTATAATTTAAAATGTGTTTAAATAATTATCAATTACAATAGTATAAGTTGACCTCACATGTTAATTTTTTTTTCATGTTACTTTAAGACCATCAAAGCCCACGATTCTGCGATAACAGCCAATGCTTTCTCTCCAGACGGTAAATATTTAGTGTCATATAGCTGTGGTGAAAACAAGCTTTCATTTTGGCAGGTATGTTGTATAAATGGCACAACTAATGTTTGACTATTATTAAATAAAATATTTAATGAATTTCAGACTTCAACAGGCATGTTTGGTCTAGGAAACAGTCAAACAAAGCGAATTAAAACATACAGCACTTCTCCAGTGGCTGAAATATCGAGGTTAAATCCCATGAGGGCTGCCAAATTGGTCTGGATCAGCAATAGAACAGTGATACTGATGTTGGCTGATGGGTCAGAAACAAGATTCAATGTTTAAATGTGTGCCACTGGTTTTTTTTTGTCTTTGTAAATTTTTAGTCAAATTTTAGAAAAAATGCTAATCTGATGCCAATTGCTATTTTTTAATTTTAGTTTACAAAATATGTATTACTAATATTCAAAAAAGGCAAGATATTTTAACACATATTCTGACAATAACCTATTTTTGTTACACATGTTTTAACACAAGATGTAATAAGAATTTCAAAATGTATTATACAGAAATCCATACAAATTTAAATATTATCTACCCGTCCCGATCATTTATGTATTATATTATAAGCTTTACAAAATTAACATTTAACATGTAAGTTATAACACACAAAACTTAAGTAAATTGTTACGCATTACTTCATTATATTTTAAAATACTGCATTATAAGTATTGGGTTGTCCGGAAAATAATGCAGGATTTTGGTATTAAACAAAAAAAAAGAAACTAGTTACTTTAAAGCAATGTTCTTTAATCAAAATAATTTCNAATGAGTAATCCTGTAAACGTAAACAGAATATTTTATATAGATTTTTTTTAATGAAAACTTAAAATCCTGCATTATTTTCCGGACAACCCAATAATTTACATTCCATGCAATATCTGTTCTTTTATTTGAAATATAAGTTAAAATTCTTTGATAGTTACCTAAAAAAGTAAAAGCAATTTTATATCGAGATTATTCGAATAATACATACTGTAATATTTAGTACATTATTTTCAATAATATTGTTAATGTTAAAAATATTTATTAAGAAATTATAAAAGTATTGTTAGAAATGATGAATGATGGAGTGAGTGCGGTGTTCAATCCTTTTTTTTTTTTTTTTTTTTTTTTTAAAGATAGTTCCTACGCACAGTAAGTTACAAGGAACTGTGTTTTTAAAAAAAGTAAGTATTGTTGCTGTATTGCTTTAGAATGTTGAAATCGGCAGAACATTCCAAAGAAAAATTGTTTTATGTTGGAGTAAATGTGATATCAATAAAGATATGCTATCCAACATTAAAATTTTGTTTTATCCAAAAGTTAACCATACAAATAGGTTTTTTATACTTCTTTTCCTAATAATTTTTGGAAAAAATAAAGATCTTTAAACACTGAAGAAAAATCACAGGTGTGATTAATAACTGTTGGGTTGCCTGGAAAAAAATGCAGGTTTATGGTTATAATATATAAAATAAAAACAATTAAATTAACACAATTTTAAACATTTTTTATTAATTAAAATACCCTCCATCACTCTCAATATACTTCAATTCAATGAGTGTCATCTATTCTGTACCATGTCAAACGGGAGTGAAGAGTTGGCGATATGAGACTCAAGTCAATATAAGAGTTTTCCAGATCTCATACTAAGATGAGTAGGGACAGAGCCATTAAAATTATTTAGGTTGCATAAGTTCATAAAATTTTCAATCACTCTACCATGTTCATCCAAGTTGCTTCCACCCCATAGTGGATTATGTCCATTTAGGTCACCTAATATTAGAACTGGTTGAGGGAGGCGATTATATCAATTAGTTCATTTATTTCGATTTTTTGACCAGGCGAAATGTATAGGGAGCACACTGTACATTGGAATGGGGTTAATATTCTAGCAGCTATAATTTGTAAATCAGAACCTGTGTCTATTTAAAAATATGGAATTTCATTTTTAATCAGTATATTCACACCACTGCATGCAATTAGCTCGCCCATATGGTCTTTTCTGAGTACATTATATTGTCTGAAATAGAATTTTTGATTGGGTTTAAGATTTGTTTCTTGTAGGCATGATATAGAAAATTTAAATTTTTTAACAAATATTCAATATCATTTTTTCTATGTATAGCTCCATTTACGTTCCAGTGCAGTATTGCATTTGCCATAGTCATTGCCAGATCAATGACAATGTTGCTTAGTTTATCAACTTGTTCCACTAAAAGGTTTGAACTCAAAGCATTTAGGGTTGAGAAGTCTGAAGTCCTTGTCGAGAAGGGGAGGAAGAAGTATTGGATGTGGTCTGATCGGTGGAAGAAAGAACCTCAGAATTAAATTCAGAGGGGATTTTGGCAATTGGCATATTAACGACTTGTGAGTAAGAACGTGTGCCCGTAGTTTTATGAGTTTGTCTACGAAGAAATGATTCGGCAATTTTTGTAAGATGTATTTTCACTTATCCAAATTTTTTCTATGTATTTCTCTCTGATATAAACAGGGCATGACCTATGTTAGGGTGACAGCTACTACAGTTTATGCATATAGAAGTATTTGAGCGATCTTTTGCATCTTCTCCGCAGTTCCCACAATTTTTAGTTTGACAAAATTTACTGACGTTTCTGTATCTGAAGCATGAAAAACACATTAGGTCAAGAGGCCTAACTTACGCAGAAAGAGAGTCGAAAGCAACTTTGTCTGGAAGTTCTGGTCTTTCAAAAGTCAATATAAGGATAGGAGTTAGGACCTTAATTTTATTTTGTTTCCTAAACATACGTTGTACTTTTAACGTTGTTTGGCTAGTTCTGTCTCAATTTTGTCTTCATCACAATTCAGTAAATCAGGGGCTGTTATGACTCCCTTCGAGTAATTAAGCGTTTTATGAACATTGAATTTAATTGGAATGTTTTCAAGGGTTTTCATACCATTCAGATTTAGAAAATCCTTTTCACAAGAGACATTCAATAAAACCGTACCATTTTTCAAAATTTTACATTCACCTGGGGGCAAATACTTTTTATAAATTTGCAAATTTTAAAAGGGCTGAAGTTATTAAATGTCTTTTTGGAACATAATTCCATAAATGAAATAAAATATCGGACCGATTGTGATAGTGAAAAGTTAAACTAAGCATTCTGGCTCAGTATCGATACTTTTAATACATTTTTTTATTATACATATTTATTGGATTAATTTAATAGTCAAACGATCATGCTATTTGTATATTTAAAAAAAGGACGACTTGCTAATTGTTTATGTATTAAAAGGTTCGACGTTAGTAAAAACAAACTGCCAAGCCTTTAAGCATGGTGTATTTTTTTAATAATATTTAAACGGTTTTATAATCGGTTTTTGTTACTTATTATTATTTATGTTTAAATCACTAGTAATTTATTGGATATGATCTGTTAGTTTTCCTCCGATCTTTAATAGTCAATCGCAAATATCGATGTATCGAATCTAAGGACAGGTCTTTAGTGGCTCTACAGGTTTCTGTACCGTTTAACTGTAAAGTTCAATTCAAATTCAGCCTCACAGACTGGGGAAAAAAGTGCTTCTTAATAAATAAAACGCCGATCTGTTAACATATAAGGTAAGAAAGTCGTATTCGTTTTCCAAAACAGGCTGAGTACACAATCAGTTTTTGCCGCCGTTCTCTTGAGCCAAAACAAAAATCGTCTTGGTCAATAAGTATCATCTCGTTTTTGTTATCCATCATCACGACATTCGACATTTATAATTACAATATATACAATCGCTAAATTTACAGGGTAGGAATATTTGTCGAATAATTCACCTGGATTCGCGTCTCGCCCTGACCACGTTGACTTTATTCTTTTCTTTATTGTAAAAACAGTGTAAAACCTTGGGCTTCATCTCATAGAGGTTCCAGGCACGAAGAAGTTGTCCTTGCTGTGCTCAGAATTGGTCATTGTAGACTTACTCATTCTTATCTCATGGCAAAAAAAGAGACTCCGCTTTGTAATGTTTGCACAGAAAGAATAAAAGTTAAACACATTTTGACAAATTGCAAAAAATATGTAGAAGAAAGACATCGGTTGGAAATTCCAACCAACATTTCTCGCTTGGTGATGACTCCGACCAAATAGACAAACTAGTAACTTTCCTTAAAAAAACTAAACTAATTTAGGAAATACGAAGATAAAATGATATAATAATTTAATACAAAAGAACATTCATTTTATGCAATAATATGTAATCTACTCAATGTTGGGAGGTGTCTTGGGGTGCGGTTTGGGTGCCCATCTGGTGGTGGTTAGGGATGGTTGTGAAGGGGTGTCCGGGGCGTGTGATGCTGCTGGGGCCCAGGTTTCCGCTCGGGGGGGTTCCTGAGCTGTGGCCCACTCACCACCCAGTTTGAAAGTTTTTTAAGGCGGAAAATGACCCAAAGTGGTTGATCGCCTTTTATAATTTATAAGTTAAAAAAAAAGTACAGACATGTGTGGTGAGTAGTGACCTTTAGTTGATAATTATTAATTAGAATCGTGAAATACGGTCTGGTGTGATGTAGGTTTCATAAAAACATTTTCTTTATCGTGCCAATGTTTCGATCTTTATTGAGATCATCTTCAGGGCCTGGGATTTACAAACATTGTTTAAATTTAACAAATACATGTAGGTTGTGGAAAAAAGTGAATTTATACAATGCAAAATATATTTATATTATTTTTTTTTTAATCAATTTTTTATATCAGAGTACCAGTGAGATATATCTGTTTTATGTTTATATATGTTGGATTTTGAAAGGGTGGGAAGGAAGTCGGTATAGAAAAGACATTTTTATGTAAGGCAAAGTCCTACGCTACCCACCACTTTGAACACAAACACAATTTCGACTTCCTTCGATTCGAGAAAATGCTTCGAAGCCTGAAATTCGAGGTGTTTCCTATCATCCATGGTTCTCTTGGTACATACCCCCTGCAGATAACAAGAGTCTACAGTAGTTAGTAAAATATTAGCTATTGACAGGGAAATGCTGCAATCCATTTGGGAAGTAGATTGGAAGATTGTACAATGAGAAAAATCATTTTATGAAATGGAATATGGACTTAATAAGTGACCCTCAACAATTCACTGCACCATCTCCCAGTATAAGGAGTTAGGTGATGATGAAAACAGACCTGTTTAGGCCACCCAGAAAAAAAGAACGCCATTTTCAAAGTGCGTTGTGTTCTGTGTTCCCAAAATTTTATGTATCAGGATTACAATATTTCAATTATACCCCAACCAATATGAAAAACTGTTAACTAACTAAACTAGAAGCACTAAGCAAGAAGAACAGGGAGAAGCGCCAACAGTTTGCTAAAGAATGTTTAGCCTGACACATTTTGGTAGACTGTGATTTTCACTGATGAGAGCAAATGTAATACACTTCTGACAGTTAAACATGGGTTGCTTGTCTCAGGCTGTATTGCTATAGAGGAGTTTGCCATTTTCACATTGATGGGATCATGGATTAATACGTCATCCACAACAGAATTTGAAGGAAAACATTATATTATATTACATTAGGATATAGAAAGGATTTTCCTTACAGCAAGACAACCCCTAACACATGGCCCAAAAAACTCAAGAAAGACAACTATTTTCATAGGCAGCTCCGGACACTTCTCCAATTGCTTGATTTAAACCCCATCAAACACTTTGGGGTCATATTAGAAGGCAGCTTAAAAAAAGAAAAAAAAAGGAGACAGATTTTATAGGAGTGTTACAAAAAAAACTATTTCTATCAATGAAAAACCATTTATTAGCGGTAATAAAAGTAGGGGTGGACTTACAGATTTCTTAGATAATGTTTAGATAGGTGTAAGTAAATAAACAAATGAAAAATAATCTGCTCAGAGACTTTTTGCTTGATATGTACATTATTTAATTTGTACATCATAAATACTATTACTTGTTACATGGTTAGGGATGGTTTATGTTGTTGATTAAAGTTTATTGTTCTAAGACATTGTGTTGTAATCAATTTAGCCCATTATTATTTTCATTTAAAAGGTTTTTTCTATTTCACTGAAGGTGTTGGGAAACTTGTTTTATTGAATGTATTTACTCATAGTATTAATGTAACCAATAAGCTCTTATACTGGCAGCACATTTACATTGGTATGTAATGATTGTCTGATCCAGATGGCTGAATTTCAAACTACCTGTTTTATGTATGTGTCAGTTATCTATTTGCAACATCTGAACGATTTACTGAGTCTGAAAGATATATCCGGCGGAACAGAAACCCACATTCAAGGAAGGTTTGATTTGCTCGTACGCCAATCTATACATGTCGAAAGAAATTAGGGGGAGGATTATTTGGACCCACATCTTACTCAGAGCGAATTAAGTACACCAGTATTTCAAGAAAGAAGTTACGTAGTCAAAATCAATATGAACAGAGAATACAAAAACAGTCAAATAGGCAGGCCAACGTCATAGCATTAAATTTGATGCTTTTCAACTGCAGAACACGGTGCCAAGATTATATGCAAGGGAACACATTTTAACATCCTAAAATCATTCCCAAAAAGGTTAACAATTCAGTGTGGAATTTAACTACTTTTTGAAAAAATTGTTGTGATTGAAATTTTATAAGTGAAACTTTGAATTGAATTGGTTCCTTAGCCCTTAGCCTCCCTTTATCGTCTCACTGGAATGATCGATGAGCTGTATTTTATCAAGCATTAGCTTTACAACCCGGCATTGCCAGGGGGAAAATAAAAAGTAGATGATGGGGTTTAGTCTGCGAGTCGGTGAACTCATGTTGAGCCGTACATACCTTTTAAGTAATGTAGCTTGACTGGCTGTGTTTGTTCACCGACTCGCAGACCAAACCCTATCATCTACTATATCACAGCCAGTCAGGCTAGGTTACTTAAAAGGTATGTTCACAAATCTGACAAAGGTTCAAAATAAAAAGTGTTTATTTCTCTATTTTATAAATCGACCCATTATTTGTTATTTTATAGTCTAAACCCGCCTGGCACTAATAAAAACAAAGTGAAAGTTTCATCGAAATCGGTTTAGTAGTTTTTGTTCTTATCATTAACACTTATACAAATATTCACTTTTATATATATAGATTTGTAAATCACAGATGTTTAGGTGCTCTGGTTTGGGTCTGTGGAGTGGTGATGATTCTGTATTTTTTTTTTTGAGGGGCGCGAACTACCAAGGGTCATGTTAGCCCCGTATTTTTTAAGAGAATCCCCCTGCGGGAGGAAGATCGGGGAACCAGCACACCAGAAGGGCGCACCCACACATCAATGCCCCAGCACGCCCAACCCCACAACCCACCTTGGGGGTTCTTTGATCATCCTATTTCGCCTATCCTAGCAGAACAGGAATATAAGAAACAATTAACTATTATATTTTTTGCATATATTGTATTTTTACTCTTTTAATGCTGACTAATCTGAAGAGAATTCTGAGTTTTGTAACTAATTTGACATAATTTTATTAAATAATAATATTAATTTGCTTTTATTGTTTTTCATATCCCAGATGCCTCGAGGAAGGGTGAACAAGACTCGAGATACAACAGCCTGCGGCAGCCCCCTGGCAGCCAGTTCACCTATACGCACAAACCAGAAAAAGCCGGACTTGAACTCTTGCAGTATAGACTCGTTTGGTTTGTATTCTGAGAACACGGTTGATTGTCTCTTTATTTTCAGTTCAAAACTCCAAATCCGCTCTGAATGAGATGTCCCAATTAACAAAGCACAGAATCAAAACCTTTAAAAACTTCATTCCGCATATTCGTAGCATTGTCGGGAACAAGGGGTTCTGCAGTGTCGATACTATAGAGGTTTGTTGCATTTGATATAGGCTATGTGCATGCATGTTTAAAACACAATTAAATTTCCGAACTTAAATTTATATACTTTCTTAAGACACCCCTAGATCAGTACTAATATGTACATGTTTTTCTTGGTAGTAATTATATTGGTAATAATTATAATAATAAAAAAATAAAGAAAGAAAGTTGTGTCCAGTCATTTTAGATCGCTATAGACAAATCAGATTTGAGAATGCCTGCGGCAAGCTTCAGATAGTTTGTACACAGGGGCTGGGGGCTGGCTTATGATTGAATAGAATAGAAAATACTTTATTATTTACAAAAATTTATCAGAACTTTTAATCTGCCACTCTTTCTGAATACTAATGTTTTTTACTTTTTAAAGTTTACTGGCAGGTTTTATTGTTAACAGTAAACTTCCAGTAAATTAATATTTCTGGTCAGGGTATAAGCGCTCTCAAGAATTACAGTATCATCTGAATAAAATAAAAATTTTATGGTGATGTTTGCTATTTTTATACCGCATTCCAAAATGTTAAAAGGTCATCTAAATACAAAGTAAACAATAAAGGACTTAGGGGGCAGCCCTGCCTTACACCACATTACACTTTAAAAACTTCAGATGTGGTCAGTTTTAAGAACTTATGGCGTTGACATACATCACCATAAGGTAATGGTCCCAGGTTCAAATCAGCGGCCCTGCATTCAAACTCGACACACTTATAAATGGGCTTTTTTCAAAAACAATGGCACCCCGAGGGTTCATGTAAGTTAGTAGTTGGAATTCCCTTGTTTGAAACAAAAAATCAGACCATTCAGCTTCACCTTCCACTCTTGATTTATGATAGAGATTCTAAATTGCTTAACTTTAGGAGAAAACCCCTCCAGTGAACAGTGTCAAAAACTGACTTGAGATCAACAAAAATGCTGTACAGCTTTTCATTAAGCTTTTCCATTTCAAATTAATTAAATTAAAGAGTAAGGATATAATTGAAAATGGAGTATCCTTTTCTAAATCCCATTTGGTATTCACTGAGCAAATCATTCCTCGAAACTTAAGAAGCTGTGTGATTAGCCAGGAGGTTAGAAAAAATGCTGGCTATGTCGTCTAGACATGAAATTCACCATATTGATAACGCCACGGTTAAAAAGAGGGAATATAATTGCTTTAACAAAAGATAGAGAATCAGCACCTAAATTATAAAATATACGATTAAACAATCTAGGGAAACATGTAAAAACACTAGGGGGCCTTACTTATCGAAATCATCTGTGATTCTGTCAGGACTAGAGGCGTTGTGCTTTTGAGTGCATCGACTACTGTCTCCAGGTCATTAAATAAAATTCTTGACATAAAATGGACAGACATTTCTCCCATTCACAAACACCCCATTGTAGTAGTTTGGAGTAGCTTGATGGCGTTTGGTCTGGTTGAATTCAGCCCTGTAGCTCAGGTTCGCCAGTGGGGTATTTGGAGCAGTGATGCTTCATTTGGGACCATGAGTGACCAGCATTATAAATCTGCATGAGATTCTGTGTGAATTCTTTAAGGACCAATGTCCAATATGTGTATTTAACACAATATTTTCAAATATAAGGTATCTTTTTTCTAAAGGTTTTGTTTTCGTTTTAGGATGACTGTATGAGTATACGTGATTGTGTCATTAAAGGTATCGTGTGATAATTGAAACTATTATCATTTTTTATAATCTCACAGGTTAACCGGAATTGAATAATTACTTTCTATGTTTGTAGCGTTCAAAAGTGGATCCGCAGAAAATGTACATGTAAGTCGACAATGTTTATAATGAAAAGTGGCTATTTGCTGAAACTATGTTGACAGATTACTTAACATTAACATAAATTTAAAAAAAATTGTGACATTAATAATTAATGTTGTTATACAATATAACTATATTTATAACTTATTTTTAAATAATAAAAAAGTCTATTCTTTATAATACTAATTTAAAGAGTAAATGAGAAAAGTGATTTACAAACCACAGCACATGACTTAAATTATGAATTTGGGGTTTGAATCCTGCTTGTGACACTAGCTTTTTCATCTCAACCATGACTTTAGATAAAAAATTATAATTAATTAAAATAATTAATATGGTCAATCATGACTACTAAATACATATATGATTTACTTATTACTTATGTCGTCTCAAAATGAAACTTAATAACTGCATGAGTATCCCTCTGGAAAAAAAAAATCATGATTGCAAATTTAATAAATATATATGTTCTTACTACTTCCTACATGGTTGTCTAAAATTAAAACGATCGTAACAAAAATGAACGCCATCACAAAAAAAACTTTGCAAGTAGATTCTACATTCAAAATGGCACCAAAAAGGCCTGAATCTCAACACTTTCGGAGTTATTCCACTTTTTTTTATTTTTTAAGATTTCACAATCGCTTCAATTAAACAATAACTCTAAAACTAAAAGGTTTTGGACAAATGCATTGATACAATTGAAAACTACATTAAAATTCCAATACTTCATTTAATATCCTTTCTAGTGGTGTAATTGCTTTTTTTAATTACCTTTTTCAAAGATGAAAAAAACCTTGGTTGATGAATTGGTAAGGTGGAAAGATTAATTATAATAAAAAATCTTAAGGAAATTTTGAATGAATTACATCAATATTAGTCTTTACTTAAACATTTTCATAAGTGTCTTTTATTCACTGTCATCAGAATTTTAATAGTCTGTATTTTTTGCATAGTTTCTATTCACGTAATTTTTATTTTTTAGAGCATAGGCCAATCTAGTCAGAATTCAGTGAATGCAATGCCACCTCCAAGTAGGTAAATTTCAGTTTCATTTTTTACTTCATTATTAATGTATTTTCGTTAATCCTAGGAATAGTATTGCCCAAAAAGAAAATGACCCGAGGAAGGTCTGCTGTAAGTACCAAACAAATAAACTGTATAAGATGTATTATGCTTTATGTATAAAATGTAAGATTTTTGTTTCTCTTTATCATAAAGGAACCTAAAACAAACAAAATGTCAACTCGAAAGCTTAGAACTTCTAGAAGTTTATCAAAAGGTAAGCCATTTTTCATTCATCGTACCCCCCCCCAAAAAAAAAAATAAAATAAAATAAATAAATAAAAACTTTATTATTATTTTCAGATAAAAAATTATCACCAAATACTTATGAAACACCGGCAAGAAATGAGACACCATACCATGTGGCGGCTGTCACGCCGAGTATAAAGTGTCAGACTCCTGCACCGATTTATAGAAAGCCGACAGTGGGAGAACAGGTCATTTCAATGTCAGGAAGCCCGCTGATGGTACCCCTCTACTCTGATGCCGAGGAGCCTCAGTTACACATCCCACTATTGGATGGAAGGGTAATTTTTTTTTCCAAATTTTTATTCCTATACTACACTTCTTATTTATTTTGTTTATATTTTTTTAAAGGTTTTTGCAGTCATGCCTCAAGAGAATTTAGAAAGTGTCCCAAATTTTACCGATATCGATCCTGGTACAATAGAGAAGCTTAAAAGGCTTCATCAATTTCTCCAGGAAAAAGTGCTGAAATAAATTTTATAATATAATTGTAAGCAATTATTGTACCTAGATGGAAACAGTAATAACAATTTCCATCAAAAACTTTTATGTCTGCATTTATCACAAACTTGATATATCATTTTTTTAAATAAATAGTCTTCACAACACAAATAGTATTTTTTTTTTAAATTAATTAATTAATTTTTTATTTTTTTACTGACCGAGACACCAATGGCCACATGATGCCCTATGTAGTGATGAAGAAAATTGAAAAGTCGTCATTATTTTTCTTTCTCCTCACTTGTTTTTCATGTCAATTTTGTTCTGCGGAATAGTGTCAAGTTAAAAAATAAAAATAAAAAATAAATAGAAATAGAATAGTAATATATATACTCAATGTGTTAAATGACACTTTCTATTATCCCCCTGGGCAATGCCAGGTAATAAAGCTAGTATAAAATATATATAATTTGTGGGGGGGGGGTTTTTAAAAAAAAAAAAAACTTCCAAATGATTTTTTCTGATTTATTTTTACATTAAATTTTTTGGACTTATCTGAAATTTATACCTATCATCAGCATCTACATTTTAAAAGGCATAAATATAACAAATTATATTAGTATTTTAAAACATTTTATTATAAAGCTTACCTTACTATTTTTTATTTAAACTGATTGTTGACAATTAATAAAAGTATTTTGTATTTTTAAGTCATAATAGCTGTAGAGGGGGAGCAGGCAGTACCCTGAAATTGATGTTATTTTTAAAAAAATAAAGACTAGTTTTTATGAAAAGAGCGTTTTTGGTTGCTCTGTCTGTAGAATATAGTGGGTGAAGATTTAAATAAATAAATAAATTGTAATAACAACCTATATAATAGAATAGTTATCACAATAGTTCGTATGAATAGAAATATGTATGTCAAAAATAATGTGTTAAATAGCACTTTCTATTATCCCCGGGCAACGCTGGGTTATAAAGCTAGTATAAAATATATATAAAAGTTGCGTTGTGAGGAGAAAAAAAAATGAAATTTTGTATCTATTTTGTTATTAATTTTATTCTATTACATATTTGGCCAGCACACAAGTAGCGCACTGAGCTAATTAAAATATCACTCATTAAATCGATACCAGTAACAATAGCATGGAAAGCATAGAAGGATTTTAAAAGTAAAAAAGGATTGAGAATGAAATTACAGGGAAGTTTGAGCTGACAATTCTTTCTGTCGTTATTACATGGTAGGAATGTGACTACAATACTAGGTTCTTTCATGTTTTTTCCTGTTTTATGCAAGAGGAAATTCGTTAACGGTTTCAGCTTGAAAAAATTCGATTTCAATAGACGTAATAAATGTACCTTTCCTCTTCTACAAAAGGACTCAACTTAAAAGGAAAATTGGGTTATTTTTATGGGACTGATCGATCCCTCACTCAAGTTCGATGAAGAGCTGAGGGTTTGCAGTTAGTTGAACAAATAAGAAGCGAGCTGGTAAACTTATATCAGTCTTGAACACTTCAATTATTTATTTATTTTTATAAATTTTACAATTATTTAAAGTTTATTGTTTGTTTGTAATTAAGCCGTTACGCCCCAGTCCCCTTCTTACAGTCATACGACGTACTGTAATATCTTAAACATTGTAAATATATGACTTGTTCCGTATCCAGAGCAAATATACTGGTTCGTAAAATTTCCTCTCGACAGCATTGAACAGATTTATGATTAATGTTATCATTAATTTTTTGGAAAGTGGGCACATTAGTAAATGTTGTTCCTATTCTAATTTGTCATCGCTGGAAAAAATCTTGCAAATTTTCCAGCATTGTTTACAGAGCTTGATAAACATTTATATTTTTCCTCTAATGGGCTGATGTTTAGATTCACCAATGTGCAAACATTTTATTTCAATTTTCTCCTCTAATATTTGTTTTTGTACAGCAAACAAGTCATCATTTCAACAATACATCTCTCTTCAGGAAAATGATAATTTTTAAAGCTTGTTTGGTATTTTAGCACTTAATGTTCTAAACTTTGACTTTCAACAAAAATTAAAATGTAATAGTCGACTCCAAGAATCCTAGCAGGCCTCAAAACAACCTGTTATGAAGCCTGCATCAAGCACATGAAAATGCAATTGTCGACAAGAAATGCAGACGAGACAACTCGGCCCGGGGAGGTACCAAATGATGCAGCAAACGGTTTGCGACAAATGCCCCAATGTCAAGTAATGAAGAAGCTTGAAACGATAGTAGAATTATACTTTATTAACATCAAACTTTTTTCAGATTTGTCACCGAGAGCAGATTGTTAGAAATCGAAATAGAACAGGGCGTGGTATCAAGAAGTCAGATTTATGGCTGAAGGTGAACCATATGTAGATGGAGATCTTGGTGATTTAGTCTCGAAGATCAAGACCGTCCCTCACCCCGTCTTTGAAGGTGAGGAGATGATTTGTACACAAATGTTACAATCTCGTTAGTAGACACCCTAACAGGCTTCTTGATGGAAATTGAATACCTAGACAGTAGAACGGTAAAAATTCAACTAGAAAAAGTAATGTGGTCTGATGCTAGAATAAGAAAGAAGGGTGAAGAAATGCCTATTTATGAAAATAATAATATCATAAATAATAGTATCATAAGATCGGATAGCCAAGCAGCTATTAAAGCATTAGCTTGTAAAAAAATCACATCAAAATAAGTCAATGAATGCATCTAAAATCTCCAAACTTGGGGAAACACATCAACCTGATGATATCTTGGGTACCAGGACACAAAGGAATTTCGGGTAACGAAAATTCATGCAAACTAGCCAGAGGAGGATCTGCAAGACCTTATATGAATGCTGAACCTATTTTTGGATAATAAAAACAAACAAATCCTCCATCACAGAACGGATCCAAATAAGACAAAAGAGAAGAGGATAAACTCATAGGAGGGAGAGGACCACATACCGGCCACTGGCATCTGAGAAAACATGGGTATATTCAACAATGACTCCCATTAGTATGTTGTGACAGCGGTTTTTTTTTTATAATCAGTTTTTCCCCGCAAATGCAGTAACAGGCTAAACAAGACAAAATGATTACATTGTTAAGGTTGTAGAAGGTTGTAAAGCCCATCTTTCGCACTTCTAATACAAATGAAAGAGTCAGGTTGCAATCTGTATATATTTAGTCAAATGTACTAGTTTTCCCAATGAGGAGAAAGAAACAGCCACGCATGTAACTTTCAAATGCGAAGAAAATGTTCATGGACACATAACCTTGGGTACATATTTTATTAGGTTTCGTGGTCCGCTTACCAAATAAATTCTTTTCAATTAATCAAGGTTTTGGTTGAGACAAAAAAGGCAGTGCCACAAGTCGAACCCACAACTTTCGGCTAAATAGCCGCTGCTCTACCACTTGAGCAATCGTGACTTCGATCCACTCGGACACTAACTTCCCATCTCTACGCCACCTTTTTGAATTTTCCCTCCTTTTTGCTATTTTTCAAATGTCGTGTAATCTATTCCATTCTCGGCGACAAATGAGATGGCCACGGAGAGCTTTAGTCGATTCAGGAACAAGCAAAGACAATAAGGCCACAATGCTTGGGAAATAAAAAATCCCGACTTCCTAGTATCCTTCATCATCATTATTATGCAAGATTCTGATCTTCTGAAATTATTTCGGGGTGTGTGAGGCGTAAGTAAATTTTTTTTATTTTTCGTTGAGGAAGACGGGCTGAACTATTGTGAGAGATCTTTCTGGTCCCCTTTTTTCGCTGTTTTGATCTGTCAGACGCTTTACGACATATCGCTCTGTTCGGTTTTTGGTCAAGGTTATAAGAGAGGTGAGACATCGTTGAATTGTTCCATTGGCCTTGAACCACTTCGATGATCTAGGATTCTGTCAACTATTTAGACAGAAGAATGTTTTTTACACCCCGTGATTAAAAATCCCTGTTTTTTTTCTTGATTTTCCTCCCTCGATGGATTTGAAAGTATTTTTTAGCTCGATTGGTGTTAGTCATTCTCGATCAGTCTATACAACCTAATCTCGTTGTTTAGTCTGTCAGACATATTTTGACATTTCGCCCCTTTCAGTTTTAGTCAGGGTATAAGTAGGGTTCACGTAGCTTGCATGCCCAATCCTTGTATATGCTTGCCCTTATGATGGGAATAATTATTCTCCGACTCACAAGTAGACTCGCTAGAAGATGATTGAAAATATTTGTTGGATTTTGCTGCACGGTTGGTCAGAATTAGTTTGATCCGGGAGATTTCTTTATACAATTCAGGAATGGTATCAATAATAAATTTAGTGCCCAACAACGCCAAATATTTTAGTTTATACGCTCCAAGATTATTTTTATTGTCTCTCTCTTTCTGACACATCTCCAAATATTCTCGCGTATTGGATTTGTTCATCTACAAATTGGCGAATGCTTTCTTGGCGGGACTGAGCGCGCAACAAATATTTTGTTTTTAATTTTAATACTTGTTGGGGCGAGATATGATACTTAAAAAAGGAATCGTGCAGCGGTTTGAATTTAATATTTCTTTGATGAGCAGCTGAATACAAGATTTGACCGGCAGAGCCTGGACTTTGTTCTGCAATTACAAATAAAATATCAGAAGTCAAGGTTCGGTAATGATTTAGAAGCGGATGTAACGCATGTAGAAATTTGAAAATAGACTCGGGATCATTTATAATTAATTTTGGTAATTTGTTTATGCGAGTTATTAATGAACTATGTAATTTGTTTCCTGATCTCCATTATCTAAAGATGAACAAGAAAATTTAGGTACAAATTGCATATCATCATTTCTGATGATTGTTGATTGAACTATTGTTTTCGTTAATTCCCTTTGAGCTTCTTTTTCCCGAAATAATTTTTTGGGAGTTGCTCTTCCTCCTGATCCCCTGGGTGTTACTGATTCCTGAAGAACTGATTTATGTGAAATATTTTCCTCTCTATTTACATCCGTTATATTCCCTAGATTTTCTTTTACAACACGAACTTTATCCCGCTTTACAGCACTTAATATTCTAGACGCCATATAAGTAGCAAATTTATCCCGGTATTTTTTAGGAATTTCTATTTTGGACGTTAGGACTTACTGCCACAAACTCTTTTACTTCTTTTTCTATTAATTTGACAAATTCATTAGAACTATAAGGATCATTCTTATCCGCATTTACATATTCATTTATGTCTGAATCAGAAACATTCTTGCTTTCCTGCTCACCTAGGTCCATTTTTATTTATTTATTTATTTTTATTATTATTGTTTTATTTTTTAAATTAATTATTATTATTATGGGGGGACCGCGGTAGCCGAGTGGTTAGCATGTGAGACTCTCACGCCGTGGTCGTGGGTTCGAATCCCACCGTTGCCTCTGGCCCTTTTTTCCCGATAACCCCCAATTTGAACAACATATATAAGAAATTCGTCATGACTAATATGCAAAGATCATAAAGCTAAAGATCATTAAAAAAAAAATATTATGAGTATTATTTATTATTTTTTTTATATAAACCACGCTCTGCGACCATTTTATCACGTCCCAACGAGACATGACATAATTAAATAAAAGAACAGAAAACGGAATTACTTTATGGAATTGAATTTATTTTAAACAATTTATTTTAGTGAACAACCAACTTAAAATGAGATAAATGAACCTTAAACAAATTATAATAATGACAACTTTAAAAACAAAAATGTATTCCTTATATTAATTATAAATGATATTACAATTAATTAAGGTTTTTAGTTGAGATAAAAAAGACAATGGCATGAGCAGGATTCGAACCCACAATCTTCGGCTTGATATACCGCTGTTCTACCACTTGAGCTATCATGACGTGGTTAGGGCAGCGTCAAACCTGAACCGTGAAAATAACTTTTGCACTGAGCCGTCAGCAATTTTGACAACTTTGAATTTTCCCTCCTTTTCGCCATTTTTCAAATGTCGTGTAATCTATTTGATTCTCGGCGACAAATGAAATGGCCACGCAGAACTTTAGTATACATACTCAACCACAAAAATGGCAAAAAGAGGGAAAATTCAAAAGGTGGGGTTGAGATGGGAAGTTGGTGTCCGAGTGGATCGAGGTCACGATAGCTCAAGTGGTAGGGCAGCGGCGTATCTAGCCAAAGATTGTGGGTTCGAATCCCGCTCGTGCCATTGACTTTTTTATCTCAACTAAAAACCTTAATTAATTGTAATATATTAATTGGTCAAGTGGACCACGAAATTAGTGAATTGAATAAATGATATTAATGATATTTAAATAAAAAAATGAAATTAAACCTTTTTTTTTAAATGAAATTTTTTCTTTACAAAGTAATAATTATAAACAGCCTAGATTAAGGACAGGGACTTACCCACGGAGACTGGAACATTTTTTTCTAATTACTATTTTACAAGCAACAAGGATGGTAGCATCTTCACCAGCGAGCAGATTACCTCTGTTCCTCAATGTTTACTTATTCGCGGCCTATACTCGGCCCCTCCTTTTCTTAGGGCTTTATCGCATGTACATGACCAATCCAAACTGNTATATATTTAAGAACAAGATAATAATTTTATAATAATTTAATTAAAAATTGAATCACAGAAAACCATCAACTGACTAAAAATTACGAAAAATGTACATAAATTAATCTAATAATATATTCTAGCCGTGTAATAATATTAATTTCTAGTGTTACTTTTCACTAATTAGTTAAAAGAATTAGAAATTTAATAACCAAATATTCATAACATAGTGTATATTTTATATAACACTTTTCGTCAACCGATTTCTTCTTTACCTGTACAAAGAAACAATTTATTTACTCATCTAATCAAATAATATATATAGATATGTTACATATAGATGTCATATTATACAGACTATATATAGATTTAAATGTTAAGCATAATTTGTCTTGAAATATTTTAAGCTTTTGTTGAAAATTTTAAAACATGCATTCATACAAAAACTGAAATAATCATAATTTAGTTGTTATATTAAAGATAAATAAAGAGTGATTTTTATTACCATCAAAGCATAAAATTACAAGTGTGAAAACTTACCTTTTCCATAGCAGGCTTTACAAATTTTTAAAAAACCTGGGCTCTGTCTATGATTATTATCCAATATTTCCACCTGTTCGTTTGCAAATCGCAGGAAAACCTGAAAATGACAATGGTTAAAGAATATTACAGCACTAAATCCTAACATCAAACTCACTTCCTCGAGAGTTGTTTGGGAAAGTGTATAATCTGTAATTATTTTCTTTTCTTTAGCCCTTTCCATAACAGAAAACAATGTAGTAACTTGTATATCCTTGACTTCATAGCGAATTTGATTATAATGAGCTTCAACCATCTTTGACTTCGGTAAATTGGTCACCATAAAAGTTTTGGCTTTTTCCATATCATCTTCATGGCATCTTAATATAATGAGGTAGCCACCACCATACCTACAGTAGGAAAACAATTATAATATGAACAAATAAATAAAATCTTTAAAAAAAAAAAGCTAAAATGATAAATACTTGTTCTTCAAATGCTGGGATGACCCCAAGCATTTAAACTGCCCATTAACCATAATCGTTAGCCTTGTACAAAGAGCCTGGCATTCTTCCATGCTGTGTGATGTCAAAAGTATACATCCTCCTTCTCTTACAATTTCCTGGATGCATTTCCATAAGAAACGTTTTGCTTTTGGATCCATTCCTGTTGTTGGTTCATCCTGTAATTTCAAATAGCTCAATATTTTAGGTGTATTTATACATTTATCAGGATAGATATGACAGATCTTATTCTAATACTGTACGTTTTATAGTATACTATTGGTCACCACAAAAAATATAGATTAATAACTTGTTAAAAAATTAGTTTTGCTTACCAAGAATACAAGAGGTGGATTACCAATCAGGGCAATGGCCGTAGAGAGCTTTCTTTTGTTACCTCCAGAAAGTGAACCCGCAAGTCGATGTCTATAAAATCCTAAGCCCATTCTCTTAATTAAACTATCGACTCTCTGGTGGGAAAAAAGTTGTAAAAAAATATGTAAAAATATGTTTTATTTTATGAACACCTTACTGCTTGAAGGATATACGAGTTCAAATTTCTGATTCTCCCATATAAGATCAAATGTTCATAAGGTGTGAGTAGTGGATCTAAAGCATCAAACTGTGGGCAGTAACCAAGAACAGATCTTGCTTTATCTATTTCTTTTGTTATGTCATATCCTAGAATAGTTGCTGTGCCAAAACTTGGGTCAATATCTCCCGTGAGCATCTAGTTGACAATATTTACATGTACAATTTATAATCAGAAAAGAAAAGTAAACTAAGTCTTACCTTGAATGTTGTTGTCTTCCCAGCTCCATTAAGTCCAAGAAGGCCAAAACATTCACCTTTTTTTATACCAACACATATCTGATTTACTGAAGGTGTCACCTTTCTGGGATAAATCTTAAAAATTGATTTGCAATTTAGTATAGAATTTCTGTGAGAAAAAATGTATAATTAGTTACCTTAACAAGATCTTTTATAACTAATACATCATCTGAAGTTGAACTGTTGTTAATTCTTCTTCTCTCTGCAGCGACATCATCTTCTTCACCAGTAATCTGTGCCTTGATATTGTGCTGTGGAAGAGACATGTTAATATGGAGGAAAATATTCTCCTAATAATCCATTTTTAAACAAAGTAATTCAACTGTGAAGTTATATGAACCCCAGGGTGCCAGTGTTTTTGAAAAAAGCCCATTTGTAAGTACATTGCAAGGGACCTTTACCTTACAATGATCAGTGCGATGTTAATGCCTAACCCATTGTGGCTACCGACCCCCCCCCCTTTTCATACTTATTAAAGTTTACTGCACATCTTTGCATTTAATTATGAACCCTTAACTTCACAGTAGTGGTTTTAAGATTTACAATTTTTTTCTGAATTTCTGACCAGATGCTCATTTACAAAAATAAAACAAAATCATATATATGATGTAGCAGAATATAATTTATAAACTGTTTGCTAGAGTGCGTAATAACTTATGGAAGAAAAAGGGGATGGAGCCTCGAACCAAAGAACTCGCGGAAGTGGGCATTGTTTGTTGTTGTCTCTTGAAGGAAGAGAACTCCTTAGAAATATATCAAAAGTGAAAAGAATGTTATTTTATAATTCAACACTTGATTTTTCTTCAAATCTTCCTATGAAGTATTTCGAGCAGTATGCTCAGAATGAATGAATTACAAACCAGAGCAGTGCGAAGGGACAATTAGCAGGAAGCTACATTTGTAACAAATGATTGTGATAATCCGGTAGTCATTTGAGGGTGGGAGTTTGGCAATTTGAGCAAACTTATTCCAATCTGCCATGCGGGTATTCCATTTAGGACAAAATTCAAAATCCGTTTTACGTATATGGGATTCTATTTTAATGGGGAGGTGATCACTTTGGACATCCGTTTCTAGGACGTTCCATTCAAAATTGGTCGCTAGGGACGGAGAAACAATCGTCAGATCTATTGCACTAACTGACCGGTATAAGTATTTAGATGAGTGTATGTTCCATCATTCAGTATTACCCAGAAGTGCAAATTGTATTTTGTTTTTAGAAATAAAATCAATCCAAGAGTTTTTAATTTTTTTTTTTTAATCGATAAATAAAACAGTATGTACTATGTAATATTTCAAATGTTTTAAACAGTTGAGGATGTCTTTGATGTTAGTTGGCCGTGTTGCAGCAGAATCAAATTTATAAACAGCCTACTGAGAATTCCAGAACTTATGGAAGAAAAGGGGATGGGTCCTCAAACCATAGAAGCCTTTTGTTTTCTTTGTTCATTGTACCTCTTGAAGAAAGGGAACTCTTTAGAAATACATTAACAGTGAAAACAATGCCATTTTCTAATTTCCGACTCGATTATTCTTTTGTTTTTGCAAGAAAGAAAAAAGAAGCCCATTTGTAAGTATGTCAACACCTTAACCATTGTGGTCACTGACACCCCCTCATAACATATTATCTTTAGTTAAAATCTAGGATAAAGAGAAAAATAAATTTATAAGTTGTATACAAAAACTGGGAATCACTGTAGATTTGACTCGCACTATGAACTCTCATATTTTTTACACTTCATCCATTTAATCATGGATAAGTAGTCTAACCTGTCCCATTTTCATAAAAAGTTACAAAATGAAATTTTCATTTTTCATTTGCAAAATCATCAGATCCATTAGATTGTATGACAAATGGCAAAAACCATGGTTTAGAAAACAGTTAGGTATTTCAAAAGTAATACATTACATCAGATACTGCACCACTTTTTATCTATTCTATATAAATTATAGTGTATTTCTTTTAAAGGTGTTTTATTTTAAACATGGGATTTTAAATACTAATTTGTCTTATTTAAATTGGTTTGTGTTAGAAAAGATTTCCATTTTTTTATTTTTAAAAACTCATTTGCATATAACAACCTGACAAGTAAATTATAATATATATTATTACATAATTAATTTTATCTTTAACAAAGAAATGTTTTACAAGTTTGTTACGGAAAATTTGTAATAAAACTATGCTAAAATACAGTATTTTTAAAGACAGTAAAGGCAAGGGGGCTTGTGTCGTTCTGGGATGACACCTATATGTGTAGGAAAAGCTTACTTGTAATAAATGTTACAACCAAAATAAAAAATAAATAAAAAAAAGTAAAACAATATAAAAAAATTATAGTATATGTTGTGTAAAATATGTTTTACTTACCTTGTAAGATTTCTTCCAAAGCCTGTGTATTCTATACTCAATTGCAAGAGTAATTAACATGAACAGAATTCCCAAGAAAAACATACATACAAGATTTTTACCAAGAAAACCCCAGCTGAAAACACTTTGTTCGTACACAATATCTAGAAAAATAGAGGTCTTAGAGTGTTATGGTTGATATTAATAATTTCTACTATTCTACCTAGGTCTAACAATAGTGCTGATGTGATATAGCTGCTTGAGAGCTTCATAAGCCCATCGCCGAGACAGAAATGTGGAAATATCATAAATACCTGTCCAATTATTTTTCCTATTCGCTTAAGTTCCTATAGGGAAAATTACATAGTATTTTAAAATATAGAGTTTAATAAATAAAGAGGCAGATATTTTCATCAACATAGAACCATTAAGCATCCCCTAGCTAATGTTGACGGAAACTGCCATGTGTTTGTAATTTGTTGTTTGTGCAAATTATCTCTTTATCATTGGGCATCTATAATGTTTGGTAACAACTGAATGCTCAATGAATGTAAGAAAGTGCATTATGAAACTTATTAAAGCACTAGTCAGTTATTAAGTATATAATAATTGTTAATTATGTATTACCTCATCATCAAAGAAAGAGAGGACAGTGGTCGTGACTGTTGTGATAACGCCAATGAACATATTTACACAAGAAAGAGAGACAAACGCTGAACTTGGAATGTCAAAAAAAAAGCTTGCTGGGTACATTAGAGGGATACACGACCATCTGAAAGTGAAATGCTTTGTAAATTTTAATTTTACAGATCCAAAAAGGAACTTACCCAAAAAGTAACATCAAAGAGAGAACTCCTGGGAAGCGGTCTGGTGCTATGAATGCTTGTTCATTAAATATTAAAAACACCAGTATGCACAAAATAACAGACAAAGAAAAAGCACACTGGAATTTACAAAGATAAAATAAATACTTACTTAAAAATAATATATAAATGTTAATACAATTTAAATCTTACAAACCATGTCCCAAACAAATGCTTCAAACCAATATATAAGCCTATTGACACCAGAAACCAGTTGCAGATGTTTAGAATTTGACTTCCTTTCTTCAATTAAATATAGACAGAATGAAGCTGTGACAAAACTTAAGGCAAATATGACTGCAATTGCCATTAAAATTATACCAATTCCATTTCGTCTTGAAAAAAAAAAGAAAAGAAAAAAGTACATAAATATGTTGTGTGGCAAAGGAATTTCAATTTTCCATTATAGTTTTTGACTGGTCAGTTTTATATCCTGATAATACATAAAATCCATAATAGAAGCAAATGTTCATGTGTTCAACAGGTTATGTTCCCTTGTACCGTTATTTTAAAGATATTTTAAGATTTTAATTAAAGAATTTATAACATTAATTTTATAATAATATAAATCATCAATTGTCAGTTGGACAACATGAATCAAATGCTTATTTTTGATATTGCTCACGGGTTTTATAGTCACTCACCATAATCATAATAGTTTTAAATTTACTTACAACAATTCAGCATATTTTTGTTTTTCATTGAACTTCAACGGATGATTAATTGTTCTGATACCATGTTCACCAGACTTACTTGAGTTCATCAATGCTCTCAAGATAACATTATTAATAGCATTTAGGTTAGCGACTGAGGCAATCCAGTTCTTATTGTTGAACCAAACCTAGAACTAAATTGTCTGAAAATCTATATTCCCATATTAATAACGTATGGTACCTTTATATTATTATCAGTAGAAATTGATTTTTCAGGTAGATAATTTTTCAAATATTCAAATAAAAGCTTGAATTGAAAAGGAACGTTGTGAAAGGGAATTTTTTTCAAATCAATCGATTGTGTCACTAGGTTGGCATTTAATGTATACCCACCCACTCTGAAAGAGTAGACATAATGAATAAACACTATTTAAACATATTTTGTAATAAATAGCCAAACCTTTGGTTTTTATATTTAGGCCAAGTATTTATAATCCAGTCACTCAAATCTGATAAATTGACAAAGCGTAATATGTCATGAGAGGTTAACTGAAAATAGTGTGTTGTTAATTATTTGTCATATAAGTATTATAAAAATTCTTATTACCACTATGGAAGGTAACGAATCATCAATTCTATATGGACAGACTTGAGCACCAGTTTTACAAGAACATTTTGTTACTCTTGGGCGACTCAAATTGAACAGAGATGGAATTGGTCCTGACGCTACAGAGCACTTGGTGTGGCTGAAAAAAGTGGATGAATGAAATTATTTATTGAACGTATCAAATTATCTATGTGTATGACTAATTATCATTCTGAATTATGAACTACGTATTTTAAATTTACATGTTATCTACTTAGAAATTACGACATATTAATTTTAATATAACAAATTAACAAAATTAATTTTGTTCCATCACACGTCCATATCATCAGCAAACTGGCGGGTGCATGCATTGCTTTGAGTTTTGGTGTTCCATCATGGCACAAACCCTAACTCAGCCTGCCGGTCTGTCATTTCAACATGTTTTCAATCCAGGTTTGACTGGTTTTTGACTGTCAAAACAGTCCGATGTGCAGATGTTTCCTAGTGCTTTTGCTCTCATCAAATCACAAAGTTCTTACTTCACCAACGACCAGATTTATATATGAAATGAAATTCAAAGTATGTACATATATATGTGTTATTTTTTGTTATTTGCAAATAAAAAATATATTAAAAAATAGTTATGCATTTCTTTAAAGAATTTTATAAATTGCACATATTAGTTGAACAATGTGTCAAAAAAGAAATGCAACTACATAGTTAATAAACTTTTAATTTTCAAATTTATTTTAAATAACAAACATTTTTACATTTTAAATGTAATACATTAATGTAAATTTTTATAAACTGTACAGTGTGTCTTTTTTAACATGCGCCAATCTGCTGGTCTGTACTTTCTGAACAGATACAAAAAGGGGGTGTTAGTGGCGCAATGATTTAGGCGTTAACACGGTGCTCATCACTATAAGGTAACCTGCATTTGAACCCCACTTTTTTCAAAAACACCGGCACCCTGAGGGTCAATGTTTGGACATGCACAGATATAAGTCATCGGTTAGTTGGCAACTGGTTTGTGCTTGTATGTTGGAACAAACCTGATTATAATTATTGAAGCAATTAAAGTGTACATAATAAGAATATTTGTAAGTCTAAAATTTTTATCTGTCAAACATTTTGCTAATTTAATAATAATTAAATCATAATTTAATTTTTAATTTATTGAACATATATTTTTTCTTTAATTTTTAAATTATGACTTACGTGACATTGTAGTCAGCTGGTAAACAAGATGTGCCAAGGCCAAAGGATCCATCAATTTCATTTACAAATAAATCCATGTCATTACCACTGTGATCAGCACTCAGAAAAAACACTAATGGCTGGGTATATTTCCATGGAGTCAATTCTAATTCTGGCCTATGCCTAAAAGATGGTAAGATAGATAAAACTAACATTGCTGCACAGACCAAAAGAGCGGGGAGTATGAGCTGAAAATAAGAATATATATTATGTGATTATAAGTACAATTTTAAGAGAGAAATGATTAAATTTTATTAACTTCTGAAAACAAAGCCTTCAAATTCCTTTTATTGTGAAGGAACCTTTTAGTGTGCAAGGCAATAAACTGTTTCCACAATTTTGACTGTCTCTTCTCTACTTGTTCTTCGTGGGTTTTAACCACTGTTACTGCAGAATCTGAAAAACAAACATTATTTCATATCAAAAAGTGCAATTGTTTAAAATAAATCTGTCAATTAAATAAATTATGTAAAGTAGATTTATTGAGTTAATAATCATTACATTTGATTTTAATTGTTTATATTCACCATTTTTGTGCAAACTTAACATAAACAACACAAGTGACAGTATTATGAGAATGTATGAGAAAAAGACTAGATATAATTTTTTCCCCATGTTTAACCTAATTTTAATATTTCTACATTTTAAATTGTTATTAAATTAAGATTACTTTTCTTTTAATGAAATGATCGCTAGAAATATGAATCCATTGTTAATAAAAAGCAAAGCATTTGCAACAAATTTGAACTTCAAAACTATTAAACAGCACAGAAGAAAGGGAAAAAACATGGCCACTTAAAGATTGTACACACTTACACTTCACATTTGTACCATTAACTTGGACACGGATCTCCTTTGGTTCTAAAATGACAAAAGGAAACAGACTACACATGTGTATAAACAATATGCACTTTATGCACAGCATATATCAATACAAACCTGTTTTACTTTGAACAGTGGAATGTGAATATTTACCAATATCCGCACTTTCTACAGATAAGGACTTTTTGAAACAGCAGCAACCTGTGAATAATAATCTCACAGGTTATACATGCAGGACAGACAGACATGTACACATTTATAAATAGTAATTTGTACCTGTTGTTGTGGAATCATTTTTCTCTTGGTCGGTCGCTACAGACAAAAATATCTACAACAAAATTTAGGTATTTTATAAGAAGTACACATGTGAATAACTGTTCTAGGCTATTTTTTAATTTAAAGCCAGGGAAATATACCATAACAATCCTGGCAAATTGCATACCTAGTACATAAAATACTTCTCAATAATAAAAACATTTTGACCAGACATGAATTAATCAAAAAATAAGTTATGATGGAACAAGTATATCAATTGAATAATTGTAAAGAATAGTTCTACTCACAAACTATTTTTGGCAGTTATCTCGATTTCAAGCATTTGAATGTTTGTGAGTAGAACTATCTGTTACAACTATGCACTATGTACAAAAGCTAAAAAAAAAAAATCAAGTTTTACTTAACAAAAGTGCCAACCACTACAACCAACAATGCACAATTTAAACTGTGTTTCTACTACTGATTTTTATGATTTGATATTTTTGAGTTAGGCTGCCCATGGTTTTTATATGTTTTACTTTTCTTTTATACATAAGCTTGAGCTTTGTGTTGTATTTGAATAGTACACTTCTCTTTACATACACCTTCAATTATGAATTTTAAGAATTAAAAAAAACAAAAAAACATTTGGTTAATAAACTAAGTTTATAGATACACAAAAATAAAACATATACAAAATCATACTTTAATATCAATTGTTCTATGCAAACGTTAATGAAGCTCTAATATCTTTAGTAAAATCCATGAAGTGTTACATTAGTCTTACTTCTTCTAAAGAAGAATCTGAAATTCCATAAGACACTATGTGCAATCTGTCCATCTCTGAATCAATCATTGAACACAGTCGAGATAATTGTGATGGGTTTTTACTTGGGAGATTGTAAATAACTTCTTGTCCAATTTGATCCACAATAGTTGCATTTGGTATCACATGTTGAATAAAATCTGTTATATCTATAAATTTAATAAGACATTTAATTGTAATTCAATTTATCAAAACAATATAAACTTCCTACTTTTAATGTTTGTTTCAGAAGAAATGGATACATCGCTTTCTGAATTCAACTGAAAAAAAAAAAAAAAAAATTGGATAAATTATTGCAATAATTGACACTAAAGATAAACACACATCTGTCTTGGGTACTAATGTTGGAGTATTCAATGCCAATTCAACAGTTAGATTATATCCTTTTCCAAGCTGGCTTTTTAGAAAAACACCCGATCCAACACAAACTAGCCTGCCTTGAGCTATAATGGCAATCCGGTCACCAAGTAGGTCTGCTTCGTCCATGTAATGTGTTGTTAGAATCAACGTTCGACCTGAAAACATTCATTAATTAATAAATTACTACTACCACAAGTACTATTATTATCTCTACTGTTACTAGTAATAATATGTAGTAAGTAAAGAAACCTTTTTTGTATTTTATTAGCAACTCCCAAATAGAACGCCTCGAATAAGGATCAACGCCAGAAGTTGGCTCATCCAAAATGACAGTCCTATAATATGAAATATATAACCATTTTAAATAAAATGAAAAAGTAGAATTTCTTTACTTTGAACCTCCTATAAAAGCCACAGCTATTGAAAGTTTTCGTTGCATGCCACCTGAAAGGTCAGTGGAGTAAGCATCACTTTTGTCAGCTAAGTTCAAGTCTAAGAGCATCTGTTCAATCTCATGATGAAGTAAATTTCCTTTCTTCCCACCTCTGAGCATTCCATAAAACCATAAATGCTCTTTAATTGTCAGCCTAGATAACAAATAAAGTATATGATAAAAATGGAAATTTGTGTGTAGCAAATGACACAATGAAACAGAAATGCAAAAAGTGAGTATAATGCATATTTATAAGCATAAATAGGAAAAGCTAATGCAGGAAACACACCCGATGCAACCCAACACCTTGTGTCACTTTTGGTATGATGTGCACATCTATTCGACGTCAAGCACACGCCATGTACAGTCACACAGCGTGTATCACGCCTCTTTTGTTCTTAATGCACTATTTTGAGCAAAACCTTGTAATAAATTATTATTTAAATTGTTATTGCAGTGTTTCGATAAATTTTCTGCCTAACCATCATAATTAAATAATTCTTATAAAAACTCATGAATTTTTGATCTCGATTAATTTGGTTCACAGTAAAATAAGCATGTGGTAATTAATATAACGACAAAATTACATATACATAGTTCAAAATAAACTATAAAAAAATGTCCGGTTCTGTCGCTACTCGACGAAAATGGTGTAATTTTATGAGCAAAACCATGTTAGTTGACCATAAACAAAACCACATAACAAATTGTAAGTTAAATTTTATGAGTAAATCCATGTATTAGTCCAAATTGTTAGTTAAATTCATTCTATCAATAAATGGCGTTCCGGTGTTTTGATCAACTTTCTGCCAAATCTTTCAAATTAATTTAAACAAATTAAAACTAATGAATTTTTGATCTGGCTTAATTTGGTTTATATTAAAATAAGTAAGTTATAATTAATATAACGACAATAATACATGTAGTTTGAATAAAAATATGAGCGTCCGGTTCTTTTGTCTTCGACTGTACACAATGCTACCTGACAAAAATCTGGACAGTGGGGAGTAGGGTAGTGTTGCTTGGCATCGGGCAGAAGTGCAGGGGATAATACATTCTTATGGAAAATTGGACTTTGGATTTGCATTGAGTAGTATCAGGTAGTGTCACATAGCGTTGCATTGGGTAAGTGTGTTCCGTGCTCTAAACATAAATTTTTAGGCAAGAGATGTATTTTGTTATAGTATGACAGAAGTACTGAGTACAGAGGTACTCCTACCAGAGTGAATGATAAGCATACTAGATACTAGCAGCCACTTGAGCCTAATTGCAGTGGATAAGTAGCACCATGGTAGGCCATTTTCAGTGTTTGACTTGCAAGTGTTCAATCCAATAATAATAATTTTAAGAATAAATGTGTATTTAAAAGAAATTTTTGAATCTTCTTGTTTGTTGTAACCCTTCGGAATATAGTTTTGATGTTTGCAGCCTAGATTAATTATTTTGTCATGGTATACATAATAACCTATGTACATACATAAATAGAGATGTACATAATTACCTCCTTACATTTGAAAGCAAACACGACAAATATTGTATTGTATAATATTAAATAATTAAAATTTGTGAACCTGTGGAAAAGAATGTTGTGCTGTGGGCATACTCCCAAATTTTTTCGTACTCTGTACATATCAGTTAGAATATTATTTCCATTTATCAAAGCTGTTCCTGATGTTGGAGGCAATAAGCCTGTCAAAATGGAACTGAAATAAATGACAAAACTGTGAAATCTATCACAGATTATATCTAATCAAATCTCACATGGTAGTTGTTTTTCCAGCCCCATTATGGCCGAGGAAAGAAGTAATCTGACCTTCATAAAATGCAACAGAAATATTATCAATAGCTTTTTTTCCATTGGGATACACCTTGGATAAATTGATTATTTTAACACCACTTATCAGGCTAGACGGTCCATCTTCTCTGGTTTCATTAACTGTTAAGTATGATTTAGAATTATAATAGTTCCTACTACAAACAAATATTCACAAGGCAGATTCTTACTATCATTTAAGTTTTCTGCATTAGTGTTTATCTTTGTTGGATATACTCCAGTCCAATATGAAAGTGTAAATGGGAAGTTCCAGGGCTTAGGTATGCCATACTCCCCTGTAAAAAAAATTATCCTACAGAATCTATTTAGTGAAAGAAAAATATATTGATAAGATTTAAGATTTTCATATTTAGCATTAACACTACTACACTCGTATCACCAAATAATGGACTCCTAGTAACACCAGAGCAGGTGAAGTTTAATTTCAGTAATAATAATAATAGCCATTGGAACCTAACCCCATTGGTAGGGAAGCAACGATCTTCTGGGTATTTGGCTTAAGGGGGATACTAGCGACCTGGTGGGTAAACTCCCTGATGTGTAGCACTGTCAGCACATCAGGGAGTAACAACCCTTTGGGGTCAAAGTCCGAATAATAACAATAGACATTAACCCTGGTAACTAGCTGGCTGGGGAGAAAATACAAAAAAGAAAAAAATAATAACCATTATTGTGATACCAATGTCTTTCTTAATTTATTTACATACCCTTCACTCAATTAGGATGAGTGAACACTCAACACTTCACTCTCGAGATTACTCCATCAACCTTTACACCTACATACTTACAAAATTAACCTAATTGACAGCTGATGGGGTATCCACTATTCCGCCTTTAGACCTTTCACACCACACATTCAAGTCAATAAATATATTTGCTCTCAACACACACTAGGGACACAAAGGGAGTGGGAACAAATCTAAGAAAAAGATAAAATCGTCAGTACTATATACAATAACCATATCGGGTAGCATTCCTACACACTCTCTACATGGAGTTGCATCCTTCAATAAGGTAGGGCACATCAAGCAACTTTTCTCTACCAAACACATATGCGGGCATTGGCCCAAAAGTGTCCGTGTGTGAACATCAGATGGCCTATCACTGACCAGGTGAGGAAGACCCTCACCCATGACTCTTCTGTGAATCAGATCCTCTGAGGGCCACCTATCGACTTGATATGTCAGAGCTTCTCTACCAACCCTGCTACACACCTTGTCACAAAGGTCTCGGCCAGATAATGTTACTCAACTGACCGAGTTGAATTCCTGTGACACAACTCTTCTTTTGTGTCTTCTTTCTTCTTTTGCCTTATCTTCAACTCATCTTCCTTTCTTCTCTTCTTGGCAGGTTACACCAGAGATGTTGGGACATTTGGTTCCAGCCTTCTCATCCGTGAGTGAGCCAGTGTCTGCTCTTCTCCTCTTTGATGAGGTGAGCTTCCACTCATTGTGTTCAGCCTGGCAGCCTTTACCATGGACTCTACTGGCATCTGGCCTCTTTTTGGTTTATCACATTGTTATTTTTGGCTGCTGTGTGGAGTGTTAATCTTTTGTTTCAGGTTTTTGTTTATTAAAACAAATTATAAAGTGCAACTTTATTTTGGCTAAATAAAAACCTATACCATAACATACCCAAGAAGGTATATAATAAAAATGAAGACCATGATCAAACTATTAAGAAGCCACCTACCTGGTCTCACTGTTTCAATGTACCATGTCAAAATCATGTAAAGTACTGCATCTAATAATAGCATGTAAATAATATACAGCATATTGTATTGGTCTCCAATCATTGGACTTTTGTTGATGTTACTCCAATGCATTCCAACAGCAGACTCTTCATACTGAGCAAAATAAGCAGCACCAAGTCCAAGAGCAACGTTAGATGATAAAGACTAAAAAAGAATTAATATATTTTATATTAATTGAATCTAGGTTCTTGTACAAATATGTAAACATACCATCAAAATTTTTGAGGAGGTAGACAAAAGTGGAAACCAACGAGCCAAAAGAGCATATGGCATGTAAAGAATAAAATGGATGATTCCTGCGCAAGCAGCAGCTAAATTGGCTTTCCCAAAGAATACAGATATCAGAAATGCTTGAGCAACTGTTGCTAAGCTGTATGCAAGTAGAAATATGAAAACTACCATTGGATTGCTGAAGGTCAAAATTCGCCCATACTGAAATTTAAAGCTCTTTAATAAAATTCCTGCAACTTGCATTTAATTAAATTTTATTTGAACTCTCATAACTCATAACAGCTACTGTACCCCACTTATACAACCAGAGAAATAAAAATAACTCACAACAAGTATTATGGAGAGAATGGCAATGGTAAATAGCATTGGTACCAGACTGTCTATTGTCCAGCCGACCCAATGAATTCCATTTCCTAAACCCATCACTCTCATCGTCTCTTTTAATCTAAGTTCTTTCTCGTGCACTATTGACTTGACAATCATTGATGTTGTATAAATCCAAGCAAGGACCATAAACAAAGGAAAAGTTCTAGAAACTGCACCTATGAATCTAAGAACCACTAGTTTTAACATAATGTAAAAATTGTTCAAATTTATTAAACATCACATACTCATCATCAATGTGACAAGGGTAAGGAAGTTGATGTAGAATGGCACCAGGTATTTTTTCATATTTTGTTTTCTCATATATAATACTATGATCCAATAAATCTTGAAGGTAAATGAATCCGTGTGTGATATACTTTAGATCATAAGTTGGTCTTACCCTACCACCAGGTGTGTCTATCCTGTCAGTTATGTATTCTGTGTTATCAACTTTATCTGGGCTCATTCTAAAGAAAAAGTAGTAAAATAAATCCAATAATTTAGAAAAAATGTAAAACATACTAAAAAAAATTGTTTTTATTGGTCGTGAAGTACCGTATCTTATAAGTAGTTAAAGGTGAAAGTTCATTCTGTCCAGGAGAAATAAATTCTACCAATGCCCAAAGTCGATCAAACAAGATCAAATCCTCTCCATCCTTCTCTGCTTTCTTCAAGTCTTTATATGGCCTGATTTTGTTTCTTTCAATGCACTTTAAGACAAATAATGAATTATTTCTTTATTTTTAATTGCTTGTATATGTTAAAAAACCTTTAAAAAAGAGTCAAATGAAGATAAGTTTCTTCCTATGTTTTCCAAATTGTATTTTGACTCAAAAGAATCGATTGTCCTACAATATATGATATATTTTTAAATATGAAACAAAAATAAAAATAGATCACCTTGATGAATCACCATTCTAATAATTTAGCTATTCTTTCTAAGTCATCTTCAAGTACATTGGAGTCCGATTCATTATCAAACAGGGTCTGCCCCTTATCTGATCCAAAATAATTCTAAAACAATTAAATATTTCATCATAACAAATTTTAATTTTTATCAATTTAAAAAGCAGGCATATTTTTCGACTTTATTGTTTGGAACATGGCCAAACACTTAACAACACTTCTTTGACAAATCAATCTATCACTGAAAATTAAACTATTGATAATGAATAAATTATTTTTATTTTGATGTATTAAATGTAAAATTTAATTGATGATAAATGATAATAATAATGATGAAGATAATAGTAGTATATCCTTTGGTAGTTCTGTTATCTGAAACTCAAAATTCACATTACGAAAAAATGAATACGTTTTTTAAAAGTATTTTTGTAAAAAGAAGAAAAATAATTACACATAAATTCTGAAATATAAGAAAATATTAATAGTTAAAGCAAAGCAATGTACAGAGTACATAGGTAATTTAAAAATTATTATTGTTATTCCAACAAATTTCAATTTTTTTGTTTATATAATGAATTGTTTTCAATGCTTTAGTGAATTTAAACCAACAAAGTAAGAGTTTTAATTATATTGTTTAAGTTTTATTTATTTATTTATTTTTTACTTCATGCAATATAATTTGATTGATGAATCATATCGTGTTGTAGTCAAATGAACACAACATAAACCTAATTTTGGTTCAAAATGGCTAAGCTAATTCACTTAAAATAAGAATTTATAAATTGATTTATACTTTAGGGAAAACAGACTTACTTGAATTGAACTAAGAATGCGATTTGTTTCTACATTAGGATCTAGTGTTCCAAGAGTAATAAGTGTGTTTATTGCATCCCCTATCTTTACAAAAGTCATATTAACCCTTTGCATCACTCGTCTAACGACAGGCGTATCAGGGTAATAAAGAATTTGGCCACTAGAAAGATATATCTTTTAATTTAAAAACAAAGGAAATAGTCAAATATTTACCATAAAAATGGTTTGTAAAGTCTCCAAATGATTCTTCCCAGAGGGTTCCTTTCAATTGCTTTGAAAATATCATTGCATTCGGGTGTTGTATAGTTATCATATTGGTAGTTAATGAAGGCATTGTCAAAAAACATTTTCTGCATATTTTCTATTCTAAACAAATGAAAATATTTGTAACTCTTCAATTTTATTTTGACAAAAACTTACTGTTTTGGATTGTCTTGAATTATTCCTGTACTAATTTTTTGTAGTCCACCTTTTACTCCACACAAATATTTAAACACTAGTGAATAAATTTTAAAGAGTGTACTGTTGCCTAATAAGTCTGGGTTTTCTATTTGGTTATCTTGATTAGAATTTACTACATTTTGTTCATATAACCTGCTGGCATGAAAATAAAATATATAACAAATTGTAGTTACAAAAATGAAATGACTTACTCTGTCAGTCTTGTATTGTGAGTAATTTTCTCAAATGAATCTATGACCTCATCTAATGCCATCCAATTGTCAACAGATGCAAAAGAAGTTAAATTAAATTTTATGTATTTCTCAACCTACAACAACACCAATCATCATTAATAAAAAATAAGTATTTGTTTCTTTACATAGGGCCTTCACAAGAATAAACATAAAAAATTTTGTTCTGCATTTTGTTCTCAATTTTTTCCAATTTGTTATGCCACTTGGATACGGTACCATGATTATCTTAGTCCATCTACTTTTTTATTTATTCCAATTTTCCATACACATTTTTTCTCTTCAAAAGAATTTTTTTCTTCAATTATTATATATTATTTTAGGAATAAATAAGAATGAGCAAATTATAATCTCCCAAGCCTAGAGGCAATATTTGACATGAAGTGACTATATTCACCACAATTGTTCAAATTTGCAATTGAATCTACCGACAAAAAGTTTGTAGAAAATGATCGAAACAAATCAATTCAAAGCGACTTTTATATTTGACACTAATATGGCTCATATGGATATACATGACCTAATTTTAAGTTTGGCTGCAGACAGTCTTTTGAAACACATCCCCACAATACACAACAAAACCGGGTTTTGAGATTAATCAACAAAGCCCAACAGTTTATCTGTAATTCTACACTTCATATAGATTTCGATATCCCACAAGTATCCTCTCTCCTACAATATGTGTACTACAAGATACATATATCAATCACCATTCATGCTAACCACCCTCTTATCAAACTAGTAAATAGCATGCCACCTCTGCCAAAAATTCTGATTGAAAAGGAAAATGCTGCCTATTGGCTTTTTCAACTTTCAGTAACTTTTAGATAGGACAGCCAATGAGGTGAAACCTATAAACAATTGTTATTTAAATTGGTGTACATAATATGTTGTGTAATTATATACTACCACATATTTCTTCAGCTCAAAGCACAATTGAAATATTTTGAAAACAATAACATGATCAAATTTTGTTAAAAAGTGCAGTTTTTTTTGTTAAATTAGCATTTCCACAACCAGAAAGATCTGAAAAGTGTTTTGAATTAATAAGTATATAATAAGTGTCTGGTCATCCTAGTCTGTCTGCTTTGGTCTGTGAATTTTTATTCTGTTTTATAAACTACATTTACAAGCTCTACAAGAGCTTTGAAAATAAACCATGTTTTACACTACTAGTATGAGATTTATTAATTTAAGAAGAATTAAAGAGCTGCAATAATCAATGAACAAGGTTATAGTTTTAAAATATAAGATAAGATATGAGTATTTATAAAATAACAATAAACTTAAAAAATTAAATAAAAACAGTAACATGCCTTTGGTTTTGCATAAAAAGAATTCCACATTTCATCAATATTTGATTTTATTCTGTATAGCTGTGCTCTGCTCAAATTACACAATACTTCATCAATATTACTGGATAATTCATCACCACTGAAAGAGCAGTGTTTAGGTGTATCATTGTTGAAAATTAGATGAACTAAATTCTGAAAGCAATAGCTTTATGTAATGCACATTTATTTACTAAATTTTTTATAAACATACAGAATCAGTCTTTAGGTCAGCATCTAACATCATGTCAACTATTTCCTTATTGATCGTCACTCTATCAGTTTTTAATGTTTCATATAAATTATCAGGATTTTTTAATAAATTCCTTAAAACCAGCATTCCTAAAAGTAAAAATGTTACTTATTATAAAAATTAGATACAATTTAATAATATAACTATAATATGCACTCTATGAAGTATAATTAGTTTAGTCTGTCCCAAATTTAAGAAAATATTCTTTATTTTATTAAAAGACGCAGATAAAGTGTTAAAAATAAAATAAAATAATGTGAAAATAAAGACAAAGCTGACACTTTATAAACTTCCTCTACTTACTACTTTCAACACTGTCATCATCTTTTGCAATTTTCTTAATTGCATATAAAAAACGTTCCGAATTTTTGCTTACACGTTCAAAGTGTTTAGTCAATGTACCATTTGGAGCGCTGTCTAAAATTTTCATAATTTCATTTAACAGTTGGGTTATTCTAAAAAAGCATTCTATTAAATGTAGACCATTTGGATAGTGCACTCATTACATGAAATACTTACGTCTCTTCGTTAATGGTTGGAAAAAAAGTTTTAGCAGATTCTTCATCGGGAAAACAAGTATTGTTGGCAGTACAAATAAAACTTTGAATAAAAGGAAAGAACCCAGTTGAAGGCATTGGTTTTTCAGTGAGATGGCCTTGTAACAAAAATCAAATCAACAATTCTCATCAGATGAATAACTGAAATTAAGCTAGAACTAAAAAGTAAAAATAATTTATAAATCAATTGACTTATCATCGTATGATAATATACATATTTAAGGATATTGTCAATGGTCGATTATCTTAAACATTGTGTTTTTTAGCGACCAATCGTTCAATACTTTGTTGAAGAAGCAGTCCAGGATGAAGTATTTTAGAAAAACACCTTTTTCATTTTTTTATTTTTTTTTTGCCGTAAATTTGAACTTTATTTCTTTATTTAGATCATCTACAGGTCCGGGGTGAATTACAAAACATGTTGATTGGAAAAAATGCAATACAGATTATATTATTTTTAATTTTTAAGGGTGTTTTAACGGCTAAGATCACGCCATAACATTAAACCTTCTTAGGTTAGTTAGATCCCTTCTGAATGCTATAAAGCTCTGACTACAAACAGTCATTCATAAACTAACCTATACTATTGCCATCCAAAGCTTTAATTTATTCTTTTAAAATTTTTAATTTGGAAGGCAAATGTATGCAAAAAAGGCATTTTAAATTATAAAATGTATCCCTGTTTTCTTTAATTAGACTTTCAAATTTTTGTTCCATAATTTAAACATTTCCCATAGGCTTGTATGGCCAATAATAATAATAATAATAATGGAGTCAGACTAGCAGCAGTCTCAGCACGAGTATAGGCTCATCGTTATCCTTTTATTCTTCCATTCAAATAAGATAATGCTACTTAACTATGATAAAAAAACAAAAACATGAATAACACTTTTTTGAGGGAGCTATCCATTATTATTATTATATTATTTATCTAGTATTATTTACATATAGAAGTGAACAAGTAAATAATAAGTTAAAGCAGGTTTGGTTGTCTTATGCGTTTCAGCTTTTGCCATCTTCGGTGGTAGGTTTATAAAAATAATTGATACTTTTACAAAGGGTTTTAGATTCAACAGTGAAGATGGCAACATGCCGAAACACATTTGACAGACCTTTCCAGTGAGGAGATACAGACAAAACGATCGTTAATGACCAAGTTACAAGTTCATTACCAGACCACATAGGAAAATCTCACAATTAAATAATTTTGATTTAAAATCAGGGATAGGGACAGTTTGAAAGAAAACACTTAGATCCTTTATCAAACTTTCAAGTTATGCATCCTTTCCATAAGGAATTTGGAACTATTATTAATAATTTACAAGTTTAACAAATATAAAAATCTATTTACAATATTAAAACTTATGGTTTCAAGCATAATTAAATCAAGAACTGAATTGACAGTCTTTTTTGTCAAAAAAAAAAAAAAAAAAAAAAAAGCTAGGCAAATAGGCAAAGAAACTTTTTCTTTCAGATTAGCCTTATTCCTGATTTTTAATATGAACAGTTGATATTAAAGATATCTAAGATAATTTAAATAAATATGCACTGTAGTATTATAATTCCAATCACCTAAACGGAAATGGTATAATAAGTATAATGAATTTTGTAAGACTTTTTTTGAACGGTTAATCATTAATGTATAATAGCATGACCATGCAATAAAAGGCCTTGAGGATTAGTAATCAATCCAATCCAAGGCCAACTTACCATAAATTGTTAGGATGTAACTAGCCCACCTACATAAAACCATGTCGTATTTGAAAAAGACCCTTTACCATATTCCATCATTTATGATCACGTATTAATTCTATTACTATCAAACTATGAACTTTGTTTTGTTTTAAAGAACATTAAGCAAACATTATGAATCTATGAAAGTGTAACTGCAGTGAATATTAACAACTTTAGATTTAAAGCTATCATTTAATGTTATGAACTGTAGACTGAATATTTTATTTTTTAAAATAATTATTTTGTAAATGTTTATCTAACACGTTATTTAATAAGAAATCGTATTACTTGCTTGTTCTGGTCTGAATAGTTAGTTATGTGTCATAAAAAAATTCAGTGATAAAAATAAAATGTTTGCACTGTTCTCGACTGAAAAAGCCAAGGGCAGTTATGACAAAAGTAAAATTGTAAATTAAAAATAATGAAAAACCTTACTTACATTCTTCGATTCTTGTTTGCAATCCTCTCGTTCGGACCCACATTAAAATGAGGAAAAGGAGCAAAGGCCATATCAGCTCGACGACGAGTCTAAACTGCAAGCAGAGATGAAAAAAAATTCTTAGCCATTCAATACGAAGTGAACTGAAGGATTGTGAAAAACGAGAGCCATCCACCTTGTTTCGCTTCCTTGTGACCGTGTTCTTCCAAACGATGAGCTTGAGCTGAAGACCGAATCCCATCCCGCTCGCCGGTCAGTAAACCAATTTCGACATCAAGTCAGTAACGACTAGGGAGTGGGAGCGGACGCCGGCTTCGAGGGCCTGTCAAGTGTCAAACTTCGAGTGTCACGGACCGTCGTAGGGAAGGGGGATGGCGAAGAGTGGGACACCAGCTGTTGGCCAGGACTTGATCTAACCGCTTACCGAGAAGAGGAGCCGCGGTAATGAGTACCAAGCTAAGCACTGGCGCTGCCACCAGGTGTCTATCTAGTCTAAGTCCAAAATGTTCCAGGAAATTTAGTAAGCTAGTTGTGTTCAAAGTATGATTTCAACTCCGTTGTAAATAGCAAAATAGAAATAATGCTTATTAAATATTTTTCTTTACTACCATAACTTCTTTTTAAACAAATGTTGGGTGAGGATGATATTATGGATCGTTGACAATTTTGTAGGTGCCATCAGTCCATAGGATAAATTAGGGATGACAACCGGTTCCACTATATTCTTATATTATCTTCAGGTGTGGTTATGAAGTTATTGCCTTAGGTTGATAGTTTGAAGAATAACTCAAGAATTGTGAAGAGTGTTGTTCGGAAAATAATGCAGGTTTGCGGTTATAAAATAGAAACAATTAAATAAATAATTTTAAACATTTTGTATTGATTAAGAAACCCTAGATTACTTACTATCAATACCCTAGCCACTTCTCTATACCCTCTGAATAGAATTTTTAAATCTTTATTAATAACAAATTCTGTAAATGCATTTTCTAACGAATTTTGATAAATAAATTTTTTATATTGTAAAACGTTGACCAGGTGTCCAGGAGAATAGGGAGGATGAGGCAGAACTTAATAACCAAGATCCGACAGTTGTCCTGTGAAACATGGGGCCGTGCGTTGTCGTGAAACAGAATCTGCTTTTCCGATTGACCGAAGATGGCAATTTGTGGTGATTTGCTTCAATTTTAGAGCAATGATTTCGGGATTGATTGTTTCGCCAGAATTCAAAAAAGCACACCAAAGAGTCACCATCGCCTTTTTTTATGCGTTGGGCCAGGATTTTGGTGCTGCCCTTTGTAGAGGAGCCACTGTCCAGAACGTCTGCAGTTATCGTGGAGAATCCATTTTCATCACAAGTGTGACAACAGCACCTGCTCAAAATATCAAGCACATATTGTATGACTGTCTACTGCTTGAGAAGTAGTGTACAGTGCGAGTCACGAGAGAGGGTCTGTGCACCGGAAAACAGTGGCCACTTGAGAAAAGTGAGTTGTCGAAGGGAGATATTGTGGACAATTGGGGTGTCTTTTATTAAAAACACTTATTTCATAAAACTAGTGATTGACGTCTTATTTGTAAAAAATACAATGTAATTAATTATTATATTAATTTAATTCCAAACTGAGAGGAATGTTAGTGCTAATTACCGGCCACTAGCATCTGAGAAAACATCTACACAGCATGTGCATATTTAATGGCGATCCCATTTGTAGATTATGCAATGAGGAGGAAGCCACCCACTTAATCTTCGAATGCGAAGCAACCGTTCCATAGAGACATAACGTGAATAATTATAAACAGTCTGATCTAGCATTTTAGGAGAAGGATCGAGTCTATTGAACTGAATAAGGAACTAGGAAAGTGCAATAAACCAGAAAGCTGCATTGCTTGGGGAACAAAAATCCCAACTTTCTAGCATCCATCATCATCAAATTAATTAATTATAAATTTTTAAAAACTACAACTCGTAAAATTTCATATTGCACATGATTTTGTATAAAAGAACGTGCAGAAAAAAATAATAAGAAAAACTTTATCTAAGTTTGGTGGTTCTCAGCTTACGCAATATTCCATTCAGGACGCGATCCCCGTTCGCGTTAATAAGTACATTCACACAAAAAGAAACCTTTCAAACAATATATACAATTTTTTAAAAAATTAGCGAGCCACCAGGGTGTGTGATATTATGCCACGTCGGTGCTTCGTCCCTCCATTCACCCTACAAACTTCTTATTTGGTGGTTGTTATCTTCCGCCAGAAACCCACCTCCTCATACGCAAAAATTCAAGGTAATAAATTCATACTCATTAAGGGACAACCACCCATGAAAAAGCCAACAATTGCGACATATGCATTTATCTGTTTCAATTATCCAATAAATATCTCGCTGTAATCACCGTTGTGTTTTATAAGCCCTAAGACTCGTCGGTTTACACTCTCGTAGAAAATTATGTACTGGTGCGCTCTACAGAGGATATCTCCGTGGCCCTCTCTCAAATATGATATGTCCATCCATCCACATGTCAGCTTGGTGTACCTATTCGCAATTGAGTCATAACTTTTTTTGCTGTCCATTCTCTCAAGGCCCACGGTTTGACCGACAATTGTACTTCTCTTAATTTGTTCATCATTGCGGTTCAGCGATTAGAAAGAAATTTAATACTTTAATCTTATCCTTTATTTTTATGGTCAATTACTGTTTTGTGTTACCGAAAAAATATATTTAGAGTTTAGTCAGAACGACTAATGCCTTGTTTTGCCGGATAGAGGTTGTTCACACCTACGTTTCTCAAACGGGATGTCCCCTACTATCTCATATAGATGTGGTACCCACCATCAATAACGACGGCGTAGCATAAAATCATTGGTTTGTTTGACAACGAATACCTTGGCGTTCGAGTAAAATGAAAACTTAACGTAAGAGTTTTTACTGATTCGAATTGGCAAGGATGCGAGTGCCATCAATATTTTCCGCGAATCTAGGTCGAGTCTTGTTATTATGCTCATGTTTTCAATTTTAAAGCTTTAAGCTGATAACATCGAATATCACATTTTTGCATGGAATGAACACCCTTTCTTCATCTTGCTAATGGAAGTCATTCAAGACTTCCTCACCTTTTTCTTTCAAACTGGACCTCGCGTTATACAAAATAAAAACTCTCTGATGTTAGAACCCTGTCTTGTCTTACATTAGCTGTGTTGTAAGCCAAATTGTATTGTGTAGCTAGCGTTTATGTAACTCGGGCCCAACTTATATTAAGAATATTTTAAAAAGATAACTCCTAAACAAACTCGTTTATTTGTATAATTTATTGACTTATGTAGGATTGTAGCAATTGACGTCAAGATCAAGTTTTCTGAAGTGTGAGTCTTTTCCATTTAACCATTTGGAATATATCTTTGCAAAAGGGTGATTGCAGCTATTTTATTTGGATAGAAGACACTATTCGAAAAGCTTCTCATATAAACAATTCGGGGTTGATGGGTGTCTAGAAAACATCATCCATAAATAATTTACCTTGAAACGTAATTAATGTACTAAGTAAGGCTGAATGAATTAGATTATTTTTATTCAAATGTCGAAAAGTCTGGTGAACGTCGCCACAATTTGAATTCACCACTACTTTGTATAATAAAATCTAGAATTTTCAAACAATAACCAAAAATGTCTACCAAATATTTAAACCATACCATCTGATTAACTACTATTATTACAACAAATCTGCAAAGCAACTGATTTTTTAAATATATTTTTCTCGCCATTAATTTAAATTCAACTGTTTAGTTTTGTGATTAATTTATTTTACTTTATTTTAATTTAATTTATAATAGAAGCTTTACAGACAAGGCCCAATAAAGAGCGGTCATAAGCATACAAAACATAATCAAAAGACTAACATAAATAACATAAAAGTAACAAGATATGTAATGAAAGTAATATTATAAAGCAAAAGACCAGTTCTATGTAAACAACAGATAAGAACGTTAAGCATTAGAGATCTTCTTTTTCAAAGTATATAAAAAGTTAAAAGTATTTAATGAAAAAATCACAGTATGCAAGAAATGAGTTTCCCAGGGAGACGAGACGGCTATGTGTGTAATGCCTCGCGTATCCGTCGCGATAGTGATCCATACAAAAATTTGAACCCCTCAAGAAGCAATAATTCACAAGAAATAATTCACAATCAATTTATTTGCAAGAAGAAATAATTCACAATCCACAATTGAAGAAATATTGGAAAATAACTTTAGTTCGTAAGCTAAAAGTGAGTACGAAGAAAAACGAGAAATCGATTAAATGTCATTGAAAAACAATTTTAAAAAAGTATCAGCCAAGATTAGAGATAGTATTTGAGACCCTGTAAGATCTTCCACTCTGAAAGGAATCGGTTCAATAAAGAAGGGGGTCACCTACAATAGGTCATTTACACCAATAAAATAAAATAATTTTATTTTAATTATACATACATACATAAATATATATATATATATATATATATATATATATATATATAGAGAGAGAGAGAGAGAGAGAGTAAAATGCAGAAACTAAGCTCATTTGAAGGCAAGTGTCTTTTGACTTCCCTTCTTTTGTTTGTTTAGCTAGTCTCTCAACTGGAATTTTTCCTCCCACTCGATCGCTTTCTATCCGCATAAGGAATCCAGGAAGTGCATCTTTGCCTTCCGTTAAACGTACTGTAACTTGTTAGAACGAAAATTGCATTCACGTGTTCGGGATATAAAAAGTTATGATTGATAATTGAATCATATATTCTGCACCTGTTACTTCTCTGTTACTGGTTCACCTTTTACTTTCTAGTTCTGAACTGCAACAAATAGTAGACTACTGCATCAGAAATTGAAAACCACTTAAAAACAGGTAGGGGAATTAGGAAATCGAAATCTTGTGATTTTCGGCCATCAAGAAAACGGTTTATCTTTCAAGAATTCAGTAAATTTGGTGTCTCAGTGGGTAGTTGTGATAGTGAAATGATTCCAAGGGAACCAGCTGACGGCAAGTTAAGGTTGATACTAATTGCTGCGACAACCACAAACCTGAAAATAAAAATTCTAAAAAATTCATACGAACTAAAAGAAACGAAATTTATATCACCTAGGACTACCCTAAGGATGTTTCCGGACGAAAGTTATTTATAGAGATGATGGAGGTTCGAAAAAATGGAAAATTCGCTATAATTATAAGAGAAAAACAGGACCCGCTCATTGGCTCAAACGAAAAGAAGAGAATGATGTCTATGACACGACAAAACTCAGAAATACCAAACAATTAAATAAAGAGGATACAAAGAAGAGTACCAAAGGATTTATTCAAAAATATGAATTTG